AAGACAACGAAACTTTCCTAAACGGGTGAGTAGATCAAATAGTTAAGATGGACCGATCTAGCAACCAAAATAACCCAGCTTTTTCACGAAGGAGGCTTTTCGTATTTCAATACGATTATGAACGATAGCTTTTGTCTGACGTACACGTTTATCACGTGTAACGTTTATTCCATTCATATACGTTAATGAAGTATTATTTTAAACATAAGCTCAAGTTTCACGATACTGAGATAGTCTTGGCTCTCGTGGATTTGAATTTAGATCGATGTAGTGAATTGTATACAGTAATTTTCCTTTGAACTTAACATAAAAGAAATAATGATTAGGGAGATTAAAGTGTGTACATTGACAATCGCCACTTAAAAATTACTATTCCGCATAATAAACATAAAATGTCAAAAAACAAAATTAAAGTCCTATTTTTAATTTCGCGTGGTATTTTCCCATCCCCGCTCAGCTTTGAGCCCCGGCAGGCAAAACAGTGTCAAATAGCTTGCTTCGATGCAATTAGATAACAGCCTTCGCAAGCGTGAAGTGGAAATACATTTATATAAACAAACTCCGACGCCCCGAAAAATTTTAAGTCGTTTTCTCTGACAAAGTGCTTTGGCTTGAGTTTTGATCTTTTGAAAGTTTATTCTCGGTTGGTATTCAGTCAATTTTCGTGAAATTTGATGATAATGTCCGAATTATAATGAACCCCAAAAGTGTGTCCTGGATTTTCGATTTTTCCTTATTTTTCGAGATATAGCGACAACATTGAAAACTTTGCTCAAGAGTGCTACTTTCAAGTTTAAAAAATAATAATCCAAAAATAACGAATCGTTTAAATACAAATCCCGGACACCCTTCCTTAGTTCAAAATATGGGCAGATCACGTTCTCAGCATAAAAGAAGCGTGTTGATGAAAATGCGTCGTCCTATAAACTTATCTTGTAAAACGTCGCGGCGTGAAATAATAAGCTCCCGTTCTGTTCAATGCATTTCTCAAATCACTGTTTATTAAGTTTTAAGAAAATGTATTCTTTTACTGGAATAGGGCGCATAATTTTAGGCTATTTCAGTTTGAATGAAAGCGCTAATTTTCCATCGGTGATACTTTAAACTTAAAGTATTTCCTGCTTTAGATATCAAACGTTCACCACTCTTCGATGTCTTTTGCGTTTTTCTCTTTTGTCTTTTTCCGCCTGGCAGTTAAGAGGAAATGGGTGTTTTCACAAGTCAGTGACATTTTTTTCAGTACACAGAACACTTAACTAAGTATTTAATTCATAGAAGAAACAAGAAAGTTCTTTTTAACGGACAAATTGACATATAAGGTTTTGCCTGACTCACGTACAATCTTGGAAATGACAAATTATGAAAGGAATCACCATCAGTTGATCAAACAAAGCGGAACTTGGAAATTTCACCACACGTATTACTATTTACAAATATCTAACTTCCGCCACGCTACAGCGTCCCTTGTTTTTTACCGTTTGGCAGTTCAAGATAATACTTTTATAATGAAAAGGCATAACGAGGACACTTCAATTTTGAAACGCTCTCAGTGTTTCACAACTCAACCCATGTGTCTCACCTGCTCCGCCTCCTTAGATAATTGCCATATCATGACCCTTGACCAATGCCACACTAGAAAATTATCACTCTGAATAATTATACTTTTTTTTTCTTTTTGTTCTTTATTTATCGCTGCTGTTAGCTGACGCAACGCATTCAGGTGTTAAAAGTTCACTGGCCACTATCATGCTGCTCCTGCCTCTTTTAGTGTTTTTTCCTATCGATCTCCAACAAGCGAGCTTTCTTTCGGTAACTTTAAGCGCGACCCCTTCTATTACTTGTGGGCAGAGAAACTTTCATCATCCATGGTGAGAGATCAGGTGGACTGCGGTTTTCTTTGTGTTGGTGAACCAAATTGTTATTCGTTCAACATGGCAGCGTATCCTGACTCTAAAGGTCTTTATCTGTGTGAGTTGTTGGCCACACACAAGTACACAGAAACTGACAAGTTCCATGCAAATGCTTCCTTCCATCACTACGGTCCGTTGGTAAGATTTCTCTATATGTTTGGTGATAAACACTCTTTGTAGTTCTTTGAATACAAACTGAATGATTCAAGGAATGTTTACTTTGTTTCTAGCCTCCGTATGTAAGCGCTCCATGTAAGAACGGTGGTGTCTGTGTTCCTGAATATAAATGGAGCTCCTTTCATTGTGACTGTAGACCAGGATTCTGCGGAACTCACTGCGAAAGGGGAGGTATTGAATCTGTCCTACTTTCTGTTGCATGAAGAACTGAAAAAAAAAACTCATACTGTTATTTTCAATCATCTGTTATAAATTGGTGGTTTACCTATGTTTAACCTTGTGCTATAAAATTAAATACATTCGAATTAGTCTATTTTACTGCTTTCCCGATAAACATACCTTAGTTTGTTTTTCCTTTAAAGTGCCTATGAAGATAATTTTTTTGGTGTAAAATTTTAGCTTATCATATGTTCAAACCAATTCCGATAGAAGAAAAATTTCAAATAACTTCAAACTCGGTTTTTCGGCCTTAAAGTGCTCTTGTTTTGTTTTAAAAGTGTTCCATGGACTGGTAACAAATGAGCGGGTTATGACGTAGAAAACTGTAAAAACTCTCTATTGCACAAATCCCTCACTTCTCCTGTAATTTTGTATCAGTCAGCGTTGAAATACTCTTGAAATAATTTCCGATAGCGATGTATACCTACCTTCACCAAACTCTACCGAGAGTTGATACATCGTACCCAATTAGTAAAGAAAAAATTGGAGGTTGCGAGTACGGTTCAGCCTTACGAAAGAGAACCACGTGCATGAAACGAAGATTTAGACGCAGACTGACAAAGGTTTCTCGCCTGCAGTGTTTAGGTCAAGATAAGAACAAAAAACTCCCGTTACTAAATGTTTAGTTGTTGCGTTTGGCGTTCTGTTTTATGGCGAAATCCATGTTAAAAAATGTGTAGCTGTGTTCGTTTCTGTTGCCATAAAATTTTATTCCTTCGCACTAAGTGGGGCAAAGGTTCTCCTTGCTCAGTGCTCTAGTTTTTCGTCGCTGTAGAGTAATTCCCTTAGCAAACCAGAAGCTACTTTTACGAAAGAACCAGCTGTATCATGAGGAACGATGACTTTTCGCCAAGAAGTCATCGGGCAGTTTCACTGCAAGTCGCTCCTTCCCTTAGAGATTGCAAAGGCAGAGGATATCGTCGTCGAGCCGATCAAAAGGAAAAAAGAGTTAGTTTATAGAGATTCAAGTCAATCTCAAGTAGGGATTTTAATAGACAAAAACTCCTTTAGTTTAAGTGCAGCATTGCCACATGACCCATTTCGCTCAATGGCAAATAACTGACATCAGTGTTGTAAATTAATATTTCGTATGCATCGACTTTCGAACACCACTTGGATTCGCTACCATCTAATTCAATAATATTTGTGTTTATTTATTTATCTCGTCAGAAACCTAGGTTAGGAGAATACACAACCCCTTCGAGCTTGTGTTTATGCCAGTATCCGCCAGAGGTTTCTCATTGCTCAGGCAACAGAGTATCGGTCAGCTCAGGAAAGGGCTTGAACTTGATTACAAATTATGTATTCCTGTTATTGTAACACGATGGAAACTACAATTATTAGGATTTTCAAACGATTAGAAAAGCGTAAATGTAGTCATGTGGAAAGACAAGGAGTATGAGTACATCTCAAGCACGTGAATAAAAAAACAATAAGGAGCTTACCATTCTTTGCTTGCAGCCGAAAAGAATGTTGAACAATCGTGTGCGGTGTGGGAACAGGCATTCTTTTTAGCTGAATTTATGGTTATCTTCCCCTGATTTAACAAGTGGTATGTGTTCGTAACAGCCGTTTTCGAAGCCGGTTCGGAGCATAAGGCCGACGACATTGAATAGTAAAATCTCCTCGATGTCGACGATCGATCGTGTATAGAAATACCCGGTATATATGTATTATTCTTGTAGCAAACATCTTTTAGCACTCCAGCGACGCAATGCGTTCGTCCTTTCTTCTAGATTTCTCCTTTATTTACCATAGTTACTGACGTGTCTTCACAGTTTTCTACGTCATAACTATGTAACGTGATCGTTTTGGCCGCGCGCTTAATGAGAACACTTTTTGGCCGACAAATCGTAATTTCAAAGCGCAGAAAAATGGTCAAGGAGAACTTGCTAGGCGCAAAGGTCGATTATTTATACTTTTAAACACAGCTATCAGAAAATGCAAAAAATAAAATTTCTTGTACATGTCATAGGCACTCTATCTTAATCTTTTACTTCTAAATTTCTAATGTTCTTCGTTATTTGTTTTTTAGGAAAGGAAATCGAACTTGCAGTGACATCAAGTACTGCAATCCTGAGACTAAAAGTGGCTCTTATGTCATCGACCCTGATGGAGAGGGTGGAGTGAAACCATTTAAAGTCTTCTGTGACATGACTGACAAGGACGGGATAGGAGTGACAGTTATCAGTCACGACAGTGAAAGTAGAACTTTGGTGGATGGGTTTGATGACCGTGGTAGTTATTCGCGCAGTGTTACTTATAATGAAACCAGTCTAATTCAGCTAGCAAGCTTAACAGCTTCATCTTCTCACTGTGAGCAGTTTATCAAATACGAATGCTATGATTCAGTGCTCCTTTCCAATGGTGACATGTTCGGCTGGTGGGTAACACGTGATGACGAGAAGATGGAGTACTGGGGTGGAGTCAACTCTGTTCCATTCAAATGTGCATGCGGTTTAAATAACACGTGCGTGGACACCAGTTACGGCTGCAACTGTGATAAGAATGATTGGAATTGGCGAGAGGATAGCGGTTTACTAACAGACAAGTCCAAGCTTCCCGTGATTCAATTGAGGTTTGGAGATACTGGTGTTAATGAAACAGGATATCACACGCTTGGAAAACTGGAGTGTTATGGACTCATCTAGAATTCAAATTTAAAAGACAACTTGAACATTGTATTCCTTTAGTCAGAACTGAATTTACATGGAGGTCCATGATAATGAATTGGTAATTTGATTGTAATGTTGTGAGAAAAATGGAGAAATTCATAATGTTTAGTTAAAAGTATTTGAAAAAAAATTGTAACCGAATGTCATACTCGGTGTTGGGCCGCTCAAATGTTTTGGACTCATTTAAGACTCAAATACAGGTCATTAACTTTTGTTATTGACCTGTATTTGAGTTGCTCTTTTAATACTTATATATCAAAATTCGTTTTTTTTAATGGTAACATTCCTCTGTCACCGCGTTGGAAAGCTTTGCCTGCAGCAAGAAACCTGCCATCTTTTTTGCAAAAGTCAGATATATTTCCAGTTCGTCGAAATATATCTATGATATAATTTAATGATGGCACAATTTGTTTACCAAAGACAAGTGGAGACGACCAAGCTGGAAGTTAGTCTGCCAAGAAAATCATAAATAAAAGATTGAAAGGACCTCTTAGTTGCAAACTTTCACCCCTATTTGAATCCAATAAAATATGCTAAATCTGAAAATGACTGTAAGTGTAGTATTAGCACTTGAATTCGAAGCCTACAGTAGATAGTCATCTTTATCACAATGGCCTAATTTTTCTTTAAAAGCAACTATGGTTCGGTTTCATTTTCCTCTGTTTGGATTTTGCTAGCGACTAAACTATTTGGCTGAGGCAATTCATTGGACAGAGCTTCATGACCTCTCGTTGGCGCCTTATGCATTTAAAATCTATGCACGCAAACTCTCAATACCACTCAACAACAAAATGTTATGTACTATGTTAAGGATTTAAAGTTCTGTGACCATTACAGTCACCTTCAGGATAAATTATATTAATATTCATCGTCACCTTCACTCCCCCTACCCATGGAGCCTAAAAACGTTGTCAATCGTTTTATTTTTCGAGTAATGGCCCACTCTTTAAATGCTCTGAAATACTCTTGAGTGGATTACGAAGTTGGTCCTGTTTCAATTTATCAGAAAAAGGCAACTTAATCTGGCGACGCAAAGCAATAAAACGATCAGAAAATACGATCTCAGGGAAATCATGATTGTTTTAAGCTATCATGTAAATAAAGTTTTCTCAATCCGTTTTTACTTTATGATCATTTCCGGTGACGTTTGGAGAGCTCAGTATGGGGGGTCATTGGGAATCAGTAGGGTGGGTGGAATTTGTCAAAGCGAAATTGATGATTTTGACAAATTTTCGCTATTTTCGTTACTGCATGCATTTCTCTGGAAGTATTTCAATTAGTTAATCGTTAGAGGTCTTTAAAATTAAGTTTCCTTCGTCAGGGAAAGACTCAATAGGTGTAAAAATGATTTATAACTCGTGCTAAATGAACAACAAAGTTAATATGGGTTTAAACTTGTAATAACCGTCTGCTGTCAAAGGTATTAACATCGTCAACCGTCAAGATTTAACCATCAATAGTCAAAATTGGAAAAAAAATCAACTTTCAACATTAACCCCTTTATTGAGACCTTCTTTTAACCTTTACTTTGAAAAGTCTTGTAACTCTAAATTACCTACGTATATAAAAAATTATCCAGTTTCCATCAAAGTGGATTTGGAATATTAATTGATAACGAAACAACAAAGTCCATGTCATTTTTAAATATATTTATGCATATTGCTGCCAATTTTTTGTTACAATAAAACACTTTACAACAAACTGTTGAGCAAAATTTCTAAAACTATTGATTTATGAAAGTATTCGGTTGAACCAGCCATATATTTTTTGGCAGTGATATTTAGTTAGGTGTTCGGATACAAAAAAATATTTTGTTTTAATTTTATGCAATTTCTCTTTTCGATCATCTTAATTTCAAAGATGAAGCGCATTGGGAATGAGAGATAAAAAGCAAAGCATAAAAATATAGCATCATTACATCAATTTTTCTAAACATGAGACATAACGTGTCAAAATATCTGAATATTCGCCAAAGTTATGACTTCTTTATCGTATAACAGTGGAATGAATTGATTATTGTGCTTCTGCAAGCCGGAGGCATTCCGCATTTTGACGCGTAAACAAGTTTATTCGTAATTAAACAATACCAGAGGCTGCAAAGATCTTCCGACAATCTTTTGGTATATTCACAAACATTAAATGGCTTTTTTTCGGTTCCCTATATGGCATACTTAAACAATTATTCGCCTCCACTTTGGTGAATAACTGTTGATTATTTATTCCTGTTATCCGCGAACTAGCATCTCTGGGATACAAGGCCGCAAGACGTTCATTTCAGTGACGATAATGTTCCAGCTTTTTTTCCCGTTGATTACGATGAGTTACTCATCAGTTCTAAATAACTATCCCTGGTAAAACGCCCATCGTTCGTTCTCTCTATAATGTATTTCCCGACGAAAACGTGTTGTTTGTTGTCATTATAGTGCACTAATAAACCATTTTTTGCATCTCAGGCTGATACAAGTCGAAGACTATTTTCTTTTCAATCTAGTTATGTAGAACAAATGCAATTCAACGCTGCTTTGCAGGCCTCGTTGAAATTGCACCTAAAGTAATCCTAAACGAGTACTCTGACCATTTCTCCTAGGTCAAATGTTATTCTGTAGCATGTTCGATAAACAATATTCGCAAATATGAGTTTTTCTATCTGGATATTTGTTTCTGAACTTTTTACAAGAAATATTTAATGAGTAACTGTGCAATGTTTATATTTGAGACCAGTATATTGTTTAATTGAAAATGCTAATATACGGAGGTGAAACGACTGACATTTTTAGCAAATAAATTACGTAATCGAGGCTCGCTCGTTTTCCGATCCATGTAGAGGATTTCCTAACATTTTTAAGAGATGTCAGACAGACATAACTTAGATAAATTTCTTCAATTTCTTTTTGCTGAACTTGTTCCAATTTAAAATGATTATTGTTTATTAATTAGATAAGCTCCTTTTAAGTCACGAAGAGGAAATCTGCCCAGTATCTGCCTATGATCAGGAATTCGTCCGGTAAACAATAACTGCGGGAGGTAATGAAAGATTAGTTTGATATTTGGTGTTTTTAATTTTGCCCAAAAAAGAAAAAACTAAAAAGTAGAAAAGAACTTTTTTTTCTTTCACAAAAAGCCTTCTAAGAGGAAAGTGTCTCGGCATAGTAAATAATAAAAAATATTACATAAACAGCCGCTCCCTCTAAAAGAGGAAAACAACTTTAGCTTCTTTTTGGTTGGTGCCAATTTATAGTCAGTGTCAATTTATTTCATATATTGTTAGCCTGGTGCGAGCCAAAACATAACTTCTTACAGCAAACCTGCTAACAGGGACATGTGAAGGAGTAACTAGAAATTTACTTTCAAGTTTGTCGTAGAGTAGGGAGCAGAGTACCAAAAATCTCTTTAAAATTAACAAAAACATTAGTACAAACCAATATAATAAATCATTGGCATTGTCAGAGTTAATAGATATTGATATGAATATTTAAAACTTTTTAAACCTGTTGTATAGAAGGTATTAATAGACATCTTTTCCTCCATAGGAAAAAAAACAACTGTTTGAAAGCAATTCTTGTTAAAAAAAAAAAATCTAAAAAAGTATCATGCAGGTTTGTCAAGGAGAGTTTTATTTAAGATGACTTTTTAAAACTTACTGTTCCACCTCTACTTCCTCTATAGTAGATGTTTATCCCACCCATGGCACCTGCTTCATAGATGTGGCGAGTTATTGGCCAAAGACAAGCACAGAGAGGCTGAAAAGGCTCAAGCAAATGCTACCTTCCATCACTGCAGTCCGTTGGTAAGATCTCTTCATATATTTGGTGCTTAACACTCTTCGTATTTCTTCAAATACAAACTGGATGATTCAAGGAATGTTTATTTTGTTTCTAGTCTCCATGTGGAAGCGCTCCTTGTAAGAACGGTGGCCTGTCTATGTTCCTGAATATGAAAGGAACTCCTATCACTGTGATTATCAGCCTGGATTCAGTGGAACTCACTGCAAACGTGGAGGTATTAAATTCGTTTCAAACTGAGAGGTACAAACTCTAAAGTAGAAGTCATAATATAGTTATAACTAAATGTCATTGAAAACTTTGTGCAACTGCTTCCATCTACATTTCTCTGTGTCTTTTTACTTTTCAGGAAATCGAACCTGCAGTGATATCAAACACTCCTACTCTAAGACTCCAAGTGACTCTTACGTCATCGATCCTGATGGAGAGGGTGGAGAGAAACCTTTTAAAGTCTTCTGTGACATGGCTGACAAGGACGGTGTTGGAGTGACAGTTGTCAGTCACGACAGTGAAAACAGAACGCTGGTGGATGGATTTCTTGCAATGTCACGTACCAGGGAACCAGTCTCCTTCAGCTGACAAGTCTAACAGCTTCATCTGCTCACTGTGAGCAGTTTATAATGTACGAGTGCTATCACTCAAGGCTCTTTCGCGATGGTTACGGCTGGTGGGTATCACGTGATGGAGAAGAGATGAAGTACGGGGGAGGAGTGGATTCTATCGATTGCAAATGCGCATGCGGCTTGAACCATACATGTGCAAACCCTCAGTACGGATGTAACTGCGACAAACTTGACCAACAATGGCGAGAGGACAGTGGTTTACCTACTAACAAGTCCAGGCTTACCGTGAAGCAACTGAGGTTTGGAGATACCGGCTATACAGATAGTGATCAGGGATACCACACACTTGAAAAGTTGAAGTGTTTTGGACTCATATAGATCGTAACTGTCTACCCGCTATTTTTAGACTCGCCTGTTATAGCGCTGTAAAGTAACATGGTATCTGTTATGATAGTTCGCTGCCTGAAAGGAATTCCAGGATGGATAAATATCAGTAGGAAGGTTAAAATGTTTGGCGCATGTGTTTTAGCATATTAAGCATAATTTTAGGCGTCGAAGGCGCCATTTTCGCTGCTTGTAGTTTTGAGACGGAGATTGTTAACGGTATGGAGAGCATTTGTGAAAACAATAAAGATGTAGTCCAAATACTGTGAAATTGAAAAAAAAACCCGATAATCACTTACAGATTTGTACAATATTGTTGTACAGTATATGACGATTAAACAACTTCGTGTGTTTGCCTTGTTAGTCTCCCAACATTCTGACAATTGTACTTTTCAACAAACTCGGTCCTCGAGATTTTTCCCGTAAGCCTTAGACACTCATTGATATAAATTCTCTTAGATTAAAGTGAGCAACTCAAGTACACTGCGCCAACGAATAATTCGAAGGCCCCATTCTAACTGAGCCGTTGGTGAGGCACTATCACTGTCAAAAAATTGAAATGAAATAATACAGACCGCAACAAATAAGTTACTTATAGTATAACTGCCTCTATGCATAAGCTCCAATGATTCCTGAATAACGTATCAGAATCCTAAAGAGGAATGTTATGGTTGTACCACATTTGCTTACCTGATTGTTTATCATGTAAAGACAGATTTCTCATGAGAGCTTCCTCTTCAGAGTTTATCGGTCAAGTTGTTATACTCTAAACCAAAACTATTAAGACCTCTTTCATCGATGACTGGCCTGGTTTATACGATTAAGAATGCAAGTCGAGCTGGACGTTTAAAAATCAGTTTGAAAACCCCTTTTGCAAAAGTCAATAGAAACTAAGTCAGTGAATTATTTAACGCTGGGAGCAAGAAAGATGCGTGACAGTGCCTCCAGCAACTCGAGCTTCTTGAGTTTTTTGAGTCAATTTACTTTTATGTTAAACATTCTTAACAGGGTCCTCCACTAAGCTTCATTGTGTGCAAAAATATCATTAGCACGATAACAAAATAAAGCAACCTCGCGCTATTGAATGTGTAGGTTACAATACTTGTTTAAGTGGACAGTGCTGGTACAGACAAAATATTATCAGCAGTCAAATTTAATGATCTTGATCACAGTGATCAGTCATTTTGACGTAGACTTCTCAGTTTTCTAGCTTCTCCAAATAACGAACACAAGGAGTATTGCATAAAAGCTAATTAGTTATCATATAAAAGGATCTCTTGTTGTAGCGTTTAGATCATCCCTGTTGAAGGCACTATATAGGCAGGAGTGTCGAAACGTTGGGTCTATGAATTGTAACTTCTTCGGTTACATTCATTCAATCTGTAAACCAGAGTAGCATCAAACCATATCTGATTGTCCACCTGGTTACCGTGTGAACTTTAATATTTTCTACATTGTGGAAGGTCACAAACTTGCCTACTTTTGATCACGTGATTTCTTATACATATCGAAAAGCTCATTCATCTGAACTTAACATCGTAAGCCTGAGTCGTCTCAGGGTAAACGCGAGCTATTTCTCAAAAATAGCCAGCTTTTCTCTTCTCTTCTTGTTCTCGGCATGATGTTACCCAAATACAGAGTAGTAAGTGAACTTTTTTAGTGAATATTTTCTAGTGAATTTTAAACAAACCTTTACCGTTTCTGGTTAATTATTGTCTGCCACATTAGTTAAAATGTATGTATCTCACGCCCTGTGCAGATCACAGAGCTGCAATGCTCGAAGGGAATTTGTACATTCTACATTACGAATGTCATTTCTTGTTTTCGTAAGAGAAGGTTATAATGTTCTTTTCTATCGACATGTGCAATATCAAACCCGTCCATTCATTTTCGCGCAGCTCTGTTACCTACTTTATTTGACGTGGTACAAAATCAACGGACAATTATCAGCCAATAACCCCATGTTAACATTTGTCCGATTATTTCCGTCGAAAAGCGAGAAAGCCAACGTAAAAAGCCCAACAGTTTCACTTTCTCGACTTAATTACTTGAAAAGGGAGAAAAACGAACTTATTTTGTAGAGAAAGTCCACAGGTGTTGGGAATTAAAGGCTGATCTCAAATGCTGCTCTAGAAAGTACAAAAAAGATAACAAAACTTTGTTTTATACGCACGATACAAAAATTAATGAGAGGGTTATAAAATAAATATCCCCCCTTCTAGCTTGCTGGTATGTCGCCTGATAATGCCCTTGGCTGAGAGATTGTCCTCAAAATTTCAAATTTACCCTCAAAGCCTTGCTTCTTGGCCAAAGATTCATTTTTTGGACAATTTCTCGGTCGTGGACATTATCAGCTGACATACTCGACATAGCCGCCTGCCTCGACAGCCTTCTCGTGTTTTTCCTTTAATAATAAGAGTGTCAATTCTAAGTACCAGTTTCTTCCTCACTCCTAAGGTCGTCAGGCAAGCTACTGGTGAATGTTTGGAGACGAAGGTGCGAAAGACTATAGAGGTCTAGGAATTTATTGGTCATCAACATGCACGAGTAAAACTGCTTGACGCCAGTGCTGTCAGCCGGGGCCATATAAACTTTGATGATCTCACTGGAGATATCAGCTGTGGAACGGACTTATGACGTACACATTACACTCATGATGTCGGATATAGGGGAGAGTGTGGGGTTCCGCTCCCCCACCATCAGGATTTTTTAACTACTTGCCTAAAAGCAAAATTCTTTCAACGACAGGATCGCATATGAGTACTCAGCTTGAAGAAACTAAAGGTTATCATGTAGAGATATTCAGTACTTTGTAAAAACTAAAACAAATACAAAAAATTGTTTTCTGCATCGAAGTTTGGACTACCCCCTCCCCCTTCCCCCAAATATTGAAGATGAGAACCGTGGTAAATCCAGTAGAAGTGAGCGTTCCAAGATCGACGAGAAAAGGCACGATGATGCAAATCAATGAAATTCCGGGAAGTATCAAACTGTAGTAAATCCAGAACACAATTCTTATGGGAGGAGCCTACAATCTCAGAAAGGTTTCATCGATAAAGAAAATTGAAAAAAATGAAACTTCTCAAGCTTATTTTATAATTAACAAAATGTCATGATCTCTTCTTACACAGAGCAACATGATCTCTTTAATTAGAAAGCTCTACAAGTTTTAATACGAAGTGCGAAAGCTTATGTTACAACAAAATGCATTGGACTGTTCTTTGAATAAAGCGACAGCTTTTTAATTACAAACTGTAAATGGTACTCATAAGAGCAAAAGTAATATTCTGGGGTGCGACAGTAATTTCAAAGAGCGAAGATTATATTACAAAGTGCGACAACTTTTTTAGTAAAAAGCGAGGTAAGTGTACTTATAAAGTGCGATAGTTATTGCAAGGGCGATGATTATTGCGACAGGAAGTTAAACAGGTGAAACACATCAACATACTCCAAGACAACGAAACTTTCCTAAACGGGTGAGGAGATCAAATAGTTAAGATGGACCAATCTAGCAACCAAAATAACCCAGCTTTTTCACGAAGGAGGCTTTCGTATTTCAGTACTATTATGAACGATGGCTTTTGTCTGACGTACACGTTTCTCACGTGAAACGTTTATTCCATTCATATACGTTAATGAAGTATTATTTTAAACATAAGCTCAAGTTTCACGATACTGAGATAGTCTTGGCTCTCGTGGATTTGAATTTAGATCGATGTAGTGAATTGTATACGGTAATTTTCCTTTAAACTTAACATAAAAAAATAATGATTAGGGAGATTAAAGTGGGTGTATTGACAGCCGTCACTTAAAAATTACTATTCGCATAATAGACATAAAATGTCAAAAAACAAAATTAAAGTCCTATTTTTAATTTCGCGTGTTATTTTCCCATTCCCGCTCAGCTTTGTAACAGCCCCCCAGCACGCATCAACGCCGACAGGCTAAACAGCGTCAAATAGCTTGCTTCAATGTGATCGGATAACAGCCTTCACAAGCGTGAAGTGGAAATACATTTATGTAAACAAACCCCGACGCCCCGAAAAATTTTAAGTCGTTTTCTCTGGCAAAGTGCTTTGGCTTGAGTTTTGATCTTTGGAAAGTTTATTGTTGGCTGGTATTCAGTCAATTTTCGTGAAATTTGATGATAATGTCAGAATTATAATAAACCCCAAAAGTGTGTCCCGGATTTTCGATTTTTCCTTATTTCTCGAGATATGGCGACTACATTGAAAACTTTGCTCAAGAGTGCTACTTTCAAGTTTAAAAGATAATAATCCAAAAATAACGAATCGTAAAAATACAAATCCCGGACACCCTCTCCAAGTTCAAAATATATGCAGATCACGTTCCGATATAAAAGAAACGTGTTGATTAAAATGCGTCGTCCTATAAACTTATCTTGTAAAGCGTCGCGGCGTGAGAGAATAAGCTCCCGTTCTGTTCAATGCATATCTCAAATCACTCTTTATTAAGTTTTAAGAAAATGTATTCTTTTACTGGAATAGGGCGCATAATTTTAGGCTATCTCAGTTTGAATGAAAGCGCTAATTTTCCATCTGTGATACTTTAAGCTCAAAGTACCACCTGCTTTAGATATCAAACGTTCACCACTCTTCGATGTCTTTTGCGTTTTTCCCCTTTGTCTTTTTCCGCCTGGCAGTTAAGAGAAAATGGGTTTTTGTCACAAGTGAGTGACATTTTTTCAGTACACAGAACATTTAAAAACATGCAAATAAGGAAAGGTACAAGAATAGCATAAATTAGAATGAACGGCTTAAACAAACACCTTGGCGCGGATGGAATCCGTTTGCACGTTCAGTGTTGGCTTACGCATGCGAATATACAACATTTCATTAACAAGGCAATCAAATTTGCCGTTACATTTCGCGATGACGTTGAATTGCTCGATCAAGCGTTCAGGCATTTCACTATTGTGCTGGAGGTGGTAGTGTTTGTAGATAGAAGATGATTTCCTTGTGTGCCCTTCTACGCGCTCGTGTAAGTGACCACGAGTATAGCCCACATACCCTGCATCACACAGGTTACATTTAAATTCATAAACGATACATTGTTGGTTAACAATAGGGGGCTTAATTTCGTGTTGCTTAAGCTGTTGATCGAGCTTAGGGCTAACGAACACTGGTTGGACAGTCACGCTTAACTTCGAGCTTAGACTGTTCAGTTGTTGTTTAACATGATTAGCTGACGACTGGTCCTTGAAGGGTAACACTAATCTCACAATCTCCGATGGTACGTCTGGTGATGGACAGGGATCTGCAGATGAAATCCTTCTCTCAACGAACCGCTTAATTGTAGTTTCAACCAGTGGCTTTGGGTATTTCAAGTTATGAAAAACCCCTCTAAGGCGGTCACATTCCTCGGAGAAGAAAGACCAGTTAGAAGATAATCGATAAGCGCGATCCACCATGGTGTTAACTAGGCTGCGCTTGTACTTAATGTCAACATGACTCTGGAAATGCAGAAGGAGACCCGTGTTGGTTCTTTTGATGTAGACCTTGCTCTCAATCTTTGGTGCACGGTTAAGCAGTTCAGTTCCTAGAAAGGGAAGGGATCCTTCCCGTTCGACTTCCATGGTAAACTGGAGGGAGGGATGGGTAGAGTTAAGGGTGTCTAGAAACTGGCCAGCGGTCACCCTATCAGGCATTACGGTCAGGGTGTCATCGACGTACCTCCGGTAATAGCGCGGAAGTTGACCGTGTTGTTCGAGGTTTTCCTCAATCGAGCACATGAAGACGTTAGCCAGCAACGGTCCAAGGGGAGAACCCATAGCGACTCCATCTGTCTGCTCATATAAAGCACCGTCAAACTGGAAAAGCTGGTTTTCGTAGCTGCTCGGAGGAGGTCGATTAGGTCCGCTTTAGAGATGTTCAAGTTGTGCGTCTCGTTGAACCAATCCTGGGCAAAGGCTTTTTCAGCTAAGATCTGTATTGTTTCCTCCAATGGTACATTTGTAAACAATGAGGTGACGTCATAGGAAACTAAAATTTCGCCGTTCTTGATCTCGAAGCCTCGTACTTCATCAGCAAAGCGGAATGTGTCTGTCACTGTATATTGGTTGCACGACAGGGGTTTCAATTTGTCGTCAAGCCATTTCGCTAGCGAGTAATTGTAGGTGTTAGTAGCAGAGAGTATTGGCCGCACGGCCAACTGTTCTTTATGTGTCTTCGGCAAGCCATACAAGTGTGCGAGTCTGGACCCTTTCGGGCGGAGAGCGTCAGCAATGGATTTCGGTAGAATCTTTCGAACGAGAGTTTCCAACTCCCTTTCTTTCTGAAGGAGAGGGTGGTAATACTTAGGAGGTCGTCCTCTGGTTCTCGGTCTCTCCGAGTCGACGAATCGGAATTTGCTGGTATCGTTTATTGACGCTTCGGATAGTAGGCGAAGATATTCTGATTTATCCATAACAACAACACCAGACCCTTTATCCGGTTTTGTGACAACGATGTCATCGCGTTTTTTCAGATCTTCAATAGCTTGCAAGAGGGCTTTAGGAGGTTTTGGGCTACTCTTATTAATATACTCTAGCGCAACAGATCGTAAGGTTGCGGCTGCTAGTTCGCGTGAATTCTCGTTTGGTAGATGCCGTTCAAGGTTCCAGTATGCTTTCTCGAAGCTTGCCTTGATCTCAACTGGGGACACTCTTTGTGGGATCGCAAATTTCAGGCCACGACAGAGAACCAATTTTTGGAAGAACGATAGTTCATAAGAGGAAATATTCAGGATGTGTTCGTCGACGTCAGTTTCTCTGTAGAGAAGCCTTGAGATCTTTCGAGTGTGAGTGTTCGTAACTTCAAGTTGGAGTTTATTCCGAGGCATAGTGATGGTTCGTAAGATGCACATATAGCGGAATAGTGAACAGGTCTGACGGATTTCATCATAGATGCCATTGATTTCTTCTCGAAGTACCATACTCTCCTGTATTCTTACTCTGAGCTCCTCCGCGATCACGTTCTTTGTAAAGGAAGCAGATGATTTCTTCCACTTAGCACGCCTATCTTTGTCGATCTTGGCAAAAGTAGGTGTGAGTTCGAAGCTCTGGCATAGTCGTAGAAAGTTGATTGATCCCTCGCAGTTGATTTGCTTTTTGCTACAGCGTTCGAGTTTCCGAAACAGATGTAGCTGATTATCTTCTAACTGGTCTTTCTTCTCCGAGGAATGTGACCGCCTTAGAGGGGTTTTTCATAACTTGAAATACCCAAAGCCACTGGTTGAAACTACAATTAAGCGGTTCGTTGAGAGAAGGATTTCATCTGCAGATCCCTGTCCATCACCAGACGTACCATCGGAGATTGTGAGATTAGTGTTACCCTTCAAGGACCAGTCGTCAGCTAATCATGTTAAACAACAACTGAACAGTCTAAGCTCGAAGTTAAGCGTGACTGTCCAACCAGTGTTCGTTAGCCCTAAGCTCGATCAACAGCTTAAGCAACACGAAATTAAGCCCCTATTGTTAACCAACAATGTATCGTTTATGAATTTAAATGTAACCTGTGTGATGCAGGGTATGTGGGCTATACTCGTGGTCACTTACACGAGCGCGTAGAAGGGCACACAAGGAAATCATCTTCTATCTACAAACACTACCACCTCCAGCACAATAGTGAAATGCCTGAACGCTTGATCGAGCAATTCAACGTCATCGCGAAATGTAACGGCAAATTTGATTGCCTTGTTAATGAAATGTTGTATATTCGCATGCGTAAGCCAACACTGAACGTGCAAACGGATTCCATCCGCGCCAAGGTGTTTGTTTAAGCCGTTCATTCTAATTTATGCTATTCTTGTACCTTTCCTTATTTGCATGTTTTTAAACTAGTCTCTTGATAATGGAGTCACGATGACCCCGAAACGTCGAGTAATAAATCTTTCCTGGTTTTTTCTATGCCTTTGCTTTAGCAAATCCCTGCTGATCAAGTGACAGAACATTTAACAAAGTATTTAATTCATAGAAGAAACAAGAAAGTTCTTGTTAACGGACAAATTGATATATAAGGTTTTGCCTGACTCACGTACAAACTTGGAAATGACAAATTAAGTAAAGAACCACAACCGCTGAACCTGTCATGTGACAGGAAACTTTCCATTAGTTGATCAAACAAAACGGAACTTGGAAATTTCACCACACGTAAAACTTTCTACAAATATCTTACTTCCGCCACGCTACAGCGTCCCTTGTCTTTTACCGTTTGGCAGTTCAAGATAATACTTTTAAATTTTGTAACGCTCTCAGTGTTTCACAACTCAACCCATCTGTTTCACCTGCTCCTCCTCCTTAGATAATTGCCATATCATGACCCTTAATAAATGCCACACTAGAAAATTATCACTCTGAATAATTACATATTTTTTTTCTTTTTGTTCTTTATTTATCGCTGCTGTTGGCTGACGCAAGGCATTCAGGTGTTAAAAGTTCACTGGCCACTATCATGCTGCTCCTGCCTCTCTTAGTGTCTTTTCCCTTACTGTTTAACTTGATGTTTGCCATGCAAAACAGCGCTCTCTATCGATCTCCAACAAGCGATCTTTCTTTCGGTAACTTTAAGCGCGATCCATTCCATTACTTGTGGGCAGAGAAACTTTCATCATCCATGATGAGAGATCAGTTGGACTGCGGTTTTCTTTGTGTTGGTGAACCAAATTGTTATTCGTTCAACATGGCAGCGTATCCTGACTCCAAAGGTCTTTATCTGTGTGAGTTATTGGCCACAGACAAGTACAGAGAGGCTGAAAAGGTTCATGCAAATGCTACCTTCCATCACTGCAGTCCCTCGGTAAGATCTGTTCATATATTTGGTGCTTAACACTCTTCGTATTTCTTAAAATAGAAACTGGATGATTCAAGGAATGTTCACTTTGTTTCTAGTCTCCATGTGAAAGCGCTCCTTGTAAGAACGGAGGTGTCTGTGTTCCTGAATATGAAAGGAACTCCTATCATTGTGAATGAAAGCCTTTATTTTGCGGAACTCACTGCAAACGCTACAAATGTGGAGGTATTGAATTTAGTCTTTTACTGTTGCATGTGCTAGAACTGAAAGAGTCACATACTGTCATAAACCACAATTCTTGTATGTATATGGTTTACCTCTCTTCAACTTTTGCCTATGAATTCAATTTTAAATCGGTCTATTGTACTTCTTTTCCCCGATAAACATTCCCCAAGTATATTTCCCGTAAAGAGAAAATAAATTTCGTGTTCATGTCAGGCACTTTATATTAAGATAAATTAAATCTTTTACTTCTAAATTTCTTGTGTTCTTTGTTGCTTTGTTATTTGTTTTTCAGGAAATCGAACTTGCAGTGACATCAAATACTGCAATCCTGAGGCTAAAAATGGCTCTTATGTCATCGACCCTGATGGAGAGGGTGGAGTGAAACCATTTAAGGTCTTCTGTGACATGACTGGCAAGGGCGGGATAGGAGTAACAGTTGTCAGTCACGACAGTGAAAGCAGAACAAAGGTGGCTGGGTTTGAAGACCCTGGTAGTTATTCGCGCAGTGTTACTTATGATGAAACCAGTCTAATTCAGCTAGCAAGCTTAACAGCTTCATCTTCTCACTGTGAGCAGTTTATTAAATACGAGTGCTACGGATCATTCCTCCGTTTCAGTGGTACCATGTACGGCTGGTGGGTATCACGTGATGACGAGAATATGACTTACTGGGGTGGAGTCAACTCTGTTCCCTTTAAATGTGCATGCGGTTTGAATAACACGTGCGCGGACAGCAGTCACGACTGCAACTGCGATAAGAACGATAGGAAATGGCGAGAGGACAGCGGTTTACTAACAGACAAGTGCAAGCTTCCCGTGATTCAAATGAGGTTTGGAGATACTGGTCTCTCGGGAAGTGGCGATGACAAAGAAGAAGGATATCACACGCTTGGAAAACTGGAGTGTTATGGACTTACTTACTGAGAACTCACTAAGACTGTATGTTGAACATTAAAAATATTACTTGAAGACTTATTCTTTTTCTCAGATCTGAATTAAAATGGAGGTCCATGATAGTCAAGAGAAATGTAATGAATTGGTAATTTGATTGAAGTGTAGTGAGAAAAATGGAGAAATTCAAGATGTGTGACTAAAAGTATTTGAAAAAAATTGTAGCCGAATGTCATACTCAGTGTTGGACCACTCAAGTGTTTTGGACTCATTTAATACTCAAAAAAGGGTCATTAACTTTAAGTAGTTGCTATAGTGATACTTGTATATCAAAATCCATTTGTTTTTAATAATAAACATTTCCCTTTTACCGCGTTTGAGAATTCCAAGAGACGTGAAAGCTGTTGCCTGCGGTGAAAAATCTGCCATCGTTTTACAAAACTCATACATGCTTCTAATTCGTCGAAATACATCTTTGATGTAATTTTTATGATGACACAATTTGTTAACCAAAGCAAAGGGGAGACGACCAAGCTGGAAGTTTGTCTGCTAAGAAAATCTTAAATTAAAGATTCAAAAGACTTTATAGTTGCAAACTTTCACCCCTTTTGGGTTCCAATAAAATATGCTAAATCTGAAAATGACTGTAAGTCTAGTATTAGCACTTGAATTCGAAGCCTACAGTAGATAGTCATCTTTGTTACAATTTTTCTTTTTCCCTCTGTTTGGATTTTGCAAGTGATTAAATTATTTGTCTGAGACATTTCATCGGACAGACCTTGATGACCTCTCGTCGGCGCCTTCTACATTTCAATATATGCACGCGAATTCTCAATACCACTAAACAACAAAATGTTATGTATTATGTTAAGGATTTAAAGTTGTGCGACCATTACAGTCCCCTTCAGGATAAATTATATTAATACTCACTGTCGCCTTCTCTCCCCCTACCCATGGAGCCTAAAAACGTTGTCAATCGTTTTATTCTTCAACTAATGGCCCACTCTTTAAATGGTAATTTAGTGTTGACAACTGGGTTGAAAACTTAAATTAGCCACCGTAAAGAGTAAAAAAGCTGACGTTTCGAGCGTTAGCCCTTCGTCAATCGCTCTGACGAAGGGCTATCGCTCGAAACGTCAGCTTTTTTACTCTTTACGGTGGCTAATTTACGTTTTCAACCCAGTTGTTAACACTAAATTACCTGCTATACTCTCCCACCGAGGCAGCACCACAGTTTCTTTAGAAACTTACCCCTTTATTCACTCTTTAAATGCTCTAAAATACCCTTGAGCAGGATACGAAGTCGGTCCTGTTTTTATTCATCAGAAAAGGCAACTTAATCTGGCGACGCAAAGCAATGAAATGATCAGAAAATACGATCTCAGGGAAATCATGATTCTTTTCAGCCATCATGTAAATAAAGTTTCCTCGATATGTTTTTACTTTATGATCATTTCCGGTGAAGTTTGAATATATATTGATAACGAAGCAACAAAGTGCATGTTGCTGCCACCGTTTTGTTTCAATATAGCACTTTGCATAAACTGTTGAGCAAAAAGTCTAAGCCTATTGATTTACGAGAGTACATGTCTATTGAACTAACCATACATTTTGTGGCGAAGATATTTTCTTAGGTGTTCAAATAAAAAATTGCATTTTTTTTTCAGTTTATACAGTTTCTCCTCTCGATTAACTTAATTTCAAAGATAAAGCGTATTCGGAATGAGAAATAAAAGAAACGCATAAAAATATAATATCATAGCATCAATTTTTCTAAACATGATACACAACGTGTCAAAATATCTGAATATTCGCCAAAGTCACGATGCCTTATCCTTTATTGTATAACAGTGGATTGAATTAATTAGTGTTTCTGCAAGCCGGAGGCATTCCACATTTTGACGCTTAAACAAGTTTAGGCTTTCTCTTAAGTGAAATGTTATTCTTTGCTAGTTCTGTAACATGTTCGATAAACAACCTTCGCAAATGTAAGTTTACTTATTTGGATATCTTTTTTGAAACTTTTACCGGAAATATTTTTATGAGTAACTCTGCAATGTTTATAAAAAAAAACAGTATAGTGTTTAATTGAAAATGCTAATAAACAGATATGAAACGACTGACTTTTTTTGCAAATAAAATACATAATCGAGGCTCGCACGTTTCCGATCTTCAAATGTCAGACAGACATGACATAGATGAATCTAAGAGGAAAACAACATTAGCTTCGTGTAGTTGGTACCAAGTTATAGTGTCAATTTTGTTATCCTGCTGCGAGCCAAAATAGAACCTCTTACAGAAATATGAATAGTTAATAGTATTTAAACCTATTTGTATAGAAGGCATCAATAGACATCGTTTCCTCAGATAAAAAAAAAACAGTTTGAAAGCAATTCTTTTAAAAAAAAACTAAAAAAAGTATCAGGTTTGTCAAGAAGGAGAGGTTTATTCAGGAAAACTTTTTAAAATTTACTGTTCCACTTCTACTTCCCCTTTAGTAGGAGTTTATCCCACTCATGGCACCTGCTTCATAGATGTGGCTATTAATTCTTAATTACTGACAAGCAATAATAAAGGACCTATTTTTTAATTTGAATGTAAAGTCTGCGGTATCATACAGCAACTCATTCCCGTGGTGAGAGTTCATCGGCCACCATCATGCTGCTTCTGCCACTCCTGTTGTTTTTTCCTTCTTTGTTAGGATTGTTGTTTGCCACACAAAACAGCGCTCTCTATCGATATCCAACAAGCGATCTTTTTTTCGGTTACATAAAGCGCGATGTCTTCCATTACTTATGGGCAGAGAAACTTTCATCATCCACGGTGAAAGATCAGTTGGACTGCAGTTTTCTTTGTCTTCGAGAGCCAAAGTGTCATTCGTTCAACATGGCAGCGTATCCCGACTCCAAAGGAGTTTATCTGTGTGAGTTATTGGCCACAGACAAGTACAGAGAAACTGAAAAGTTCCATGCAAATGTTTCCTTCCATCACTACAGTCCGTTGGTAAGATCTCTCCATATGTCTGGTGATAAAACACTCTTTTATAGTTTTTAATACAAACTGAATGATTCAAGAAATGTTTACTTTGTTTCTAGCCTCCATGTGAAAGCGCTCCTTGTAAGAACGGTGGTGTCTGTGTTCCTGAATATAAATGGAGCTCCTTTCATTGTGACTGTAGACCAGGATTCTGCGGAACTCACTGCGAAAGGGGAGGTATTGAATCTGTCCTACTTTCTGTTGCATGAAGAAAAATTGAAAAAAAAAAACTCATACTGTTATTTTCAATCATCTGTTATAAATTGATGGTTTACCTATGTTCAACCTTGTGCTATAAAATTAAATGCATTCGAATCAGTCTTTTGTCTTGCCTTCCTGATAAACATACCTTAATTGGTTTTTCCTTTAAAGTGCCTATGACAAGAATTTTTTTTTTTGCATAAGTATTTAGCTTATCATATGTTCAAACCAATTCCGATAAAAAACAAAATTTCAAATAACTTAAAAACTCGGTTTTTCGGGCCTTAAAGTGCTCTTATTTTGTGTTAAAAGTGTACCGTGGACTGGTAACGAATTAGCGGGTTATGACGTAGAAAACTGTGAAAGCTCTCAGTGGTAACTTGCAAATCTCTCAGTTTTCTTGTAATTTTGTATCAGTCGACGTTGAAAAACTGTCCAATAGCGATGTATACCTACCTTCACCAAGCTCTACCAAGAGTTGATACATCGTACCCAATTAGTAAAGAAGGAGGTTGCGATTAGGGTTCAGCCCTACGAAAGAGAACCATGTGCATCAAACGAAGATTTAGACGAAGACTGACAAAATGGTTTCTCGCCTGCGGTGTTTAGGTCAAGACGGGAACAAAAAAAAACTCCTGATACTAAATGTTTAGTTGTTGCGTTTGGCGCTTTGTTTTCTACGGCGAAATCCATTTTAAAAATGGGTAGCTGTGTCCGTTTCGGTCGTCTTAAAATTTTATTCCTTTGCACTAAGTGGGGCGAAGGTTCTCCTTGCTCAGTGCTCTAGTGTTTCGTTGCTGTAGAGTAATTCCCTTAGCAAACCAAAAGCTAACTTTTGACGAAAGAATCAGTTGTACCATGGGGCACGATGACTTTTCGCCGAGAAGTCATCGGGCAGTTTCACTGCAAGTTGCTTCTTTCCTTAGAGATTGCTGAGGCAGAGGCTATCGTCAAAGGGAAAATAGTGAGTTTATATAGATTTAAGTCAATCTCAAATAGGGATTTCAATAGAGGAAAACTCATTTAGTTTAAGCGCAGCATTGCCATGTGATCCATTTCGCTCAATGGCAAATAACTGACATCAGTGTTGTAAGTTAATATTTCGTATGTATCGACTTTCGTACAGCATTTGGATTCGCTACCATCTAATTCAATAATATTTGTGTTTATTTATTTATCTCGTAGGAAACCTAGGTTAGGAGGATACACAGCCCTTTCGAGTTTGTGTTTATACCAGTATCCGCACCAGAGGTTTCTCATTGCTAAGGCAACAGGATATCGGTCAGCTCAGGAAAGGGCTTGAACTTGATTACAAATGATGTATTTCTGTTAATAGAACACGATGAAAACTGCAATTAGTAGGATTTTCATACGATTAGAAAAGCGTTAATGTACTCATGTGGAAAGACAAGGAGTATGAGTACATCTCAAACAGGTGAAATAAAGAAAACAATAAGGAGCTTACCATTCTTTGCTTGCAGCCGAAAAGAATGTTGAACAATCGTGTGCGGTGTCGGAACAGGCATTCTTTTTAGCTAAATTCATTGATTATCTTCCCCTGATTTAACAAGTGGTATGTGTTCGTAACAGCCGTTTTCGAAGTCGGTACGGTGCATATGGCCGACGACATTGAAGAGTAAAATCTCCTCGATGTCGACGATCGAAACGCATCCATTTTGGTCATACAGCTACATCCTTTGGAAATTAGTGTATAGAAATACCCGGTATATGTGTATTATTCTTGTAGCTAACATCTTTTAACGCTCCGGCCATGCAATGCGTTCGTCCTTTCTTCCAGATTTCTCCTTTCTTTAACATAGTTGCCGTCGTGTCTTCACAGTTTTCTAGGTCACAGCTATGTAATGTGATCGTTTTGGCGGCGCGCTTAACGAGAACACTTTTTGGCCGACAAATCGTAATTTCAAAGCGCAGAAAAATGGTCAAGGAGAACTTGCTAGGCGCAAAGGTCGATTATTTCTACTTTTAAACACAGCTATCAGAAAATGCAAAAAATGTAATTTCGTGTACATGTCATAGGCACTTTATATTAAGATAAAAGAAATCTTTTACTTCTAAATTTCTAATATTCTTTGTTGCTTTGTTATTTGTTTTTTAGGAAATCGAACTTGCAGTGACACCAAGTACTGCATTCCTGAGGCTAAAAGTGGCTCTTATGTCATCGACCCTGATGGAGAGGGTGGAGAGAAACCTTTTAAAGTCTTCTGTGACATGGCTGACAAGGACGATGTTGGAGTGACAGTTGTCAGTCACGACAGTGAAAACAGAACGCTGGTGGATGGATTTCAGGATCCCGGCAGTTATTCGTGCAATGTCACGTACCAGGGAACCAGTCTCCTTCAGCTGGCAAGTCTAACAGCTTCATCGGCTCACTGTGAGCAGTTTATAATGTACGAGTGCTATCACTCAAGGCTCTTTCGCGATGGTTACGGCTGGTGGGTATCACGTGATGGAGAAGAGATGAAGTACTGGGGAGGAGTGGATTCTATCGATGACAAATGCGCATGCGGCATGAACCATACATGTGCAAACCCTCAGTACGGATGTAACTGCGACAAACTTGACCAACAATGGCGAGAGGACAGTGGTTTACTTACTAACAAGTCTAGGCTTCCGGTGAAGCAACTGAGGTTTGGAGATACCGGCCTTACAAGTAGTGATCAGGGATACCACACACTTGGAAAGTTCAAGTGTTTTGGACTTATATAGATCGTAACTGTATACCTGCTATTTGTAGACTCGCCTGTTATAGCGCTGTAAAGTAACATGCTATCTGTTATGATAGTTCGCTGCCTTATGCAAAGGGATTCCAGAATGTATAAACATCAGTAGGAAGGTTAAAATGTTTGGCGCATGTGTTTTAGCATATTAAGCATAATTTTAGGCGCCAAAGAATACAATATTCGTTCTTGTTTATTTTGGCGATGTACTGGATCGATGATGTTTTTTATTTGTTTCAAAAAAAACATTCCATTCTGAAAACTCAACACCAAATTTTTAAAACAGCTCATGATTTAATTTGAAAAACTTTACCTGGCTGCGAGGACCTATGGCAAGGAAGAAAAATCCTTGTCAGAAAAAAAAAGCTAATTAGTTATCATATAAAAGGACCTCTTATTGCAGCGTTTAGATCATCCCCGTTGAAGGCACTATATAGGCAGGAGTGTCGAAACGTTGGGTCTATGAATTGTAACTTCTTCGGTTACATTCATTCAATCTGTAAACCAGATTAGCATCAAACCATATCTGATTGTCCACCTGGTTGCCGTGTGAACTTTAATATTTTTTACATTGTGGAAGGTCACATACTTGCCTACTTTTGATCACGTGATTTCTTATACATATCGAAAAGCTCATTCATCTGAACTTAACATCGTAAGCCTGAGTCGTCTCAGGGTAAACGCGAGCTATTTCTCAAAAATAGCCAGCTTTTCTCTTCTCTTCTTGTTCTCGGCATGATGTTACCCAAATACAGAGTAGTAAGTGAACTTTTTTAATGAATATTTTCTAGTGAATTTTAAACAAACCTTTACCGTTTCTGGTTAACTATTGTCTGCCACATTAGTTAAAATGTATGTATCTCACGCCCTGTGCAGATCACAGGAATTTGTACATTCTACATTACGAATGTCATTTCTTGTTTTCGTAAGAGAAGGTTATAATGTTCTTTTCTATCGACATGTGCAATATCAAACCCGTCCATTCATTTTCGCGCAGCTCTGTTACCTACTTTATTTGACGTGGTACAAAATCAACGGACAATTATCAGCCAATAACCCCATGTTAACATTTGTCCGATTATTTCCGTCGAAAAGCGAGAAAGCCAACGTAAAAAGCCCAACAGTTTCACTTTCTCGACTTAATTACTTGAAAAGGGAGAAAAACGAACTTATTTTGTAGAGTCCACAGGTGTTGGGAATTAAAGGCTGATCTCAAATGCTGCTCTAGAAAGTACAAAAAAGATAACGAAACTTTATTTTATACGCACGATACAAAAATTAATGAGAGGGTTACAAATAATAAATAAAATAAATATCCCCCTCCTAGCTTGCTGGCATGTCGCCTGATAATGCCCTTGGCTGAGAGATTGTCCTCAAAATTTCAAATTTACCCTCAAAGCCTTGCTTCTTGGCCAAAGATTCATTTTTTGGGCAATTTCTCGGTCGTGGACATTATCAGCCGACATACTCGACATAGCCGCCTGCCTCGACAGCCTTCTCGTGTTTTTCCTTTAATAATAAGAGTGTCAATTCTAAGTACCAGTTTCTTCCTCACTCCTAAGGTCGTCAGGCAAAGTACTGGTGAATGTTTGGAGACGAAGGTGCGAAAGACTATAGAGGTCTAGGAATTTATTGGTCATCAACATGCACGAGTAAAACTGCTTGACGCCAGTGCTGTCAGCCGGGGCCATATAAACTTTGATGATCTCACTGGAGATATCAGCTGTGGAACGGACTTATGACGTACACATTACACTTATGATGTCGGATACAGGGGAGAGTGTGGGGTTCCGCTCCCCCACCATCAGGATTTATTAACTACTTGCCTAAAAGCAAAATTCTTTCAACGACAGGATCGCATATGAGTACTCAGCTTGAAGAAACTAAAGCTTATCATGTAGAGATATTCAGTACTTTGTAAAAACTAAAACAAATACAAAAAATTGTTTTCTGCATCGAAGTTTGGACTACCCCCTCCCCCTTCCCCCAAATATTGAAGATGAGAACCGTGGTAAATCCAGTAGAAGTGAGCGTTCCAAGATCGACGAGAAGAGGCACGATGATGCAAATCAATGAAATTCCGGGAAGTATCAAACTGTAGTAAATCCAGAACACAATTCTTGTGGGAGGAGCTCACAATCTCAGAAAGGTTTCATCGATAAAGAAAATTGAAAAAAATGAAACTTCTCAAGCTTATTTTATAATCAACAAAATGTCATGGTCTGATCTTACACAGAACAACATCTCTTTAATTAGAAAGCTCTACAAGTTTTAATACGAAGTGCGAAAGCTTATGTTATAACAAAATGCATTGGACTGTTCTTTGAATAAAGCGACAGCTTTTTAATTACAAACTGCAACTGGTACTAAAAAGAGCGAAAGTAATATTCCGGGATACGACAACAGTTTTAAAGAGCGAAGATTGTATTACAAAGTGCGACAACTTTTTTATTAAAAAGCGCGGCAAGTGTTCTTATAAAGTGCGATAGTTATTGCAAGAGCGACGATCATTGCGACAGGAAGTTAAACAGGTGAAACACATCAACATACTCCAAGACAACGAAACTTTCCTAAAAGGGTGAGGAGATCAAATAGTTAACATGGACCAATCTAGCAACCAAAATAACCCAGCTTTTTCACGAAGGAGGCTTTCGTATTTCAATACTATTATGAACGATAGCTTTTGTCTGACGTACACGTTTATCACGTGAAACGTTTATTCCATTCATATACGTTAATGAAGTATTATTTTAAACATAAGCTCAAGTTTCACGATACTGAGATAGTCTTGGCTCTCGTGGATTTGAATTTAGATCGATGTAGTGAATTGTATACGGTAATTTTCCTTTGAACTTAACATAAAAAAAATAATGATTAGGGAGATGAAAGTGTGTACATTGACAATCGCCACTTAAAAATTACTATTCCGCATAATAAACATAAAATGTCAAAAAACAAAATTAAAGTCCTATTTTTAATTTCGCGTGTTATTTTCCCATCCCCGCTCAGCTTTGAGCTCCGGCAGGCAAAACAGTGTCAAATAGCTTGCTTCGATGCAATTAGATAACAGCCTTCGCAAGCGTGAAGTGGAAATACATTTAATAAACAAACTCCGACGCCCCGAAAAATTTTAAGTCGTTTTCTCTGACAAAGTGCTTTGGCTTGAGTTTTGATCTTTGGAAAGTTTATTGTTGGCTGGTATTCAGTCAATTTTCGTGAAATTTGATGATAATGTCAGAATTATAATGAACCCCAAAAGTGTGTCCCGGATTTTCGATTTTTCCTTATTTCTCGAGATATAGCGACAACATTGAAAACTTTGCTCAAGAGTGCTACTTTCAAGTTTAAAAAATAATAATCCAAAAATAACGAATCGTTTAAATACAAATCCCGGACACCCTTCCTTAGTTCAAAATATGGGCAGATCACGTTCTCAGCATAAAAGAAGCGTGTTGATGAAAATGCGTCGTCCTATAAACTTATCTTGTAAAACGTCGCGGCGTGAGAGAATAAGCTCCCGTTCTGTTCAATGCATATCTGAAATCACTGTTTATTAAGTTTTAAGAAAATGTATTCTTTTACTGGAATAGGGCGCATAATTTTAGGCTATTTCAGTTTGAATGAAAGCGCTAATTTTCCATCGGTGATACTTTAAACTTAAAGTATCACCTGCTTTAGATATCAAACGTTCACCACTCTTCGATGTCTTTTGCGTTTTTCTCTTTTGTCTTTTTCCACCTGGCAGTTAAGAGGAAATGGGTGTTTTCACAAGTCAGTGACATTTTTTTCAGTACACAGAACACTTAACTAAGTATTTAATTCATAGAAGAAACAAGAAAGTTCTTGTTAACGGACAAATTGACATATAAGGTTTTGCCTGACTCACGTACAATCTTGGAAATGACAAATTATGAAAGGAATCACCATCAGTTGATCAAACAAAGCGGAACTTGGAAATTTCACCACACGTATTACTATTTACAAATATCTAACTTCCGCCACGCTACAGCGTCCCTTGTTTTTTACCGTTTGGCAGTTCAAGATAATACTTTTATAATGAAAAGGCATAACGAGGACACTTCAATTTTGAAACGCTCTCAGTGTTTCACAACTCAACCCATGTGTCTCACCTGCTCCGCCTCCTTAGATAATTGCCATATCATGACCCTTGACCAATGCCACACTAGAAAATTATCACTCTGAATAATTATTTTTTTTTTTTTCTTTTTGTTCTTTATTTATCGCTGCTGTTAGCTGACGCAACGCATTCAGGTGTTAAAAGTTCACTGGCCACTATCATGCTGCTCCTGCCTCTTTTAGTGTTTTTTCCTATCGATCTCCAACAAGCGAGCTTTCTTTCGGTAACTTTAAGCGCGACCCCTTCTATTACTTGTGGGCAGAGAAACTTTCATCATCCATGGTGAGAGATCAGGTGGACTGCGGTTTTCTTTGTGTTGGTGAACCAAATTGTTATTCGTTCAACATGGCAGCGTATCCTGACTCTAAAGGTCTTTATCTGTGTGAGTTGTTGGCCACACACAAGTACACAGAAACTGACAAGTTCCATGCAAATGCTTCCTTCCATCACTACGGTCCGTTGGTAAGATTTCTCTATATGTTTGGTGATAAACACTCTTTGTAGTTCTTTGAATACAAACTGAATGATTCAAGGAATGTTTACTTTGTTTCTAGCCTCCGTATGTAAGCGCTCCATGTAAGAACGGTGGTGTCTGTGTTCCTGAATATAAATGGAGCTCCTTTCATTGTGACTGTAGACCAGGATTCTGCGGAACTCACTGCGAAAGGGGAGGTATTGAATCTGTCCTACTTTCTGTTGCATGAAGAACTGAAAAAAAAAAAACTCATACTGTTATTTTCAATCATCTGTTATAAATTGGTGGTTTACCTATGTTTAACCTTGTGCTATAAAATTAAATACATTCGAATTAGTCTATTTTACTGCTTTCCCGATAAACATACCTTAGTTTGTTTTTCCTTTAAAGTGCCTATGAAGAGAATTTTTTTGGTGTAAAATTTTAGCTTATCATATGTTCAAACCAATTCCGATAGAAGAAAAAATTTCAAATAACTTCAAACTCGGTTTTTCGGCCTTAAAGTGCTCTTGTTTTGTTTTAAAAGTGTTCCATGGACTGGTAACGAATGAGCGGGTTATGACGTAGAAAACTGTAAAAACTCTCTATTGCACAAATCCCTCACTTCTCCTGTAATTTTGTATCAGTCAGCGTTGAAATACTCTTGAAATAATTTCCGATAGCGATGTATACCTACCTTCACCAAACTCTACCGAGAGTTGATACATCGTACCCAATTAGTAAAGAAAAAATTGGAGGTTGCGAGTACGGTTCAGCCTTACGAAAGAGAACCACGTGCATGAAACGAAGATTTAGACGCAGACTGACAAAGGTTTCTCGCCTGCAGTGTTTAGGTCAAGATAAGAACAAAAAACTCCCGTTACTAAATGTTTAGTTGTTGCGTTTGGCGTTCTGTTTTTTATGGCGAAATCCATGTTAAAAATGTGTAGCTGTGTTCGTTTCTGTTGCCATAAAATTTTATTCCTTCGCACTAAGTGGGGCAAAGGTTCTCCTTGCTCAGTGCTCTAGTTTTTCGTCGCTGTAGAGTAATTCCCTTAGCAAACCAGAAGCTACTTTTACGAAAGAACCAGCTGTATCATGAGGAACGATGACTTTTCGCCAAGAAGTCATCGGGCAGTTTCACTGCAAGTCGCTCCTTTCCTTAGAGATTGCAAAGGCAGAGGATATCGTCGTCGAGCCGATCAAAAGGAAAAAGAGTTAGTTTATAGAGATTCAAGTCAATCTCAAGTAGGGATTTTAATAGACAAAAACTCCTTTAGTTTAAGTGCAGCATTGCCACATGACCCATTTCGCTCAATGGCAAATAACTGACATCAGTGTTGTAAATTAATATTTCGTATGCATCGACTTTCGAACACCACTTGGATTCGCTACCATCTAATTCAATAATATTTGTGTTTATTTATTTATCTCGTCAGAAACCTAGGTTAGGAGAATACACAACCCCTTCGAGCTTGTGTTTATGCCAGTATCCGCCAGAGGTTTCTCATTGCTCAGGCAACAGAGTATCGGTCAGCTCAGGAAAGGGCTTGAACTTGATTACAAATTATGTATTCCTGTTATTGTAACACGATGGAAACTACAATTATTAGGATTTTCAAACGATTAGAAAAGCGTAAATGTAGTCATGTGGAAAGACAAGGAGTATGAGTACATCTCAAGCACGTGAAATAAAAAAACAATAAGGAGCTTACCATTCTTTGCTTGCAGCCGAAAAGAATGTTGAACAATCGTGTGCGGTGTGGGAACAGGCATTCTTTTTAGCTGAATTTATGGTTATCTTCCCCTGATTTAACAAGTGGTATGTGTTCGTAACAGCCGTTTTCGAAGCCGGTTCGGAGCATAAGGCCGACGACATTGAATAGTAAAATCTCCTCGATGTCGACGATCGAGGAGCGTCCATTTTGGCCATACAGCTACATCCTTTGGAAATTAGTGTATAGAAATACCCGGTATATATGTATTATTCTTGTAGCAAACATCTTTTAGCACTCCAGCGACGCAATGCGTTCGTCCTTTCTTCTAGATTTCTCCTTTATTTACCATAGTTACTGACGTGTCTTCACAGTTTTCTACGTCATAACTATGTAACGTGATCGTTTTGGCCGCGCGCTTAATGAGAACACTTTTTGGCCGACAAATCGTAATTTCAAAGCGCAGAAAAATGGTCAAGGAGAACTTGCTAGGCGCAAAGGTCGATTATTTATACTTTTAAACACAGCTATCAGAAAATGCAAAAAATAAAATTTCTTGTACATGTCATAGGCACTCTATCTTAATCTTTTACTTCTAAATTTCTAATGTTCTTCGTTATTTTTTTTTTTAGGAAAGGAAATCGAACTTGCAGTGACATCAAGTACTGCAATCCTGAGACTAAAAGTGGCTCTTATGTCATCGACCCTGATGGAGAGGGTGGAGTGAAACCATTTAAAGTCTTCTGTGACATGACTGACAAGGACGGGATAGGAGTGACAGTTATCAGTCACGACAGTGAAAGTAGAACTTTGGTGGATGGGTTTGATGACCGTGGTAGTTATTCGCGCAGTGTTACTTATAATGAAACCAGTCTAATTCAGCTAGCAAGTTTAACAGCTTCATCTTCTCACTGTGAGCAGTTTATCAAATACGAATGCTATGATTCAGTGCTCCTTTCCAATGGTGACATGTTCGGCTGGTGGGTAACACGTGATGACGAGAAGATGGAGTACTGGGGTGGAGTCAACTCTGTTCCATACAAATGTGCATGCGGTTTAAATAACACGTGCGTGGACACCAGTTACGGCTGCAACTGTAATAAGAATGATTGGAATTGGCGAGAGGACAGCGGTTTACTAACAGACAAGTCCAAGCTTCCCGTGATTCAATTGAGGTTTGGAGATACTGGTGTTAATGAAACAGGATATCACACGCTTGGAAAACTGGAGTGTTATGGACTCATCTAGAATTCACATTTAAAAGACAACTTGAACATTGTATTCCTTTAGTCAGAACTGAATTTACATGGAGGTCCATGATAATGAATTGGTAATTTGATTGTAATGTTGGGAGAAAAATGGAGAAATTCATAATGTTTAGTTAAAAGTATTTGAAAAAAAATTGTAACCGAATGTCATACTCGGTGTTGGGCCGCTCAAATGTTTTGGACTCATTTAAGACTCAAATACAGGTCATTAACTTTTGTTATTGACCTGTATTTGAGTTGCTCTTTAATACTTATATATCAAAATTCGTTTTTTTTTAATGGTAACATTCCTCTGTCACCGCGTTGGAAAGCTTTGCCTGCAGCAAGAAACCTGCCATCTTTTTGCAAAAGTCAGATATATTTCCAGTTCGTCGAAATATATCTATGATATAATTTAATGATGGCACAATTTGTTTACCAAAGACAAGTGGAGACGACCAAGCTGGAAGTTAGTCTGCCAAGAAAATCATAAATAAAAGATTGAAAGGACCTCTTAGTTGCAAACTTTCACCCCTATTTGAATCCAATAAAATATACTAAATCTGAAAATGACTGTAAGTGTAGTATTAGCACTTGAATTCGAAGCCTACAGTAGATAGTCATCTTTATCACAATGGCCTAATTTTTCTTTAAAAGCAACTATGGTTCGGTTTCATTTTCCTCTGTTTGGATTTTGCTAGCGACTAAACTATTTGGCTGAGGCAATTCATTGGACAGAGCTTCATGACCTCTCGTTGGCGCCTTATGCATTTAAAATCTATGCACGCAAACTCTCAATACCACTCAACAACAAAATGTTATGTACTATGTTAAGGATTTAAAGTTCTGTGACCATTACAGTCACCTTCAGGATAAATTATATTAATATTCATCGTCACCTTCACTCCCCCTACCCATGGAGCCTAAAAAACGTTGTCAATCGTTTTATTTTTCGAGTAATGGCCCACTCTTTAAATGCTCTGAAATACTCTTGAGTGGATTACGAAGTTGGTCCTGTTTCAATTTATCAGAAAAAGGCAACTTAATCTGGCGACGCAAAGCAATAAAACGATCAGAAAATACGATCTCAGGGAAATCATGATTGTTTTAAGCTATCATGTAAATAAAGTTTTCTCAATCCGTTTTTACTTTATGATCATTTCCGGTGACGTTTGGAGAGCTCAGTATAGGGGGTCATTGGGAATCAGTAGGGTGGGTGGAATTTGTCAAAGCGAAATTGATGATTTTGACAAATTTTCGCTATTTTCGTTACTGCATGCATTTCTCTGGAAGTATTTCAATTAGTTAATCGTTAGAGGTCTTTAAAATTAAGTTTCCTTCGTCAGGGAAAGACTCAATAGGTGTAAAAATGATTTGTAACTCGTGCTAAATGAACAACAAAGTTAATATGGGTTTAAACTTGTAATAACCGTCTGCTGTCAAAGGTATTAACATCGTCAACCGTCAAGATTTAACCATCAATAGTCAAAATTGGAAAAAAAATCAACTTTCAACATTAACCCCTTTATTGAGACCTTCTTTTAACCTTTACTTTGAAAAGTCTTGTAACTCTAAATTACCTACGTATATAAAAAATTATCCAGTTTCCATCAAAGTGGATTTGGAATATTAATTGATAACGAAACAACAAAGTCCATGTCATTTTTAAATATATTTATGCATATAGCTGCCAATGTTTTGTTACAATAAAACACTTTACAACAAACTGTTGAGCAAAATTTCTAAAACTATTGATTTATGAAAGTATTCGGTTGAACCAGCCATATATTTTTTGGCAGTGATATTTAGTTAGGTGTTCGGATACAAAAAAATATTTTGTTTTAATTTTATGCAATTTCTCTTTTCGATCATCTTAATTTCAAAGATGAAGCGCATTGGGAATGAGAGATAAAAAGCAAAGCATAAAAATATAGCATCATTACATCAATTTTTCTAAACATGAGACATAACGTGTCAAAATATCTGAATATTCGCCAAAGTTATGACTTCTTTATCGTATAACAGTGGAATGAATTAATTATTGTGCTTCTGCAAGCCGGAGGCATTCCGCATTTTGACGCGTAAACAAGTTTATTCGTAATTAAACAATACCAGAGGCTGCAAAGATCTTCCGACAATCTTTTGGTATATTCACAAACATTAAATGGCTTTTTTTCGGTTCCCTATATGGCATACTTAAACAATTATTCGCCTCCACTTTGGTGAATAACTGTTGATTATTTATTCCTGTTATCCGCGAACTAGCATCTCTGGGATACAAGGCCGCAAGACGTTCATTTCAGTGACGATAATGTTCCAGCTTTTTTCCCGTTGATTACGATGAGTTACTCATCAGTTCTAAATAACTATCCCTGGTAAAACGCCCATCGTTCGTTCTCTCTATAATGTATTTCCCGACGAAAACGTGTTGTTTGTTGTCATTATAGTGCACTAATAAACCATTTTTTGCATCTCAGGCTGATACAAGTCGAAGACTATTTTCTTTTCAATCTAGTTATGTAGAACAAATGCAATTCAACGCTGCTTTGCAGGCCTCGTTGAAATTGCACCTAAAGTAATCCTAAACGAGTACTCTGACCATTTCTCCTAGGTCAAATGTTATTCTGTAGCATGTTCGATAAACAATATTCGCAAATATGAGTTTTTCTATCTGGATATTTGTTTCTGAACTTTTTACAAGAAATATTTAATGAGTAACTGTGCAATGTTTATATTTGAGACCAGTATATTGTTTAATTGAAAATGCTAATATACGGAGGTGAAACGACTGACATTTTTAGCAAATAAATTACGTAATCGAGGCTCGCTCGTTTTCCGATCCATGTAGAGGATTTCCTAACATTTTTAAGAGATGTCAGACAGACATAACTTAGATAAATTTCTTCAATTTCTTTTTGCTGAACTTGTTCCAATTTAAAATGATTATTGTTTATTAATTAGATAAGCTCCTTTTAAGTCACGAAGAGGAAATCTGCCCAGTATCTGCCTATGATCAGGAATTCGTCCGGTAAACAATAACTGCGGGAGGTAATGAAAGATTAGTTTGATATTTGGTGTTTTTAATTTTGCCCAAAAAAGAAAAAACTAAAAATTAGAAAAGAACTTTTTTTTCTTTCACAAAAAGCCTTCTAAGAGGAAAGTGTCTCGGCATAGTAAATAATAAAAATATTACATAAACAGCCGCTCCCTCTAAAAGAGGAAAACAACTTTAGCTTCTTTTGGTTGGTGCCAATTTATAGTCAGTGTCAATTTATTTCATATATTGTTAGCCTGGTGCGAGCCAAAACATAACTTCTTACAGCAAACCTGCTAACAGGGACATGTGAAGGAGTAACTAGAAATTTACTTTCAAGTTTGTCGTAGAGTAGGGAGCAGAGTACCAAAAATCTCTTTAAAATTAACAAAAACATTAGTACAAACCAATATAATAAATCATTGGCATTGTCAGAGTTAATAGATATTGATATGAATATTTAAAACTTTTTAAACCTGTTGTATAGAAGGTATTAATAGACATCTTTTCCTCCATAGGAAAAAAAACAACTGTTTGAAAGTAATTCTTGTTAAAAAAAAAAAAAATCTAAAAAAAGTATCATGCAGGTTTGTCAAGGAGAGTTTTATTTAAGATGACTTTTTAAAACTTACTGTTCCACCTCTACTTCCTCTATAGTAGATGTTTATCCCACCCATAGCACCTGCTTCATAGATGTGGCGAGTTATTGGCCAAAGACAAGCACAGAGAGGCTGAAAAGGCTCAAGCAAATGCTACCTTCCATCACTGCAGTCCGTTGGTAAGATCTCTTCATATATTTGGTGCTTAACACTCTTCGTATTTCTTCAAATACAAACTGGATGATTCAAGGAATGTTTACTTTGTTTCTAGTCTCCATGTGGAAGCGCTCCTTGTAAGAACGGTGGCCTGTCTATGTTCCTGAATATGAAAGGAACTCCTATCACTGTGATTATCAGCCTGGATTCAGTGGAACTCACTGCAAACGTGGAGGTATTAAATTCGTTTCAAACTGAGAGGTACAAACTCTAAAGTAGAAGTCATAATATAGTTATAACTAAATGTCATTGAAAACTTTGTGCAACTGCTTCCATCTACATTTCTCTGTGTCTTTTTACTTTTCAGGAAATCGAACCTGCAGTAATATCAAACACTCCTACCCTAAGACTCCAAGTGACTCTTACGTCATCGATCCTGATGGAGAGGGTGGAGAGAAACCTTTTAAAGTCTTCTGTGACATGGCTGACAAGGACGATGTTGGAGTGACAGTTGTCAGTCACGACAGTGAAAACAGAACGCTGGTGGATTGATTTCGTGCAATGTCACGTACCAGGGAACCAGTCTCCTTCAGCTGACAAGTCTAACAGCTTCATCTGCTCACTGTGAGCAGTTTACAATGTACGAGTGCTATCACTCAAGGCTCTTTCGCGATGGTTACGGCTGGTGGGTATCACGTGATGGAGAAGAGATGAAGTACGAGGGACGAGTGGATTCTATCGATTGCAAATGCGCATGCGGCTTGAACCATACATGTGCAAACCCTCAGTACGGATGTAACTGCGACAAACTTGACCAACAATGGCGAGAGGACAGTGGTTTACTTACTAACAAGTCCAGGCTTACCGTGAAGCAACTGAGGTTTGGAGATACCGGCTATACAGATAGTGATCAGGGATACCACACACTTGAAAAGTTGAAGTGTTTTGGACTCATATAGATCGTAACTGTCTACCCGCTATTTTTAGACTCGCCTGTTATAGCGCTAACATATCTGTTAAACATATATAAAACAACTAAAATGTGTGTTTGTTTTGCATATTAAGCATAATTTTTAGTCATTTTCCCAACATTCTGACAATTGATGTAGTCCAAATACTTTTGAAAAAAAACCCGATAAACAAACTCGGTCCTCGAGTATATGACGATTAAACAATTTTTCCCTTGTTAAACCTTAGACAATTGACTCTCATTGATATAAATTCTCTTAGATTAAAATTCTCTTAGATTAAAGTGAGCAACTCAAGTACACTGCGCCAACGAATAATTCGAAGGCCCCATTCTAACTGAGCCGTTGGTGAGGCACTATCACTGTCAAAAAAAATGAAATGAAATAATACAGACCGCAACAAATAAGTTACTTATAGTATAACTGCCTCTATGCATAAGCTCCAATGATTCCTGAATAACGTATCAGAATCCTAAAGAGGAATGTTATGGTTGTACCACATTTGCTTACCTGATTGTTTATCATGTAAAGACAGATTTCTTATGAGAGCTTCCTCTTCAGAGTTTATCGGTCAAGTTGTTATACTCTAAACCAAAACTATTAAGACCTCTTTCATCGATGACTGGCCTGGTTTATACGATTAAGAATGCAAGTCAAGCTGGACGTTTAAAAATCAGTTTGAAAACCCCTTTTGCAAAAGTCAATAGAAACTAAGTCAGTGAATTATTTAACGCTGGGAGCAAGAAAGATGCGTGACAGTGCCTCCAGCAACTCGAGCTTCTTGAGTTTTTTGAGTCAATTTACTTTTATGTTAAACATTCTTAACAGGGTCCTCCACTAAGCTTCATTGTGTGCAAAAATATCATTAGCACGATAACAAAATAAAGCAACCTCGCGCTATTGAATGTGTAGGTTACAATACTTGTTTAAGTGGACAGTGCTGGTACAGACAAAATATTATCAGCAGTCAAATTTAATGATCTTGATCACAGTGATCAGTCATTTTGACGTAGACTTCTCAGTTTTCTAGCTTCTCCAAATAACGAACACAAGGAGTATTGCATAAAAGCTAATTAGTTATCATATAAAAGGACCTCTTGTTGTAGCGTTTAGATCATCCCTGTTGAAGGCACTATATAGGCAGGAGTGTCGAAACGTTGGGTCTATGAATTGTAACTTCTTCGGTTACATTCATTCAATCTGTAAACCAGAGTAGCATCAAACCATGTCTGATTGTCCACCTGGTTACCGTGTGAACTACATTGTGGAAGGTCACAAACTTGCCTACTTTTGATCACGTGATTTCTTATACATATCGAAAAGCTCATTCATCTGAACTTAACATCGTAAGCCTGAGTCGTCTCAGGGTAAACGCGAGCTATTTCTCCAAAATAGCCAGCTTTTCTCTTCTCTTCTTGTTCTCGGCATGATATTACCCAAATACAGAGTAGTAAGTGAACTTTTTTAGTGAATATTTTCTAGTGAATTTTAAACAAACCTTTACCGTTTCTGGTTAATTATTGTCTGCCACATTAGTTAAAATGTATGTATCTCACGCCCTGTGCAGATCACAGAGCTGCAATGCTCGAAGGGAATTTGTACATTCTACATTACGAATGTCATTTCTTGTTTTCGTAAGAGAAGGTTATAATGTTCTTTTCTATCGACATGTGCAATATCAAACCCGTCCATTCATTTTCGCGCAGCTCTGTTACCTACTTTATTTGACGTGGTACAAAATCAACGGACAATTATCAGCCAATAACCCCATGTTAACATTTGTCCGATTATTTCCGTCGAAAAGCAAGAAAACCAACGTAAAAAGCCCAACAGTTTCACTTTCTCGACTTAATTACGTTAAAAGGGAGAAAAACGAACTTATTTTGTAGAGTCCACAGGTGTTGGGAATTAAAGGCTGATCTCAAATGCTGCTCTAGAAAGTACAAAAAAGATAACAAAACTGTGTTTTATACGCACGATACAAAAATTAATGAGAGGGTTATAAAATAAATATCCCCCCTTCTAGCTTGCTGGCATGTCGCCTGATAATGCCCTTGGCTGAGAGATTGTCCTCAAAATTTCAAATTTACCCTCAAAGCCTTGCTTCTTCGCCAAAGATTCATTTTTTGGACAATTTCTCGGTCGTGGACATTATCAGCCGACATACTCGACATAGCCGCCTGCCCCGACAGCCTTCTCGTGTTTTTCATTTAATAATAAAAGTGTCAATTCTAAGTACCAGTTTCTTCCTCACTCCTAAGTTCGTCAGGCAAGGTACTGGTGAATGTTTGGAGACGAAGGTGCGAAAGACTATAGAGGTCTTGGAATTTATTGGTCATCAACATGCACGAGTAAAACTGCTTGACGCCAGTGCTGTCAGCCGGGGCCATATAAACTTTGATGATCTCACTGGAGATATCAGCTGTGGAACGGACTTATGACGTACACATTACACTTATGATGTCGGATATAGGGGAGAGTGTGGGGTTCCGCTCCCCCACCATCAGGATTTTTTAACTACTTGCCTAAAAGCAAAATTCTTTCAACGACAGGATCGCATATGAGTACTCAGCTTGAAGAAACTAAAGCTTATCATGTAGAGATATTCAGTACTTTGTAAAAACTAAAACAAATACAAAAAGTTGTTTTCTGCATCGAAGTTTGGACTACCCCCTCCCCCTTCCCCCAAATATTGAAGATGAGAACCGTGGTAAATCCAGTAGAAGTGAGCGTTCCAAGATCGACGAGAAGAGGCACGATGATGCAAATCAATGAAATTCCGGGAAGCATCAAACTGTAGTAAATCCAGAACATAATTCTTATGGGAGGAGCCCACAATCTCAGAAAGGTTTCATCGATAAAGAAAATTGAAAAAAATGAAACTTCTCAAGCTTATTTTATAATTAACAAAATGACATGATCTGTTCTTACACAGAGCAACATCTCTTTAATTAGAAAGCTCTACAAGTTTTAATACGAAGTGCGAAAGCTTATGTTACAACAAAATGCATTGGACTGTTCTTTGAATAAAGCGACAGCTTTTTAATTACAAAACTGTAAATGGTACTCATAAGAGCGAAAGTGATATTCCGGGGTGCGACAGTAATTTCAAAGAGCGGAGATTATATTACAAAGTGCGACAACTTTTTTATTAAAAAGCGAGGTAAGTGTAGTTATAAAGTGCGATAGTTATTGCAAGGGCGATGATTATTGCGACAGGAAGTTAAACAGGTGAAACACATCAACATACTCCAAGACAACGAAACTTTCCCAAACGGGTGAGGAGATCAAATAGTTAAGATGGACCAATCTAGCAACCAAAATAACCCAGTTTTTTTACGAAGGAGGCTTTCGTATTTCAGTACTATTATGAACGATGGCTTTTGTCTGACGTACACGTTTCTCACGTGAAACGTTTATTCCATTCATATACGTTAATGAAGTATTATTTTAAACATAAGCTCAAGTTTCACGATACTGAGATAGTCTTGGCTCTCGTGGATTTGAATTTAGATCGATGTAGTGAATTGTATACGGTAATTTTCCTTTAAACTTAACACAAAAAAATAATGATTAGGGAGATTAAAGTGGGTGTATTGACAGCCGTCACTTAAAAATTACTATTCGCACAATAGACATAAAATGTCAAAAAACAAAATTAAAGTCCTATTTTTAATTTCGCGTGTTATTTTCCCATTCCCGCTCAGCTTTGTAACAGCCCCCCAGCACGCATCAACGCCGACAGGCTAAACAGCGTCCAATAGCTTGCTTCAATGTGATCGGATAACAGCCTTCACAAGCGTGAAGTGGAAATACATTTATTTAAACAAACCCCGACGCCCCGAAAAATTTTAAGTCGTTTTCTATGGCAAAGTGCTTTGGCTTGAGTTTTGATCTTTGGAAAGTTTATTGTTGGCTGGTATTCAGTCAATTTTCGTGAAATTTGATGATAATGTCAGAATTATAATAAACCCCAAAAGTGTGTCCCGGATTTTCGATTTTTCCTTATTTCTCGAGATATGGCGACTACATTGAAAACTTTGCTCAAGAGTGCTACTTTCAAGTTTAAAAGATAATAATCCAAAAATAACGAATCGTAAAAATACAAATCCCGGACACCCTTTCCAAGTTCAAAATATATGCAGATCACGTTCCGATATAAAAGAAACGTGTTGATTAAAATGCGTCGTCCTATAAACTTATCTTGTAAAGCGTCGCGGCGTGAGAGAATAAGCTCCCGTTCTGTTCAATGCATATCTCAAATCACTCTTTATTAAGTTTTAAGAAAATGTATTCTTTTACTAATAAGGGAATAGGGCGCATAATTTTAGGCTACCTCAGTTTGAATGAAAGCGCTAATTTTCCATCTGTGATACTTTAAGCTCAAAGTACCACCTGCTTTAGATATCAAACGTTCACCACTCTTCGATGTCTTTTGCGTTTTTCCCCTTTGTCTTTTTCCGCCTGGCAGTTAAGAGAAAATGGGTTTTTTCACAAGTGAGTGACATTTTTTCAGTACACAGAACACTTAACTAAGTATTTAATTCATAGAAGAAACAAGAAAGTTCTTGTTAACGGACAAATTGACATATAAGGTTTTGCCTGACTCACGTACAAACTTGGAAATGACAAATTAAGTAAAGAACCACAACCGCTGAACCTGTCATGTGACAGGAAACTTTCCATTAGTTGATCAAACAAAGCGGAACTTGGAAATTTCACCACACGTAAAACTTTCTACAAATATCTTACTTCCGCCACGCTACTGCGTCCCTTGTCTTTTACCGTTCGGCAGTTCAAGATAATACTTTTAAATTTTGTAACGCTCTCAGTGTTTCACAACTCAACCCATCTGTTTCACCTGCTCCTCCTCCTTAGATAATTGCCATATCATGACCCTTAATAAATGCCACACTAAAAAATTATCACTCTGAATAATTATATATATTTTTTCTTTTTGTTCTTTATTTATCGCTGCTGTTGGCTGACGCAAGGCATTCAGGTGTTAAAAGTTCACTGGCCACTATCATGCTGCTCCTGCCTCTCTTAGTGTCTTTTCCCTTACTGTTTAACTTGATGTTTGCCATGCAAAACAGCGCACTCTATCGATCTCCAACAAGCGATCTTTCTTTCGGTAACTTTAAGCGCGATCCATTCCATTACTTGTGGGCAGAGAAACTTTCATCATCCATGATGAGAGATCAGTTGGACTGCGGTTTTCTTTGTGTTGGTGAACCAAATTGTTATTCGTTCAACATGGCAGCGTATCCTGACTCCAAAGGTCTTTATCTGTGTGAGTTATTGGCCACAGACAAGTACAGAGAGGCTGAAAAGGTTCATGCAAATGCTACCTTCCATCACTGCAGTCCGTCGGTAAGATCTCTTCATATATTTGGTGCTTAACACTCTTCGTATTTCTTCAAATACAAACTGAATGATTCAAGGAATGTTCACTTTGTTTCTAGTCTCCATGTGAAAGCGCTCCTTGTAAGAACGGAGGTGTCTGTGTTCCTGAATATGAAAGGAACTCCTATCATTGTGAATGTAAGCCTGTATTTTGCGGAACTCACTGCAAACGCTACAAATGTGGAGGTATTGAATTTAGTCTTTTACTGTTGCATGTGGTAGAACTGGAAGAGTCACATGCTGTCATAAACCATTGGTTTACCTCTTTTCAACTTTTGGCTATGAATTCAATTTTAAATCGGTCTATTGTACTTCTTTTCCCCGATAAACATTCCCCAAGTATATTTTCCGTAAAGAGAAAATAAATTTCGTGTTCATGTCAGGCACTTTATATTAAGATAAATTAAATCTTTTACTTCTAAATTTCTTGTGTTCTTTGTTGCTTTGTTATTTGTTTTTCAGGAAATCGAACTTGCAGTGACATCAAATACTGCAATCCTGAGGCTTAAAATGGCTCTTATGTCATCGACCCAGATGGAGAGGGTGGAGTGAAACCATTTAAGGTCTTCTGTGACATGACTGGCAAGGGCGGGATAGGAGTAACAGTTGTCAGTCACGACAGTGAAAGCAGAACAAAGGTGGCTGGGTTTGAAGACCCTGGTAGTTATTCGCGCAGTGTTACTTATGATGAAACCAGTCTAATTCAGCTAGCAAGCTTAACAGCTTCATCTTCTCACTGTGAGCAGTTTATTAAATACGAGTGCTACGGATCATTCCTCCGTTTCAGTGGTACCATGTACGGCTGGTGGGTATCACGTGATGACGAGAATATGACTTACTGGGGTGGAGTCAACTCTGTTCCCTTTAAATGTGCATGCGGTTTGAATAACACGTGCGCGGACAGCAGTCACGACTGCAACTGCGATAAGAACGATAGGAAATGGCGAGAGGACAGCGGTTTACTAACAGACAAGTGCAAGCTTCCCGTGATTCAAATGAGGTTTGGAGATACCGGTGACGTTGACACAGAAAAAGGATTTCACACGCTTGGAAAACTGGAGTGTTATGGACTTATCTACTGAGAAGTCACCAAGACTATATGTTGAACATTGATGATATTACTTGTACATTGTACTCCCTCTCTTAGATCTGAATTAAAATGGAGGTCCATGATAGTCAAGAGAAATGTAATGAATTGGTAATTTGATTGTAATGTAGTGAGAAAAGTGGAGAAATTCATAATGTGTGATTTAAAGTATTTGAAAACAATTTTAAGCGGATGTCATACTCAGTGTCACACTGTCCAACGGTTGGACCGCTGAAGTGTTTTGGACTCATTTAAGACTCAAATGCAGGTCACGAACTTTTAATAGTTACTATAGTGATACTTGTATATCAAAATCCATTTGTTTTTAATAATAAACATTTCCCTTTTACCGCGTTTGAGAATTCCAAGAGACGTGAAAGCTGTTGCCTGCAGTGAAAAATCTGCCATCGTTTTACAAAACTCATAGATGCTTCTAATTCGTCGAAATACATCTTTGATGTAATTTTTATGATGACACAATTTGTTAACCAAAGCAAAGGGGAGACGACCAAGCTGGAAGTTTGTCTGCTAAGAAAATCTTAAATTAAAGATTCAAAAGACTTTATAGTTGCAAACTTTCACCCCTTTTGGGTTCCAATAAAATATGCTAAATCTGAAAATGACTGTAAGTCTAGTATTAGCACTTGAATCCTTAGGTAGATAGTCATCTTTGTTACAATTTTTCTTTTTCCCTCTGTTTGGATTTTGCAAGTGATTAAATTATTTGTCTGAGACATTTCATCGGACAAACCTTGATGACCTCTCATCGGCGCCTTCTACATTTCAAAATATGCACGCGAATTCTCAATACCACTAAACAACAAAATGTTATGTATTATGTTATGGATTTAAAGTTGTGCGACCATTACAGTCCCCTTCAGGATAAATTATATTAATACTCACTGTCGCCTTCTCTCCCCCTACCCATGGAGCCTAAAAACGTTGTCAATCGTTTTATTCTTCAACTAATGGCCCACTCTTTAAATGGTAATTTAGTGTTGACAACTGGGTTGAAAACTTAAATTAGCCACCGTAAAGAGTAAAAAGCTGACGTTTCGAGCGTTAGCCCTTCGTCAATCGCTCTGACGAAGGGCTATCGCTTGAAACGTCAGCTTTTTTACTCTTTACGGTGGCTAATTTACGTTTTCAACCCGGTTGTTAACACTATACTCTCCCACCGAGGCAGCACCACAGTTTCTTTAGAAACTTACCCCTTTATTCACTCTTTAAATGCTCTAAAATACCCTTAAGTCGGTCCTGTTTTTATTCATCAGAAAAGGCAACTTAATCTGGCGACGCAAAGCAATGAAATGATCAGAAAATACGATCTCAGGGAAATCATGATTCTTTCAGCCATCATGTAAATAAAGTTTCATCGATATGTTTTTACTTTATGATCATTTCCGGTGAAGTTTGAATATATATTGATAACGAAGCAACAAAGTGCATGTTGCTGCCACCGTTTTGTTTCAATATAGCACTTTGCATAAACTGTTGAGCAAAAAGTCTAAGCCTATTGATTTACGAGAGTACATGTCTGTTGAACTAACCATACATTTTGTGGCGACGATATTTTCTTAGGTGTTCAAATAAAAAATTGCATTTTTTTTTCAGTTTATACAGTTTCTCCTCTCGATTAACTTAATTTCAAAGATAAAGCGTATTCGGAATGAGAGATAAAAGAAACGCATAAAAATATAATATCATAGCATCAACTTTTCTAAACATGATACACAACGTGTCAAAATATCTGAATATTCGCCAAAGTCACGACGCCTTATCCTTTATTGTATAACAGTGGATTGAATTAATTAGTGTTTCTGCAAGCCGGAGGCATTCCACATTTTGACGCTTAAACAAGTTTAGGCTTTCTCTCAAGTGAAATGTTATTCTTTGCAAGTTCTGTAACATGTTCGATAAACAACCTTCGCAAATGTAAGTTTACTTATTTGGATATCTTTTTTGAAACTTTTACCGGAAATATTTTTACGAGTAACTCTGCAATGTTTATATTTAAAAACAGTATAGTGTTTAATTGAAAATGCTAATAAACAGATATGAAACGACTGACTTTTTTTGCAAATAAAATACATAATCGAGGCTCGCGCGTTTTCCGATCTTCACATGTCAGACAGACATGACGTAGATGAATTTAAGAGGAAAACAACATTAGCTTCTTGTAGTTGGTACCAAGTTATAGTGTCAATTTATTTCATATATTGTTATCCTGCTGCGAGCCAAAATAGAAAATATGAATAGTTAATAGTATTTAAACCTATTTGTATAGAATGCATCAATAGACATCGTTTCCTCAGTAAAAAAAAAAAAAAAACAGTTTGAAAGCAATTCTTGTAAAAAAAAAACTAAAAAAAGTATCAGGTTTGTCAAGAAGGAGAGTTTTATTCAGAAAAACTTTTTAAAATTTACTGTTCCACTTCTACTTCCCCTTTAGTAGGAGTTTATCCCACTTATGGCACCTGCTTCATAGATGTGGCTATTAATTCTTAATTACTGACAAGCAAATATGCGGTATCATACAGCAACTCATTCCCGTGGTGAGAGTTCATCGGCCACCATCATGCTGCTTCTGCCACTCCTGTTGTTTTTTCCTTCTTTGTTAGGATTGTTGTTTGCCACACAAAACAGCGCTCTCTATCGATATCCAACAAGCGATCTTTTTTTCGGTTACATAAAGCGCGATGTCTTCCATTACTTATGGGCAGAGAAACTTTCATCATCCACGGTGAAAGATCAGTTGGACTGCGGTTTTCTTTGTCTTCGAGAGCCAAAGTGTCATTCGTTCAACATGGCAGCGTATCCCAACTCCACAGGAGTTTATCTGTGTGAGTTATTGGCCACAGACAAGTACAGAGAAACTGAAAAGTTCCATGCAAATGTTTCCTTCCATCACTACAGTCCGTTGGTAAGATCTCTCCATATGTCTGGTGATAAAACACTCTTTGTAGTTTTTTTAATACAAACTGAATGATTCAAGAAATGTTTACTTTATTTCTAGCCTCCATGTGAAAGCGCTCCTTGTAAGAACGGTGGTGTCTGTGTTCCTGAATATAAATGGAGCTCCTTTCATTGTGACTGTAGACCAGGATTCTGCGGAACTCACTGCGAAAAGGGAGGTATTGAATCTGTCCTACTTTCTGTTGCATGAAGAAAAATTGAAAAAAAAAACTCATACTGTTATTTTCAATCATCTGTTATAAATTGATGGTTTACCTATGTTCAACCTTGTGCTATAAAATTAAATGCATTCGAATCAGTCTTTTTTACGTAAACGTAAATTAGCCACCGTAAAGGATAAAAAATTGTGTGTTTCGAGCGTTAGTCCTTCGTGAGGGCGATACCAATCGATACCAATCTGGGTAAACGCTACCCCTTTATTCTTTTTTACTGCCTTCCCGATAAACATACCTTATTTGGCTTTTCCTTTAAAGTGCCTATAAAAATATTTTTTTTTTGCATAAATATTTAGCTTATCGTATGTTCAAACCAATTCCGATAAAAAACAAAATTTCAAATAACTTCGAACTCGGTTTTTCGGGCCTAAAAGTGCTCTTGTTTTGTTTTAAAAGTGTCCCGTGGACTGGTAACGAATTAGCGGGTTATGACGTAGAAAACTGTGAAAGTTCTCAGTGGACCGACACTAGCAAATCTCTCACTTTTCTTGTAATTTTGTATCAGTCAGCGTTGAAATACTGTCCGATAGCGATGTATACCTACCTTCACCAAGCTCTACCAAGAGTTGATACATCGTACCCAATTAGTAAAGAAAAAATTGGAAGTTGCGAGAACGGTTCAGCCCTACGAAGGAAGACCATGTGAATCAAACGAAGATTTAGACGAAGACTGACAAAATGGTTTCTCGCCTGCAATGTTTAGGTCAAGACGAGAACAAAAAAACTCCCTATACTGAATGTTCAGTTGTTGCGTTTGGCGCTTTGTTTTCTACGGCGAAATCCATTTTAAAAATAGGTAGCTGTGTCCGTTTTGGTCGTCTTAAAATTTTATTCCTTCGCACTAAGTGGGGCGAAGGTTCTCCTTGCTCAGTGCTCCAGTGTTTCGTTGCTGTAGAGTAATTCCCTTAGCAAACCAAAAGCTAACTTTTGACGAAAGAATCAGCTGTACCATGAGGCACGATGACTTTCCGCCGAGAAGTCATCGGGCAGTTTCACTGCAAGTTGCTTCTTTCCTCAGAGATTGCAAAGGCAGAGGTTATCGTCGTCGAGCCGATCAAAAGGGAAATAGTGAGTTTATATAGATTCAAGTCAATCTCAAATAAGGGTTTTAATAGAGAAAAACTCATTTAGTTTAAGCGCAGCATTGCCATATGACCCATTTCGCTCAATGGCAAATAACTGACATTTGTGTTGCAAATAAATATTTCGTATGCATCGACTTTCGTACAGCACTTGGATTCGCTACCATCTAATTCAACAATATTTGTGTTTATTTATTTATCTCGTCGGAAACCTAGGTTAGAAGGATACACAGCCCTTTCGAGCTTGTGTTTATACCAGTATCCGCGCCAGAGGTTTCTCACTGCTCAGGCAACAGGATATCGGTCAGCTCAGGAAAGGGCTTGAACTTGCTTACAAATAATGTATTTTTGTTATTAAAATACGATGAAAATACAATTAGTAGGATTTCCCCACGATTAGAAAAGTGTAAATGTAGTCATGTGAAAAGACAAGGAGTATGAGTACATCTCAAGCACGTGAAATAAAAAAACAATAAGGAGCTTACCATTCTTTGCTTGCAGCCGAAAAGAATGTTGAACAATCGTGTGCGGTGTGGGAACAGGCATTCTTTTTAGCTAAATTAATGGTTATCTTCCCCTGATTTAACAAGTGGTATGTGTTCGTAACAGCCGTTTTCGAAGCCGGTACGGGGCATAAGGCCGACGACATTGAAGAGTAAAATCTCCTCGATGTCGACGATCGAGGAGCGTCCATTTTGGCCATACAGCTACATTCTTTGGAAATTAGTGTATAGAAATACCCGGTATATGTGTATTATTCTTGTAGCAAACATCTTTTAGCGCTCCAGCCACGCAATGCGTTCGTCCTTTCTTCTAGATTTCTCCTTTCTTTACAATAATTGCCGACGTGTCTTCACAGTTTTCTACGTCACAGCTATGTAACGTGATCGTTTTGGCCGCGCGCTTAATGAGAACACTTTTTGGCCGACAGATCGTAATTTCAAAGCGCAAAAAAATTGTCAAGGAGAACTTGCTAGGCGCAAAGGTCGATTATTTCTACTTTTAAACGCAGCTATCAGAAAATGTAAAAAATATAATTTCGTGTACATGTCAGGCATATTATTATATTAAGATAAATGAAATCTTTTACTTCTAAATTTCTTGTGTTCTTTGTTATTTGTTTTTTAGGAAATCGAACTTGCAGTGACATCAAGTACTGCAATCCTGAGGCTAAAAGTGGCTCCTATGTCATCGACCCTGATGGAGAGGGCGGAGTGACACCGTTTAAAGTATTCTGTGACATGACTGACAAGGACGGGATAGGGGTAACAGTTGTCAGTCACGACAGTGAAAACAGAACACTGGTGGCTGGGTTTGAAGCCCCTGGTAGTTATTGGCGCAATGTTACTTATGATGAAACCAGTCTAATTCAGCTAGCAAGCTTAACAGCTTCATCTTCTCACTGTGAGCAGTTTATTAAATACGAGTGCTATGAGTCAAGGCTCCTTCGTAGCATGTTCGGCTGGTGGGTATCACGTGATGACGAGAAGATGACTTACTGGGGTGGAGTCAACTCTGTTCCCTTTAAATGTGCATGCGGTTTGAATAACACGTGCGCGGACAGCAGTTACGGCTGCAACTGCGATAAGAACGATTGGAATTGGCGAGAGGACAGCGGTTTATTAACAGACAAGTCCAAGCTTCCCGTGATTCAAATGAGATTTGGAGATACCGGTGGATATGTGAGTCACAATGAATCAGGATATCACACGCTTGGAAAACTGGAGTGTTATGGACTCATCTAGAATTCACTTTTAAAATACAACTTGAACATTGTATTCCCTTAATCAGACCTGAATAAAACGGAGGTCCATGATAGTTAAGAGAAATGTAGTGAATTGGTGATTTGATTGTAATGTAGTAAGAAAAATGGAGAAATTCATAATGTGTAGTTAAAAGTATTTTCAAAAAATTGTTACCGAATGTCATACTTAGTGTTAGACTGCTCAAGTGTTTTGGACTCATTTAAGACTCAAATACAGGTCATTAACTTTAAGTAGTTGCTTAAGTGATACTTGTGTGTCAAAACTCATTTGTTTTTGTTTAACATTGCCCTTTTACCGCATTTGAGAATTCCAAGAGACGTGAAAGCTGTTTCCTGCGGTGAAAAATCTGCCATCATTTTACAAAACTCATACATGCTTCTAATTCGTTGGAATATATCTTTGATGTAATTTGATGATGACATAATTTTTTAACCAAAGCAAAGGGAAGACGACCAAGCTGGAAGTTAGTCTGCCAAGAAGATCTTAAATTAAAGATTCTAAGTTGCAAAGTCATATTAAATTCAATACTCTTTTAAGTCAAGTTGCAAACTTTCACCCCTATTTGAATCCAATAAATACGCTCAATTTGAAAATGACTGTAAGTCTTATATTAGCACTTGAATTCGAAGCCTACATTAGATAGTCATCTTTGTTGTAATGGCCTGATTATTCGTAAAAGCAACTATATTTCGGTTTTATTTCCCTCTGTTTGGATTTTGCAAGTGATTAAATTATTTGGCTAAGACATTTTATTAGACCGAGCTCGATGACCTCTCGTTGGCGCCTTCTGCATTTCAATATATGCCCGCGAATTCTCAATACCACTAAACAACAAAATGTTATGTATTGTGTTAGGGATTTAAAGATCTGTGACCATTACAGTCACCTTCAGGACAAATTAAACTAGACCCTGTGAGCAGGGTAACTGGGATACCTGGATGGTACTTGATCCTTGGAATCAAGTGTAGGGATACTACGGGTGTCGGACTAGTATACTGAAATAGTGCGCTCAAGTCTGGCCAAGCGCATACACCTATTTCAAAACATAGGCATGCTATGCATGCAAGAGTTACTTTTTTGTAGGGTGGGTGGATTACTTGAAACATTGTGAGTGATGTCTACGTTCTTACAAAAGGAGAGAAGAATATTAATGTGGGAAAGAACAAAAATGTCGAATTACCTCACTCACATGTATTTTGTGGTAGATTATGTGTGTTTTGCGAATAAATGTAACCAAAAATAAACTGTATTGGTGCCACGGATACCTGTTAGTACAAAATGCAGACAGCAGACTGCAGACTGGATACAAAATATAGACTGCAGACTGCAGAGTGGGTACAAAATGCAGACTAAGAATCTGAAGAGTTTTTACGTCTGGTATATAATAAAGCGTCACGCAATCGCTTTTCTGCGATCCGCCTTCACGATTATTTGCACTTTTGTGGAATATTCCTGGCCCTATTTCTTGATGAAAATCGATCGCAATATTATTTCAAGCCTTCAATATAGTCTTCTTACTTTGCGCGCGAGTTGGTTGGTGTGATGTCTGTACAGATTTTACCAACGTAATAAAAGTAGATGACGTGAATAACAGTGATGGTAAAGCAAGCTTAAAACGGCAGAAATCGCCAGAAAATACAACGGATACACAGGGTATGAGTAAGTTTTATTGATTTTACGAGAAAAATGTTCATATTTCGAAATATGTATCGTTGTAAATCGACCATACTTCGTACCCTATACTATTCCTTATAACGTCCAGTTCCTCTCGTAGCTTAACACCGAGTCGCACAACGCGTGAAGCGTTCATAAATTAATCGTTGGCTTTTTCTCGAGACGTGAGCTTGGGCCGCCTGTGACAAGACAACTGCGTAACAATATTTAACATAATAACATTATACACAAAAAAACACAGGGTTTTGGATCACGCATTTATTAAAAAAGAATATCCATACAACTACAATGAAAACAAACATAAGATTCCTTTCTGATCGTGAAATTAATACCATTCGTATTATTATCGTAGCTACGTTCCTTGCCATCAAGTGAATCCAACTTGTCGTCTTTCTTCACAAGCAGTTTGCATCCATTATAGTTATGTTCTTCAGTCTCACGGTAGTAGTGTTGTTCAATAGATTGCATAGAGTATATGCAGTTTGGTTTCAGATTTCAGATTTTGCTTTTTACAACAAGTGAACGTTTTTCAACTAAGACATTGGCATACTTAGCATACAAGGCATTCAAGGCTCTCATGGCTTTCAAGCGTTCGCGACTCAATCCGTTCCAAAATTACCGCTCAATAACATCTTTCAGTGTGGATTAGCCGCGATTAATACAACTTGTATATGCGTCTGTAAGTATTTTGCGCGTTTGCGCCATAATGCTCCAGGAGATCGCAATCCAAATACGTTGAAATACAAAACAACTGACCGAAGAGTTTTATAAGCAAAATCTCGTGATTCGTTATATGACCCGGCCCTGTCTGTGCATGACAACGTCAATCATCATCAAGATAACACGCGTGTCAGCATGTGAACACCTCATTGGATCACAGTTAGTTGTCATGGTGTTGAGGGATAACACGCGTGATCAGCATGTGAACACCTCATTGGATCACAGTTGGTTGTCATGGTGTTGAGGGCCCAATGACCTCTGGGTACTGTTGCGCAATTTTTCCATTTTGTGGCGGAGGAAAAAAAAAAAAAGCGACAAAAAAACAAAGGCATTTTATGACTGGGCTACCACAGGTATCCCAGTAATTAATACTCTTTGTCACCTTCACTCCCCCTACCCATGGAGCTTGAAAATGCAATCAATCGTTTTATTCTTCGAGTAATATGAAATGGCCCACTCTTCGAATGCTCTGAAATACCCTTTAAGTTTCTTCGATATGTTTTTATTCTATGATCATTTCCGATGAAGTTTGGAGGGTTGAATAGGGGGAGTCATTAGGGATCAGTTGGGTGGGTGGGTGGGTGAGTCTAATTTGTCAAGGCGAAATGAATGATTTTGACGAATTTTCGCCATTTTTGTTATTGCATGCATTTCTCTGGACATATCTTAATCAGTAAATCGTTAAAGGTCATTAAAATTAAGTTTACTTTGTCAGAGAAAGACTGAATAGGTGTAAACATAATTTATGACTCGTGCTAAATCAACAACAAACTTAAAGGGATTTTAACTGGTAATAAACGTCAGCTGTCAAAGGTACTAACATCGTCAACCGTCATTAGCCCCAAGATATAAACCTCAATAGTCAAAATTGGGAAAAAAAAACTCTAAATTACCTCCGTATATAAGAAATTATCCAGTTTCCATCAAAGTGGATTTGGAATATTTATTGATGACGAACCAACAAGGTACAAGTCATTTTTAAATATATTTATGCATATAGCTGTCAATGTTTTGTTTCAATAAAGCACTTTGCAATTAACTGTTGAGCAGAATTTCTAAACCTATTGACTTATTAAAGCATTCTGTTGAATTAGCCATATAGCTTTGGGGGATGATATTTACTTAGGTGTTCGGATAACTAAAAATATTTTGTTTTAAGTCTATGTAATTTCTCTTTCGGATTATCTTAATTTTAAAGATGAAGCGCTTTCGGAAGGAGAGATAAAGAAAGCAACGCATTATATCAACTTTTCTAAACATGAGACATAACGTAATCCTAAACGAGTAATCTGACCATTTATCCTAAGTGAATGTTATTCTTTGCTAATGCTGTAACATGTTCACTAAACAACATTCGCAAATATAAGTTTTCTTATCTGGATATTATTTTGAAACTTTTACAGGAAATATTTAATGAGTGATTGCGCAATGTTTATATTTGAAACCAGTATATTGTTTCATTGAAAATGTTAGTATACAGAGAAGAAACGACTGACACTTTTTGCAAATTAAATACACAATCGAGGCTCGCGCGTTTTCCGATCCACGTAAAGGATTTCCTAACATTTTCAAGACATGACTTCAATAAACTTCTTCAATTTCTTTGTGCTGAACTTGTTCCAATTTAAAATGATTATTAGCTCCTTTTAAGTCACTAAGAGGAAATCTGCCCAGTATCTCTTTATGATCAGAGAATCCATCCGGTAAATAGAACATCGCAACTTTTTTCTACAAACTGCGAGAGGTAATGAAAGATTAGTTTGATATTTGGTGTTTTTAATTTTGCTAAAAAAGAAAAAATTAAAAATAAGAAAATAATCGTTTTTTCTTTCTCAAAAAGCTTCCTGAGAGAAAAGTGTCTTGGCATGATAAAATAATAAAATATTAAATAAACAGCTGCTCCGCCTAAAAAGAAGGAACTTGTGGTCGGTGCCAATTTATGATCTCAATTTATTTCATATATTGTTATCCTGGTGCGAGCCAAAACATAACTTCTTAAAGCAAACCTGCTAACAGGGACATGTGAAGGAGTAAATAGAAACATATTTTCAAGTTTGTTGTAGAGTAGGGAGCAGAGTACCAAAAATCCCTTTAAAATTAACAAAAAATTGGTTCAAACCAATATAACAAATCATTAGCATGGTCAGAGTTAATAGATATTGAAATGAATATTTAAAACTTTTTAAACCCGTTGTATAGAAGGTATTAATTGACATCGTCCCCTCAATAGAAAAAAAAAACACTTTGAAAGCAATTCTTGTTAAAAAAAAAAAAACTAAAAAGTATCATGTAGGTTTGTCAAGGAGAGTTTTATTTAAGATGACTTTATAAAACTTACTGTTCCACCTCTACTTCTCCTATAGCAGAAGTTTATCCCACTCATGGCACCTGTTTCTTGGATGTGGCTACTAATTCTTAATTACTGACAGGCAATTATAAAGGACCTGTTCTTCATTTGCATGTAAGTCTTCGTTGTCATACATCAGCTCATTCCGGTGGTGAGAGTTCATCGGCTACTGTCATGCTGCTTCTGCCACTCTTGTTGTTTTTTCCTTCTTTGTTAGGATTGTTGTTTGCCACGCAAAACAGCGCTCTCTATCGATATCCAACAGGCAGTGCTTCGTTTGGTAAATTCAAGTGCGACCCTTTCTATTTCTTATGGGAAGAGAAACTTACATCGTCCATGGTGGAAGATAAGTTGGACTGCACTTTCCTTTGTGTCGGTGAACCAAAGTGCTATTCGTTCAACATAGCAGTGTATCCTGACTCCAAAGGTCTTTATCTGTGTGAGTTATTGGCCACAGACAAGTACAGAGAGGCTAAAAAGGTTCATGCAAATGCTACCTTCCATCACTGCAGTCCATTGGTAAGATCTCTTCATATATCTGGTGATTAACACTCCTCGTATTTCTTTAAATACAAACTGAATGATTCAAGGAATGTTTCCTTTGTTTCTAGTCTCAATGTGAGAGCGCTCTTTGTAAGAACGGAGGTGTCTGTGTTCCTGAATATGAAAGGAACTCCTATCATTGTGACTGTAGACCAGGATTCTACGGAACTCACTGCGAAAGGGGAGGTATTGAATCTGTCCTACTTTCTGTTGCATGAAGAAAAATTGAAAAAAAAACTCATACTATTATTTTCAATCATTTGTTATAAATTGATGGTTTACCTATGTTCAACCTTGTGCTATAAAATTAAATGCATTCGAATCAGTCTTTTGTCTTACCTTCCCTATAAACATACCTTAATTGGTTTTTCCTTTAAAGTGCCTATGACAATAATGTTTTTTTTTTGCAGAAGTATTTAGCTTATCATATGTTCAAACCAATTCCGATAAAAAACAAAATTTCAAATAACTTCAAACTCGGTTTTTTGGGCCTTAAAGTGCTCTTATTTTGTTTTAAAAGTGTCCCGTGGACTGGTAACAAATTAGCGAGTTATGACGTAGAAAACTGTGAAAGCTCTCAGTAGACCGACACTTGCAAATCTCTCACTTTTCTTGTAATTTTGTATCAGTCAGCGTTGAAATACTGTCCAATAGCGATGTATACCTACCCTCACCGAGCTCTACCGAGAGTTGATACATCGTACCCAATTCGAGAACGGTTCGGCCCTACGAAGGAGAACCATGTGTATCAAACGAAGATTTAGACGAAGACTGACAAAATGGTTTCTCGCCTGTGGTGTTTAGGTCAAGACGAGAACAAAAAAACTCCCGATACTGAATGTTTAGTTGTTGCGTTTGGCGCTTTGTTTTCAACGGCGAAATCCATTTTAAAATGGGTAGCTGTGTCCGTTTCGGTCGTCTTAAAATTTTATTCCTTCGCTCTAAGTGCGGCGAAGGTTCTCCTTGCTCAGTGCTCCAGTGTTTCGTTGCTGTAGAGTAATTCCCTTAGCAGACCAAAAGCTAACTTTTGACGAAAGAATCAGCTTTACCATGAGGAACGATGACTTTTCGCCGAGAAGTCATCGGGCAGTTTCACTGCAAGTTGCTTCTTTCCTCAGAGATTGCAAAGGCAGAGGTTATCGTCGTCGAGCCGATCAAAAGGGAAAATAGTGAGTTTATATAGATTCGATTCAATCTCAAATAAGGGTTTTAATAGAGAAAAACTCATTTAGTTTAAGCGCAGCATTGCCATATGACCCATTTCGCTCAATGGCAAATAACTGACATCAGTGTTGCAAATAAATATTTCGTATGCATCGACTTTCGTACAGCACTTGGATTCGCTACCATCCAATTCATTAATATTTGTGTTTATTTATTTATCTCGTTGGAAACCAAGGTTAAGAGAATACACAGCCCTTTCGAGCTTGTGTTTATACCAGTATCCACGCCAGAGGTTTCTCACTGCTCAGGCAACAGGATATCGGTCAGCTCAGGAAAGGGCTTGAACTTGCTTACAAATAATGTATTTCTGTTATTAAAATACGATGAAAATACAATTAGTAGGATTTTCCAACGATTAGAAAAGCGTAAATGTAGTCATGTGGAAAGAAAAGGAGTATGAGTACATCTCAAGCACGTGAAATAAAAAAACAATAAGGAGCTTACCATTCTTTGCTTGCAGCCGAAAAGAATGTTGAACAATCGTGTGCGGTGTGGGAACAGGCATTCTTTTTAGCTAAATTCATTGGTTATCTTCCCCCGATTTAACAAGTGGTATGTGTTCGTAACAGCCGTTTTCGAAGCCGGTACGATGCATAAGGCCGACGACATTGAAGAGTAAAATCTCCTCGATGTCGACGATCGAGGAGCGTCCATTTTGGCCATACAGCTACATCCTTTGGAAATTAGTGTATAGAAATACCCGGTATATGTGTATTATTCTTGTAGCAAACATCTTTTAGCGCTCCGGCCACGCAATGCGTTCGTCCTTTCTTCTAGATTTCTCCTTTCTTTACAATAATTGCCGACGTGTCTTCACAGTTTTCTACGTCACAGCTATGTAACGTGATCGTTTTGGCCGCGCGCTTAATGAGAACACCTTTTGGCCGACAAATCGTAATTTCAAAGCGCAAAAAAATTGTCAAGGAGAACTTGCTAGGCGCAAAGGTCGATTATTTATACTTTATACTTCTAAATTTCTTGTGTTCTTTGGTGCTTTGTTATTTGTTTTTTAGGAAAACGAACTTGCAGTGACATCAAGTACTGCAATCCTGAGGCTAAAAGTGGCTCTTATGTCATCGACCCTGATGGAGAGGGCGGAGTGAAACCATTTAAAGTCTTCTGTAACATGACTGACAAGGACGGGATAGGAGTGACAGTTATCAGTCACGACAGTGAAAGCAGAACTCTGGTGGATGGGTATGATGGCTATGGTAGTTATTTGCGCGATGTTACTTATAATGAAACCAGTCTAATTCAGCTAGCAAGCTTAGCAGCTTCATCTGCTCACTGTGAGCAGTTTATCAAATACGAGTGCTATCATTCAGTGCTCCTTCTCAATGGTAACATGTTCGGCTGGTGGGTATCACGTGATGACGAGAAGATGGAGTACTGGGGTGGAGTCAACTCTGTTCCATTCAAATGTGCATGCGGTTTGAATAACACGTGCGCGGACACCAATTACGGCTGCAACTGTGATAAGAATGATGGAAATTGGCGAGAAGACAGCGGTTTACTAACAAACAAGTCCAAGCTTCCAGTGATTCAAATGAGGTTTGGAGATACTGGTGTCATTAATGGCACTGAAAAAGGATATCACACGCTTGGAAAACTGGAGTGTTATGGACTCATCTAGAACTCACATTTAAAAGACAACTTGAACATTGTATTCCCTTAGTCAGACCTGAATAAAATGGAGGTCCATGATAGTTAAGAGAAATTTAATGAATGGTAATTTGATTGTAATGTAGTGAGAAAAATGGAGAAATTCATAATGTGTAGTTAAATGTATTTTCAAAAAATTGTTACCGAATGTCATACTTAGTGTTAGACTGCTCAAGTGTTTTGGACTCATTTAAGACTCAAATACAGGTCATTAACTTTTAATAGTTACTATAGTGATACTTGTATATCAAAATTCATTTGTTTTTAATTAGCATTGCCCTTTTACCACGTTCGAGAATTCCAAGAGACGTGAAAGCTGTTTCCTGCGGTGAAAAATCTGCCATCATTTTACAAAACTCATACATGCTTCTGATTCGTTGGAATATATCTTTGATGTAATTTGATGATGACATAATTTTTTAACCAAAGCAAAGGGAAGACGACCAAGCTGGATGTTAGTCTGCCAAGAAGATCTTAAATTAAAGATTCTAAGGACGTCAAGTTGCAAACTTTCACCCCTATTTGAATCCAATAAATACGCTCAATTTGAAAATGACTGTAAGTCTTATATTAGCACTTGAATTCGAAGCCTACATTAGATAGTCATCTTTGTTGTAATGGCCTGATTATTCGTAAAAGCAACTATATTTCGGTTTTATTTCCCTCTGTTTGGATTTTGCAAGTGATTAAATTATTTGGCTAAGACATTTTATTAGACCGAGCTCGATGACCTCTCGTTGGCGCCTTTTGCATTTCAATATATGCTCGCGAATTCTCAATACCACTAAACAACAAAATGTTATGTATTGTGTCAAGGATTTAAAGATCTGTGACCATGACAGTCACCTTCAGGACAAATTAAATTAATAGTCTTTGTCACCTTCACTCCCCCTACCCATGGAGCTTGAAAAAGCAATCAATCGTTTTATTCTTCGAGTAATATGAAATTGCCCACTCTTCGAATGCTCTGAAATACCCTTTAAGTTTCTTCGATATGTTTTTATTCTATGATCATTTCCGATAAAGTTTGAAGGGTTGAATAGGGGGGGTCATTAGGGAATCATTTGGGTGGGTGGGTCTAATTTGTCAAAGCGAAATTTATGATTTTGACGAATTTTCGCCATTTTTGTTATTGCATGCATTTCTCTGGACATATCTTAATTAGTAAACCGTTGGAGGTCTTTAAAATTGAGTTTACTTTGTCAGAGAAAGACTGAATAGGTGTAAACATACTCTATGACTCTTGCTAAATCAACAACAAACTTATCCAGTTTCCATCAAAGTGGATTTGGAATATTAATTGATGACGAACCAACAAAGTACATGTCATTATTAAATATATTTATGCATATAGCTGCCAATGTTTTGTTTCAATAAAGCACTTTGCAATTAACTGTTGAGCAAAATTTCTAAACCTATTGATTTATGAAAGTATTCTGTTGAATTAGCCATATAGTTTTTGGGGATGATATTTATTCGGATAACAAAAAAATATTTTGTTTTAAGTCTATGCAATTTCTCCATTCGATTATCTTAATTTCAAGATGAAGTGCATTCGGAAGGAGAGATAAAAAGCAACGCATTGCATCAACTTTTCTAAACATGAGATATAACGTAATCCTAAATGAGTAATCTGACCATTTATCCTAATTGAAATGTTATTCTTTGCTAATGCTGTAACATGTTCACTAAAAAACATTCGCAAATATAAGTTTTCTTATCTGGATATTTTTGTGAAACTTTTACAGGAAATATTGAATGAGTAATTGCGCAATGTGTATATTTGAAACCAGTATATTGTTTCATTGAAAATGTAAGTATACAGAGAAGAAACGACTGACATCTTTTGCAAAGAAAATACATAATCGAGGCTCGCGCGTTTTCCGATCCACGTAAAGGATTTCCTAACATTTGCTAGACATGACTTCAATAAACTTCTTCAATTTCTTTGTGCTGAACTTGTTCCAATTTAAAATGATTATTATTTATTAATTAGATTAGCTCCTTTTAAGTCACTAAGAGGAAATCTGCCCAGTATCTCTTTATGATCAGAGAATCCATCCGGTAAATAGAACATCGCAACTTTTTTCTACTAACTGCGGGAGGTAATGAAAGATTAGTTTGATATTTGGTGTTTTTAATTTTGCTAAAAAAAACAATTAAAAATTAGAAATGAATCGTTTTCTCTTTCTCAAAAAGCTTCCTAAGAGAAAAGTGTCTTGGCATGATAAAAATAATGAAATATTAAATAAACAGCTGCTCCGCCTAAAAAGAAGAAACTTGTGGTCGGTGCCAATTTATGATCTCAATTTATTTCATTTATTGTTATCCTGGTGCGAGCCAAAACATAACTTCTTAAAGCAAACCTGCTAACAGGGACATGTGAAGGAGTAAGTAGAAACTTATTTTCAAGTTTGTTGTAGAGTAGGGAGCAGAGTACCAAAAATCCCTTTAAAATTAACAAAAGATTGGTTCAAACCCATATAATAAATCATTAGCATGGTCAGAGTTAATAGATATTGAAATGAATATTTAAAACTTTTTAAACCCGTTGTATAGAAGGTATTAATTGACATCGTCCCCTCAATAGAAAAAAAACAGTTTGAAAGCAATTCTTGTTAAAAAAAGCTAAAAAGTATCATGCAGGTTTGTCAAGGAGAGTTTTATTTAAGATGACTTTTTAAAACTTACTGTCCCACCTCTGCTTCCCCTATAGTAGAAGTGTATCCCACCCATGGTACCTGCTTCATAGATGTGGCTACTAATTCTTAATTACCGACAGGCAATTATAAAGGACCTGTTTTTCATTTGCATATAAGTCTTCGGTGTCATACATCAGCTCATTCCGGTGGTGAGAGTTCATCGGCTACTGTCATGCTGCTTCTGCCACTCTTGTTGTTTTTTCCTTCTTTGTTAGGATTGCTTTTTGCCACACAAAACAGCGCTCTCTATCGATATCCAACAGGCCGTGCTTCGTTTGGTAAATTCAAGTGCGACCCTTTCTATTTCTTATGGGAAGAGAAACTTACATCGTCCATGGTGGAAGATAAGTTGGACTGCACTTTCCTTTGTGTCGGTGAATCAAAGTGCTATTCGTTCAACATAGCAGTGTATCCTGACTCCAAAGGTCTTTATCTGTATGAGTTATTGGCCACAGACAAGCACAGAGAGGCTGAAAAGGTTCATGCAAATACTGCCTTCCATCACTGCAGTCCGTTGGTAAGATCTCTTCATATATTTGGTGCTTAACACTCTTCGTATTTCTTCAAATAGAAACTGGATGATTCAAGGAATGTTCACTTTGTTTCTAGTCTCCATGTGAAAGCGCTCCTTGTAAGAACGGAGGTGTCTGTGTTCCTGAATATGAAAGGAACTCCTATCATTGTGAATGTAAGCCTGGATTTTGGGGAACTCACTGCAAACGCTACAAATGTGGAGGTTTTGAATTTAGTCTTTTACTGTTGCATGTGGTAGAACTGGAAGAGTCACATACTGTCATAAACCACTATTCTTGTATGTATATGGTTTACCTCTTTTCAACTTTTGGCTATGAATTCAATTTTAAATCGGTCTATTGTACTTCTCTTCCCCGATAAACATTCCCGTAAAGAGAAAATAAATTTCGTGTTCATGTCAGGCACTTTATATTAAGATAAATGAAATCTTTTACTTCTAAATTTCTTGTGTTCTTTGTTGCTTTGTTATTTGTTTTTTAGGGAATCGAACTTGCAGTGACATCAAGTACTGCAATCCTGAGGCTAAAAATGGCTCTTATGTCATCGACCCTGATGGAGAGGGCGGAGTGACACCATTTAAAGTCTTCTGTGACATGACTGACAAGGGCGGGATAGGAGTGACAGTTGTCAGTCACGACAGTGAAAACAGAACACAGGTGGCTGGGTTTGAAGACCCTGGTAGTTATTGGCGCAATGTTACTTATGATGAAACCAGTCTAATCCAGCTAGCAAGCTTAACAGCTTCATCTGCTCACTGTGAGCAGTTTATCAAATACGAATGCTATCATTCAATGCTCCTTTTCAAAAGTAGCATGTTCGGCTGGTGGGTATCACGTGATGACGAGGAGATGAAGTACTGGGGTGGAGTCAACTCTGTTCCCTTTAAATGTGCATGCGGTTTGACTGACACGTGCGCGGACAGCAGTTACGGCTGCAACTGCGATAAGAACGCTTTGAATTGGCGAGAGGACAGCGGTTTACTAACAGACAAGTCCAAGCTTCCCGTGATTCAAATGAGATTTGGAGATACCGGTCATATTGTGCTTTACAATGAATCAGGATATCACACGCTTGGACCACTGGAGTGTTATGGACTCATCTAGAACTCATGAAGACTGTTGATTAACCACAACTTGAACAGTGTACTCTCTCCGTCAGACCTCAATTATAGTTATAATTATTAGTTATATTTACATGTAATATTTTCAGAATCTCAGCAGTGTTGTGTAGTTTTCCATGGTTTCTTTTTAAATAGCGCACGTGGTAGACTTTTTCAAAAAGGCAGCCAATATTGTTAAGATCAAACTTGAATCGCTTAAAGAAACATCTTCCTTTTCGAATAGTCACCAGGCATCAGAGTTTACGGCTATTGCATGAGGCGAAAAGTAGCTCTGATTTGATTTTCTTCCTACATCAGAACTGAAGTCATGTAGAGCAGCAAAGTAATTTCTGATTCGCGAATAATAAAAATATTGAAACAAAGAAAGATGTTTTCCTTCCTGCCTCGAATGTGTAACAAAGAAAAAAATGGAGACCTCATGATGAATTAAAAATTAAAGCTCCAACGCTCTACCCCTGAATCACAGAGACTCTGTGGTAAGCTGAGCCATTACTAACTTCATGTCACACGCAGGAGGCATACTGTAAAGATCAGCTATGCAAATATTTTCACTTCAGGCTTAAAACAGGTGCAAACAAGAAGCAAGGGATTCAATGTTTACTTTGAAGTCCAACGCTTAACCTCTCTAACAAAAGAATACACTCGTCCATGTCAATGGGAGAACCCATAATCCATCAAATATTTTTGCTCGCGTGCGATTGGTTTAAACGTGACTCGTGACCGAAAATATCCCAGCTACAAGTGAGAAATATCCCAGGTAATAACCCACCTATTGATGTTCGCGACTCAATTGGCTTCTGTATGTCATGTGGTACAAAATCACCGGACAGTAGTCACGCAATAACCTCCATATACGTCGACATTTGTCCTTCGTTAATTTCCGTATAAAAGAAACAAAGCCATAATCTTTGTCACCTAACTACTCGTTTGGTAGAGTCCAGTGGTAATGATGTTTAAAAGCTGACCTCAAATGCTACTCCAAAAATTACAACAAAGTCAGCAAAATTTGCTGTCAACGCGCGTTACGATAATTAATGAGAGGGTTAGAAAATACATACAGCCTTTTTTGGCTTGCTGGTACGTTGGCTGCAAGCTGATAATGTCCACGGTCAAGAGATTCTCCCCAGAAGTTCACATTTTCCCTCGAAGCTTCGCTTCTCGGCCTCATATTCGTCCATTAGACAATTTTTCAGCCGCAAACATTACCAGCCTACATACCAGCCGCCTGGAGGGGTTTATTTACCAAATATACCCCGAGTGATGTTCTCCAAATTTCAAACCTCACATCCACAACGATAAAATTATTGGTTCAAAATTTAATTCAAGATGAGAGGGGGTTTTTCTTGTTACAGAGGAATGAACATGTTTCAGAGGACAATGAAAAGTAACTATCCCACGCAGGAAACAATTAGCTGTTCGTAAACATTTTTCTTGGGCGTTGCTCCATTAGGCGCAAAATTATGCTCTTCACAACAACAAACAAACAACAAACAATCTGTTCCTCGTAGTTCACCATTTTCCTCGAGCTTCGCTATCGGTAAACTGTTCACATTTCGGGACAGATAATGTGTGTGGACAAATATCCGTGCATATTTTTGTGCCAAATGGAGGCTATTGTTTATTTATTCGTTACCACAAAATTAAAAGTTAAATTAAGTAGCTAATTTTATTCACTTAATTACGGTATAAGGTGGAGGGGTGGGGGGGGTAAAGGGTTGGAGGATTTTTGGAATCACATGCTTCTCTCGGGGGGGAAGGGCAGGGGGGAGGGAGGATCAGTTGTTCTTCTAACTTCTATTTCTTGCTTGCAAGTGGCAATCTAATGGCACCATACAAACAGAAGAAAAAATACAATTAACCATCTCTTGCAACAAGAAAAAAATTTAATATGGAATTTTAACAATTAAATGATAAACTACTTGAGCATGGAGACCACAAGTGTATCAAAGAGGGGGGGGGGGGGAAAGGGGACACAGAAAAATGACCATTCATACAAGCATAACTTACAGTACCAGTACCAGTACCACTCAATACTAACTCAAGCTAATTGATCAAAATTAGGTACATCTTTTTACCTTGGATTTCACACCATCAACTTCTTTTTCAAGTTCCTTTTTCTTTAAAAAGTTACAAATATAAGGTCATGTAAATGTTTGTACTGAAGAGTTAAAACAACTAATCTATTTTAAAGCAAACTGCAACAGGGAGAAGATATGACTGAGAAAATCAATCAAACCATCTCAATGAAACCCACCATCTTTACAAATTATCCAAATGACATAAAAAGATCTAAAAACTAACTGTATATGCATTTTTTTAACTTCAAAATTAGTCGTTCATCTTCTATCATGGTGGGAAGGAACCTCTGCAAAAATAACAAGATTTTACATTCACCTCAATGACCAGTTAATAGCCAATACGCAATTTAGGGAAATTATACATTCTTTGTTTTTGCTTTACAACAGTCTTTGACTGGTCCAGGGAACTTGCACACCACAAATTGGATCCAACACTAAAAACAATCACAACTTGGTTACTCGTGTTTTTCTGCCCTTCACACAGTTTGCTTTTCTTTCTTTATGCTCATGTTGGCTCCTATTGAAATTTCCTCCACTCAAAATTTGCTGCTGTGATTTCTATGGTTTTGGTTTAATTTATATTGATGCTTATATTTTTTCCCTTCACAAATTACCAAATGTCCTCTTGCACATTAGCTTATTGTGTGTTTTGCTGTCACTTACTGTTTTTTTTTGCCTCTAACCTTCTCAAAGTCTTTTAACCTTTCCTCCTTTTCTTTAATACTCCTTAGCAAGACCTGCTTCTCTTTAGGCCAATCCTCCATTTTGACTGACATCTTGGAAATGGGTTGCGTGGTATCGCAACTCAGGATTACAGCTTCATACCAATGAAGCAAAGACTGAATAACCACCTAAACCATTACTAGCCTGCATGAATATTGCTACCAGCTGAAAGACTGATACTAACAATGTGGTTGAAACAGGGCGCAGGAGACCAGGTGATAGTCCAGGCTTTCCAACACCCCGCCAGGTGATTGTGTTGTGTTCTTATGCAAGTTAACAATCTAATTTGTGATCATGTTTAACAGTTACAAGCCATTGCATGAGGTTGGATGGAAGTCCCGCAAAACGGGTCAAGTCATGGCTTCCTAGTACACTTCCAAAGCTGTTGCCTGCGGTGAAAAATCTGCCATCATTTTACAAAACTCATACATGCTTCTAATTCGTCGAAATACATCTTTGATGTAATTTTTATGATGACACAATTTGTTAACCAAAGCAAAGGGGAGACGACCAAGTTGGAAGTTAGTCTGCTAATAAAATCTTAAATTAAAGATTCAAAAGACTTTATAGTTGAAAACTTTCACCCCTTTTGGGTTCCAATAAAATATGCTAAATCTGAAAATGACTGTAAGTCTAGTATTAGCACTTGAATCCTTAGGTAGATAGTCATCTTTGTTACAATTTTTCTTTTTCCCTCTGTTTGGATTTTGCAAGTGATTAAATTATTTGTCTGAGACATTTCATCGGACAGACCTTGATGACCTCTCGTCGGCGCCTTCTACATTTCAATATATGCACACGAATTCTCACTACCACTAAAAAACAAAATGTTATGTATTATGTTAAGGATTTAAAGTTGTGTGACCATTACAGTCCCCTTCAGGATAAATTATATTAATACTCACTGTCGCCTTCTCTCCCCCTACCCATGGAGCCTAAAAACGTTGTCAATCGTTTTATTCTTCAACTAATGGCCCACTCTTTAATTTAGTGTTAACAACTGGGTTGAAAACGTAAATTAGCCACCGTAAAGAGTAAAAAAGCTGACGTTTCGAGCGTTAGCCCTTCGTCAATCGCTCTGACGAAGGGCTAACGCTCGAAACGTCAGCTTTTTTAAAAGCAATGAAAATGATCAGAAAATACAATCTCAGGGAAATCATGATTCTTTTAAGCCATCATGTAAATAAAGTTTCCTCGATATGTTTTTACTTTATGATCATTTCCGGTGAAGTTTGAATATATATTGATAACGAAGCAACAAAGTGCATGTTGCTGCCACCGTTTTGTTTCAATATAGCACTTTGCATAAACTGTTGAGCAAAAAGTCTAAGCCTATTGATTTACGAGAGTATTCTGTTGAACTAACCATACATTTTTTGGCGACGATATTTACTTAGGTGTTCAAATAAAAATTGCATTTTTTTTTCAGTTTATACAGTTTCTCCTCTCGATTAACTTAATTTCAAAGATAAAGCGCATTCGGAATGAGAGATAAAAGAAAGGCATAAAAATATAATATCATAGCATCAACTTTTCTAAACATGATACACAACGTGTCAAAATATCTGAATATTCGCCAAAGTCACGATGCCTTATCCTTTATTGTATAACAGTGGATTGAATTAATTAGTGTTTCTGCAAGCCGGAGGCATTCCACATTTTGACGCTTAAACAAGTTTAGGCGTAATTAAATAATACCAGAGGTTGCAAAGATCTTCCGACGATCTTTTGGTATATTGACTGAAGTTAAATAATTTTTTTGGTTCCTGATAAAAACCCCCATTGTTCGTTCTCTCCAATGTATTTCCTGCCGACAAGGTGTCTTTTGCTGTTATTATAGCGCACTAACAGACCGTTGTTTTGCATCTCAGGCCTACATAAGCCGGAGAATATTTTTTTTTATTCCAGTCGAGCAGAACTGGTGTAATTCAACGCTGTTTGCAGGCTTTTTTCAAAGTACACCTGAAGTTATCATAAGCGAGTCATCTGACCATTTCTCTTAAGTGAAATGTTATTCTTGGCTAGTTCTGTAACATGTTCGATAAACAACCTTCGCAAATGTAAGTTTACTTATTTGGATATCTTTTTTGAAACTTTTACCGGAAATATTTTTATGAGTAACTCTGCAATGTTTATATTTAAAAACAGTATAGTGTTTAATTGAAAATGCTAATAAACAGATATGAAACGACTGACTTTTTTTGCAAATAAAATACATAATCGAGGCTCACGCGTTTTCCGATCTTCACATGTCAGACAGACATGACGTAGATGAATTTAAGAGGAAAACAACATTAGCTTCTTGTAGTTGGTACCAAGTTATAGCGTCAATTTATTTCATATATTGTTATCCTGCTGCGAGCCAAAATAGAACCTCTTACAGAAATATGAATAGTTAATAGTATTTAAACCTATTTGTATAGAAGGCATCAATAGACATCGTTTCCTCAGTTAAAAAAAAAACAGTTTGAAAGCAATTCTTTTAAAAAAAAACTAAAAAAAGTATCAGGTTTGTCAAGAAGGAGAGGTTTATTCAGGAAAACTTTTTAAAATTTACTGTTCCACTTCTACTTCCCCTTTAGTAGGAGTTTATCCCACTCATGGCACCTGCTTCATAGATGTGGCTATTAATTCTTAATTACTGACAAGCAATAATAAAGGACCTATTTTTTAATTTGAATGTAAAGTCTGCGGTATCATACAGCAACTCATTCCCGTGGTGAGAGTTCATCGGCCACCATCATGCTGCTTCTGCCACTCCTGTTGTTTTTTCCTTCTTTGTTAGGATTGTTGTTTGCCACACAAAACAGCGCTCTCTATCGATATCCAACAAGCGATCTTTTTTTCGGTTACATAAAGCGCGATGTCTTCCATTACTTATGGGCAGAGAAACTTTCATCATCCACGGTGAAAGATCAGTTGGACTGCGGTTTTCTTTGTCTTCGAGAGCCAAAGTGTCATTCGTTCAACATGGCAGCGTATCCCGACTCCAAAGGAGTTTATCTGTGTGAGTTATTGGCCACAGACAAGTACAGAGAAACTGAAAAGTTCCATGCAAATGTTTCCTTCCATCACTACAGTCCGTTGGTAAGATCTCTCCATATGTCTGGTGATAAAACACTCTTTGTAGTTTTTTTAATACAAACTGAATGATTCAAGAAATGTTTACTTTGTTTCTAGCCTCCATGTGAAAGCGCTCTTTGTAAGAACGGTGGTGTCTGTGTTCCTGAATATAAATGGAGCTCCTTTCATTGTGACTGTAGACCAGGATTCTGCGGAATTCACTGCGAAAGGGGAGGTATTGAATCTGTCCTACTTTCTGTTGCATGAAGAAAAATTGAAAAAAAAAAACTCATACTGTTATTTTCAATCATCTGTTATAAATTGATGGTTTACCTATGTTCAACCTTGTGCTATAAAATTAAATGCATTCGAATCAGTCTTTTGTCTTGCCTTCCCGATAAACATACCTTAATTGGTTTTTCCTTTAAAGTGCCTATGACAAGAATTTTTTTTTTTTTGCATAAGTATTTAGCTTATCATATGTTCAAACCAATTCCGATAAAAAACAAAATTTCAAATAACTTAAAACTCGGTTTTTCGGGCCTTAAAGTGCTCTTATTTTGTGTTAAAAGTGTACCGTGGACTGGTAACGAATTAGCGGGTTATGACGTAGAAAACTGTGAAAGCTCTCAGTGGTAACTTGCAAATCTCTCAGTTTTCTTGTAATTTTGAATCAGTCGACGTTGAAAAACTGTCCAATAGCGATGTATACCTACCTTCACCAAGCTCTACCGAGAGTTGATACATCGTACCCAATTAGTAAAGAAGGAGGTTGCGATTAGGGTTCAGCCCTACGAAAGAGAACCATGTGCATCAAACGAAGATTTTTGGTTTCTCGCCTGCGGTGTTTAGGTCAAGACGGGAACAAAAAAAAACTCCCGATACTAAATGTTTAGTTGTAGCGTTTTGCGCTTTGTTTTCTACGGCGAAATCCATTTTAAAAATGGGTAGCTGTGTCCGTTTCGGTCGTCTTAAAATTTTATTCCTTTGCACTAAGTGGGGCGAAGGTTCTCCTTGCTCAGTGCTCTAGTGTTTCGTTGCTGTAGAGTAATTCCCTTAGCAAACCAAAAGCTAACTTTTGACGAAAGAATCAGCTGTACCATGGGGCACGATGACTTTTCGCCGAGAAGTCATCGGGCAGTTTCACTGCAAGTTGCTTCTTTCCTTAGAGATTGCTGAGGCAGAGGCTATCGTCAAAGGGAAAATAGTGAGTTTATATAGATTTAAGTCAATCTCAAATAGGGATTTCAATAGAGGAAAACTCATTTAGTTTAAGCGCAGCATTGCCATGTGATCCATTTCGCTCAATGGCAAATAACTGACATCAGTGTTGTAAGTTAATATTTCGTATGTATCGACTTTCGTACAGCATTTGGATTCGCTACCATCTAATTCAATAATATTTGTGTTTATTTATTTATCTCGTAGGAAACCTAGGTTAGGAGGATACACAGCCCTTTCGAGTTTGTGTTTATACCAGTATCCGCACCAGAGGTTTCTCATTGCTAAGGCAACAGGATATCGGTCAGCTCAGGAAAGGGCTTGAACTTGATTACAAATGATGTATTTCTGTTAATAGAACACGATGAAAACTGCAATTAGTAGGATTTTCATACGATTAGAAAAGCGTTAATGTACTCATGTGGAAAGACAAGGAGTATGAGTACATCTCAAACAGGTGAAATAAAGAAAACAATAAGGAGCTTACCATTCTTTGCTTGCAGCCGAAAAGAATGTTGAACAATCGTGTGCGGTGTCGGAACAGGCATTCTTTTTAGCTAAATTCATTGATTATCTTCCCTGATTTAACAAGTGGTATGTGTTCGTAACAGCCGTTTTCGAAGTCGATACGGGGCATATGGCCGACGACATTGAAGAGTAAAATCTCCTCGATGTCGACGATCGAAACGCATCCATTTTGGTCATACAGCTACATCCTTTGGAAATTAGTGTATAGAAATACCCGGTATATGTGTATTATTCTTGTAGCTAACATCTTTTAACGCTCCGGCCATGCAATGCGTTCGTCCTTTCTTCCAGATTTCTCCTTTCTTTAACATAGTTGCCGTCGTGTCTTCACAGTTTTTCTAGGTCACAGCTATGTAATGTGATCGTTTTGGCGGCGCGCTTAACGAGAACACTTTTTGGCCGACAAATCGTAATTTCAAAGCGCAGAAAAATGGTCAAGGAGAACTTGCTAGGCGCAAAGGTCGATTATTTCTACTTTTAAACACAGCTATCAGAAAATGCAAAAAATATAATTTCGTGTACATGTCATAGGCACTTTATATTAAGATAAAAGAAATCTTTTACTTCTAAATTTCTAATATTCTTTGTTGCTTTGTTATTTGTTTTTTAGGAAATCGAACTTGCAGTGACACCAAGTACTGCATTCCTGAGGCTAAAAGTGGCTCTTATGTCATCGACCCTGATGGAGAGGGTGGAGAGAAACCTTTTAAAGTCTTCTGTGACATGGCTGACAAGGACGGTGTTGGAGTGACAGTTGTCAGTCACGACAGTGAAAACAGAACGCTGGTGGATGGATTTCAGGATCCCGGCAGTTATTCGTGCAATGTCACGTACCAGGGAACCAGTCTCCTTCAGCTGGCAAGTCTAACAGCTTCATCTGCTCACTGTGAGCAGTTTATAATGTACGAGTGCTATCACTCAAGGCTCTTTCGCGATGGTTACGGCTGGTGGGTATCACGTGATGGAGAAGAGATGAAGTACTGGGGAGGAGTGGATTCTATCGATGACAAATGCGCATGCGGCATGAACCATACATGTGCAAACCCTCAGTACGGATGTAACTGCGACAAACTTGACCAACAATGGCGAGAGGACAGTGGTTTACTTACTAACAAGTCTAGGCTTCCGGTGAAGCAACTGAGGTTTGGAGATACCGGCCTTACAAGTAGTGATCAGGGATACCACACACTTGGAAAGTTCAAGTGTTTTGGACTTATATAGATCGTAACTGTATACCTGCTATTTGTAGACTCGCCTGTTATAGCGCTGTAAAGTAACATGCTATCTGTTATGATAGTTCGCTGCCTTATGCAAAGGGATTCCAGAATGTATAAATATCAGTAGGAAGGTTAAAATGTTTGGCGCATGTGTTTTAGCATATTAAGCATAATTTTAGGCGCCAAAGAATACAATATTCGTTCTTGTTTATTTTGGCGATGTACTGGATCGATGATGTTTTTTATTTGTTTCAAAAAAAACATTCCATTCTGAAAACTCAACACCAAATTTTTAAAACAGCTCATGATTTAATTTGAAAAACTTCACCTGGCTGCGAGGACCTATGGCAAGGAAGAAAAATCCTTGTCAGAAAAAAAAAGCTAATTAGTTATCATATAAAAGGACCTCTTATTGCAGCGTTTAGATCATCCCCGTTGAAGGCACTATATAGGCAGGAGTGTCGAAACGTTGGGTCTATGAATTGTAACTTCTTCGGTTACATTCATTCAATCTGTAAACCAGAGAAGCATCAAACCATATCTGATTGTCCACCTGGTTACCGTGTGAACTTTAATATTTTTTACATTGTGGAAGGTCACATACTTGCCTACTTTTGATCACGTGATTTCTTATACATATCGAAAAGCTCATTCATCTGAACTTAACATCGTAAGCCTGAGTCGTCTCAGGGTAAACGCGAGCTTTTTCTCAAAAATAGCCAGCTTTTCTCTTCTCTTCTTGTTCTCGGCATGATGTTACCCAAATACAGAGTAGTAAGTGAACTTTTTTAATGAATATTTTCTAGTGAGTTTTAAACAAACCTTTACCGTTTCTGGTTAACTATTGTCTGCCACATTAGTTAAAATGTATGTATCTCACGCCCTGTGCAGATCACAGAGCTGCAATGCTCGAAGGGAATTTGTACATTCTACATTACGAATGTCATTTCTTGTTTTCGTAAGAGAAGGTTATAATGTTCTTTTCTATCGACATGTGCAATATCAAACCCGTCCATTCATTTTCGCGCAGCTCTGTTACCTACTTTATTTGACATGGTACAAAATCAACGGACAATTATCAGCCAATAACCCCATGTTATTATTTGTCCGATTATTTCCGTCGAAAAGCGAGAAAGCCAACTTAAAAAGCCCAACAGTTTCACTTTCTCGACTTAATTACTTGAAAAGGGAGAAAAACGAACTTATTTTGTAGAGTCCACAGGTGTTGGGAATTAAAGGCTGATCTCAAATGCTGCTCTAGAAAGTACAAAAAAGATAACGAAACTTTATTTTATACGCACGATACAAAAATTAATGAGAGGGTTACAAATAATAAATAAAATAAATATCCCCCTCCTAGCTTGCTGGCATGTCGCCTGATAATGCCCTTGGCTGAGAGATTGTCCTCAAAATTTCAAATTTACCCTCAAAGCCTTGCTTCTTGGCCAAAGATTCATTTTTTGGGCAATTTCTCGGTCGTGGACATTATCAGCCGACATACTCGACATAGCCGCCTGCCTCGACAGCCTTTTCGTGTTTTTCCTTTAATAATAAGAGTGTCAATTCTAAGTACCAGTTTCTTCCTCACTCCTAAGGTCGTCAGGCAAGGTACTGGTGAATGTTTGGAGACGAAGGTGCGAAAGACTATAGAGGTCTAGGAATTTATTGGTCATCAACATGCGCGAGTAAAACTGCTTGACGCCAGTGCTGTCAGCCGGGGCCATATAAACTTTGATGATCTCACTGGAGATATCAGCTGTGGAACGGACTTATGACGTACACATTACACTTATGATGTCGGATACAGGGGAGAGTGTGGGGTTCCGCTCCCCCACCATCAGGATTTATTAACTACTTGCCTAAAAGCAAAATTCTTTCAACGACAGGATCGCATATGAGTACTCAGCTTGAAGAAACTAAAGCTTATCATGTAGAGATATTCAGTACTTTGTAAAAACTAAAACAAATACAAAAAATTGTTTTCTGCATCGAAGTTTGGACTACCCCCTCCCCCTTCCCCCAAATATTGAAGATGAGAACCGTGGTAAATCCAGTAGAAGTGAGCGTTCCAAGATCGACGAGAAGAGGCACGATGATGCAAATCAATGAAATTCCGGGAAGTATCAAACTGTAGTAAATCCAGAACACAATTCTTATGGGAGGAGCCCACAATCTCAGAAAGGTTTCATCGATAAAGAAAATTGAAAAAAATGAAACTTCTCAAGCTTATTTTATAATCAACAAAATGTCATGGTCTGTTCTTACACAGAGCAACATCTCTTTAATTAGAAAGCTCTACAAGTTTTAATACGAAGTGCGAAAGCTTATGTTATAACAAAATGCATTGGACTGTTCTTTGAATAAAGCGACAGCTTTTTAATTACAAACTGCAACTGGTACTAAAAAGAGCGAAAGTAATATTCCGGGATACGACAGTAATTTCAAAGAGCGAAGATTGTATTACAAAGTGCGACAACTTTTTTATTAAAAAGCGCGGCAAGTGTTCTTATAAAGTGCGATAGTTATTGCAAGAGCGACGATTATTGCGACAGGAAGTTAAATAAGTGAAAACACATCAACATACTCAAAGACAAAGAAACTTCTCAAACGGGTGAATAGTTAAGATGGACCGATCTAGCAACCCAAATAACCCAGCTTTTTCACGAAGGAAGCTTTTCGCATTTCAATACGATTATGAACGATAGCTTTTGTCTGACATACACGTTTATCACGTGAAACGTTTATTCCATTGATATACGTTAATGAAGTATTATTTTAAACATAAGCTCAAGTTTCACGATACTGAGATAGTCTTGGCTCTCGTGGATTTGAATTTAGATCGATGTAGTGAATTGTATACGGTAATTTTCCTTTGAACTTAACATAATAAAATGATTAGGGAGATTAAAGTGTGTATATTGACAATCGCCACTTAAAAATTACTATTCCGCATAATAAACATAAAATGTCAAAAAACAAAATTAAAGTCCTATTTTTAATTTCGCGTGTTATTTTCCCCTTCCCGCTCAGCTTTGTAACAGCCTCCCAGCACGCATCAACGCCGACAGGCAAAACAGCGTCAAATAGCTTGCTTCAATGTGATCGGATAACAGCCTTCACAAGCGTGAAGTGGAAATACATTTATGTAAACAAACTCCGACGCCCCGAAAAATTTTAAGTCGTTCTCTCTGGTAAAGTACTTTGGCTTGAGTTTTGATCTTTTGAAAGTTTATTGTTGGCTGGTATTCAGTCAATTTTCGTGAAATTTGATGATAATGTCCGAATTATAATAAATCCCAAAAGTGTGTCCCGAATTTTTTATTTTTCTTTATTTCTCGAGATATAGCGACTACATTGAAAACTTTGCTCAAGAGTGCTACTTTCAAGTTTAAAAGATAATAATTCAAAAATAACGAATCGTAAAAATACAAATCCCGGACACCCTTTCCTAGTTCAAAAAATATGCAGATCACGTTCCGATATAAAAGAAACTTGTTAGTTAAAATGCGTCGTCCTATAAACTTATCTTGTAAAACGTCGCGGCGTGAGAGAATAAGCTCCCGTTCTGTTCAATGCATATCTCAAATCACTCTTTATTAAGTTTGAAGAAAATGTATTCTTTTACTGGAATAGGGCGCATAATTTTAGGCTATCTCAATTTGAATGAAAGCACTAATTTTCCATCTGTGATACTTTAAGCTCAAAGTATCACCTGCTTTAGATATCAAACGTTCACCACTCTTCGATGTCTTTTGCGTTTTTCCCCTTTGTCTTTTTCCGCCTGGCAGTTAAGAGAAAATGGGTTTTTTTCACAAGTGTGTGACATTTTTTCAGTACACAGAACATTTAACTAAGTATTTAATTCATAGAAGAAACAAGAAAGTTCTTGTTAACGGACAAATTGACATATAAGGTTTTGCCTGACTCACGTACAAACTTGGAAATGACAAATTAAGTAAAGAACCACAACCGCTGAACCTGTCATGTGACAGGAAACTTTCCATCAGTTGATCAAACAAAGCGGAACTTGGAAATTTCACCACACGTATCACTATCTACAAATATCTAACTTCCGCCACGCTACAGCGTCCCTTGTCTTTTACCGTTTGGCAGTTCAAGATAATACTTTTAAATTTTGTAACGCTCTCAGTGTTTCACAACTCAACCCATCTGTTTCACCTGCTCCTCCTCCTTAGATAATTGCCATATCATGACCCTTAATAAATGCCATACTAGAAAATTATCACTCTGAATAATTATATTTTTTTTTTCTTTTTGTTCTTTATTTATCGCTGCTGTTGGCTGACGCAAGGCATTCAGGTGTTAAAAGTTCACTGGCCACCATCATGCTGCTCCTGCCTCTCTTAGTGTCTTTTCCTTTACTGTTTAACTTGATGTTTGCCATGCAAAACAGCGCTCTCTATCGATATCCAACAGGCCGTGCTTCGTTTGGTAAATTCAAGTGCGACCCTTTCTATTTCTTATGGGAAGAGAAACTTACATCGTCCATGGTGGAAGATAAGTTGGACTGCACTTTCCTTTGTGTCGGTGAACCAAAGTGCTATTCGTTCAACATAGCAGTGTATCCTGACTCCAAAGGTCTTTATCTGTGTGAGTTATTGGCCACAGACAAGTACAGAGAGGCTGAAAAGGTTCATGCAAATGCTACCTTCCATCACTGCAGTCCGTCGGTAAGATCTGTTCATATATTTGGTGCTTAACACTTTTCGTATTTCTTAAAATAGAAACTGGATGATTCAAGGAATGTTCACTTTGTTTCTAGTCTCCATGTGAAAGCGCTCCTTGTAAGAACGGAGGTGTCTGTGTTCCTGAATATGAAAGGAACTCCTATCATTGTGAATGTAAGCCTGTATTTTGCGGAACTCACTGCAAACGCTACAAATGTGGAGGTATTGAATTTAGTCTTTTACTGTTGCATGTGGTAGAACTGGAAGAGTCACATACTGTCATAAACCACAATTCTTGTATGTATATGGTTTACCTCTTTTCAACTTTTGGCTATGAATTCAATTTAAATCGGTCTATTGTACTTCTTTTCCCCAATAAACATTCCCCAAGTATATTTCCCGTAAAGAGAAAATAAATTTCGTGTACATGTCAGGCACTTTATATTAAGATAAATGAAATCTTTTACTTCTAAATTTCTTATGTTCTTTGTTGCTTTGTTATTTGTTTTTCAGGGAATCGAACTTGCAGTGACATCAAATACTGCAATCCTGAGGCTAAAAATGGCTCTTATGTCATCGACCCTGATGGAGAGGGCGGAGTGAAACCATTTAAAGTCTTCTGTGACATGACTGACAAGGACGGGATAGGAGTGACAGTTGTCAGTCACGACAGTGAAAACAGAACACTGGTGGCTGGGTTTGAAGCCCCTGGTAGCTATTGGCGTAATGTTACTTATGATGAAACCAGTCTAATTCAGCTAACAAGCTTAACAGCTTCATCTGCTCACTGTGAGCAGTTTATCAAATACGAATGCTATCATTCAGTGATCTTAAGCAATGATGACATGTACGGCTGGTGGGTATCACGTGATGACGAGAAGATGAAGTACTGGGGTGGAGTCAACTCTGTTCCCTTTAAATGTGCATGCGGTTTGACTGACACGTGCGCGGACAGCAGTTACGGCTGCAACTGCGATAAGAACGATTTGAATTGGCGAGAGGACAGCGGTTTACTAACAGACAAGTCCAAGCTTCCCGTGATTCAAATGAGATTTGGAGATACCGGTGATATTGTGCTTTACAATGAATCAGGATATCACACGCTTGGACCACTGGAGTGTTATGGACTCATCTAGAACTCATGAAGACTGTTGATTAACCATTTAAAAGATAACTTGAACAGTGTACTCTCTCCGTCAGACCTCAATTATAGTTATAATTATTAGTTATATTTACATGTAATATTTTCAGAATCTCAGCAGTGTTGTGTAGTTTTCCATGGTTTCTTTTTAAATAGCGCACGTGGTAGACTTTTTCAAAAAGGCAGCCAATATTGTTAAGATCAAACTTGAATCGCTTAAAGAAACATCTTCCTTTTCGAATAGTCACCAGGCATCAGAGTTTACGGCTATTACATAAGGCGAAAAGTAGCTCTAATTTGATTCTCTTCCTACATCAGAACTGAAATCATGTAAAGCAGCAAAGTAATTTCTGATTCGCGAATAATAAAAATATTGAAACAAATAAAGATGTTTTCCTTCCTGCCTCGAATGTGTAACAAAGAAAAAAATGGAGACCTCATGATGAATTAAAAATTAAAGCTCCAACGCTCTACCCCTGAATCACAGAGACTCTGTGGTAAGCTGAGCCATTACTAACTTCATGTCACACGCAGGAGGCATACTGTAAAGATCAGCTATGCAAATATTTTCACCTCAGGCTTAAAACAGGTGCAAACATGAAGCAAGGGATTCAATTTTTTCCGTTTACTTTGAGGTCCAACGCTTAACCTCTCTAACAAAAGAATACACTCGTCCATGTCAATGGGAGAACTCATAATCCACCAAATATTTTTGCTCGCGTGCGATTGGTTTAAACGTGACTCTTGACCGAAAATATCCCAGCTACAAGTGGGAAATATCCCAGGTAATAACCCACCCATTGATGTTCGCGACTCAGTTGGCTTCTGTATGTCATGTGGTACAAAATAACAAAATAACCCCCCTATACGTCGATATTTGTCCTCCGTTAATTTCCGTCTAAAAGAAACAAAGCCATAATCTTTGTCACCTAACTAATCGTTTGGTAGAGTCCAGTGGTAATGATGTTTAAAAGCTGACCTCAAATGCTACTCCAAAAATTACAACAAAGTCAAAAAAAATTTGCTCTCAACGCGCGTTACGATAATTAATGAGAGGGTTAGAAAATACATACAGCCTTTTTTGGCTTGCTGGTACGTTGGCTGCAAGCTGATAATGTCCACGGTCAAGAGATTCTCCCCAGAATTTCACATTTTCCCTAGAAGCTTCGTCTCTCGGCCTCATATTCGTCCATTAGGCAATTTTCAGCCGCAAACATTACCAGCCTACATACCAGCCGCCTGGAGGGGTTTATTTACCAAATATACCCCGAGTGATGTTCTTCAAATTTCAAACCTCACATCCACAACGATAAAACTATTGGTTCAAAATTTAATTCAAGATGAGAGGGGGTTTTTCTTTTCTTTTATAAAGTTGTACCAGAGGACAATGAAAAGTAACTATCCCACGCAGGAAACAATTAGCTGTTCGTAAATATTTTTCTTGGGCGCTGCTCCATTTGATGCAAAATTATGCTCTTCACAACAACAAACAAACAACAAACAATCTGTTCCTCGTAGTTCACCATTTTCCTCGAGCTTCGCTATCGGTAAACTGTTCACATTTCGGGACAGATAATGTGTGCGGACAAATATCCGTGCATATTTTTGTGCCAAATGGAGGCTATTGTTTATTTACTCGTTACCACAAAATTGAAAGTTAAACTGAGTAGCTAATTTTATTCACTTAATTACGGTATTGAGCTTAGACTTTCATTTTCTTCTTCAAGTTCCTGCCAAGTAAAAAGAAAGACAGAATAGACAAGTCACATCAAAGGGAAAGAAGTTCATACCAAGTCCTGAAAACTTTTAATTACTGACAGAAGTGGTTAAGGCTTGCCACAGGAATTATCAGGTGCTTTAAATTTAAAGGAATGTTATAAAACTTTTCCATTGAATGAAGTGATAAAAAGTTCAAACTCCTTGTTTGGAAACTTTTTTTCTGTTGTTGTGAAAAAAAGCTTCAGGAATGCTAGACTCTGGATTGACTCTGAAACTACTCGTCCTCAAAAAGACCCTTTGCTTGACAAATCAGACATATCATTATCTTTGATTCGTAAATGGAGCAAATTCCAGTTCTTCAATTTGCCTTGGGGAAGTTCATCCTTATTCATTACCACCTAAAGGGGGGAAGGGGTGAAGGGGATGGAGGGGTGGAGGGGGGGTAAAGGGGTTGGAAGATTTTTGGAATCACATGCTTCTCGGGGGGGGGGGGGGGAGGGGGGATCAGTTGTCACTGACAGAGAAAGTCCTCTAACAGTCATATTTTATGATAGCTCAAGAATTTTTCTTGTTTTTACTCCAAGTGTTCATTAGCTTATTCTGATCATCTATGTCCATTTTATAATACTCAATCAAAATGCCCTCTATATATAGTCAGAGTAACTAACCTTCAGTTGTTTCCGCAACTTCAAAACTTCTATTTCTTGCTTGCAAGTGGCAATCTAATGGCACCATACAAACAGAAGAAAAAATACAATTAACTATCTCTTGCAACAGAGAAAAAGATTAATATGGAATTTTAACAATTAAATGATAAACTACTTGAGCATGGAGACCACAAGTGTATCAAGGAGGGGGGAGGGGGGGGAAAGGGGACACAGAAAAATGACCATTCATACAAGCATAACTTACAGTACCAGTACCACTCAATACTAACTCAAGCTAATTGATTAAAATTAGGTACATCTTTTTACCTTGGATTTCACACCATCAACTTCTTTTTCAAGTTCCTTTTCCTTTAAAAAGTTACAAATATAAGGTCATGTAAATGTTTGTACTGAAGAGTTAAAACAACTAATCTATTTTAAAGCAAACTGCAACAGGGAGAAGACATGACTGAGAAAATCAATCAAACCATCTCAATGAAACCCACAATCTTTACAAATAATACAAATGACATAAAAAGATCTAACAACTAACTGTATATGCATTTTTTTTACCCTCAAAATTAGTCGTTCATCTTCTATCATGGTGGGAAGGAACCTCTGCAAAAATAACAAGATTTTATATTCACCTCAATGACCAGTTAATAGCCAATACGCAATTTAGGGAAATTATACGTTCTTTGTTTTTGCTTTACAACAGTCTTTGATTGGTCCAGGGAACTTGCACACCACAAACATCAAATTGGATCCAAAACTAAAAACAATCACAACTTGGTTACTCATGTTTTTCTGCCCTTCACACAGTTTGCTTTTTTTTCTTTATGCTCATGTTGGCTCCTATTGAAATTTCTTCCACTCAAATTTGTTACTGTGCAATCTATGGTTTTGGTTTAATTTACATTGATGCTTATATTTTTTCCCTTCACGAATTACCAAATGTCCTCTTGCACATTAGCTTATTGTGTGTTTTGCTGTCACTTACTGTTTTTTTTTACCTCTAACCTTCTCAAAGTCTTTTAACCTTTCCTCCTTTTCTTTAATACTCCTTAGCAAGACCTGCTTCTCTTTAGGCCAATCCTCCATTTTGACTGACATCTTCTAGGAAATGGGTTGCGTGGTATCGCAACTCAGGATTACAGCTTCATACCAATGAAGCAAAGACTGAATAACCACCTAAACCATCACCAGCCTGCATGAATATTGCCACCAGCTAAAAGACTGGTACTAACAATGTGGTTGTAACAGAGCGCAGGAGACCAGGTGATAGTCCAGGCTTCTCAACACCCCGCCAGGTGATTGTGTTGTGTTCTTATGCAAGTTAACAATCTAATTTGTGATCATGTTTAACAGTTATAAGCCATTGCATGGGGTTGGATGGAAGTCCCGCAAAACGGGTCAAGTCATGGCTTCCTAGTACACTTCCAAAGCTGTTGCCTGCGGTGAAAAATCTGCCATCCTTTTACAAAACTCATACATGCTTCTAATTCGTCGAAATACATCTTTGATGTAATTTTTATGATGGCACAATTTGTTAACCAAAGCAAAGGGGAGACGACCAAGCTGGAAGTTTGTCTGCTAAGAAAATCTTAAATTAAAGATTCAAAAGACTTTATAGTTGCAAACTTTCACCCCTTTTGGGGTCCAATAAAATATGCTAAATCTGAAAATGACTGTAAGTCTAGTATTAGCACTTGAATCCTTAGGTAGATAGTCATCTTTGTTACAATTTTCCTTTTTCCCTCTGTTTGGATTTTGCAAGTGATTAAATTATTTGTCTGAGACATTTCATCGGACAGACTTGATGACCTCTCGTCGGCGCCTTCTACATTTCAATATATGCACGCGAATTCTCAATACCACTAAACAACAAAATGTTATGTATTATGTTAAGGATTTAAAGTTGTGTGACCATTACAGTCCCCTTCAGGATAAATTATATTAATACTCATGTCGCCTTCTCTCCCCCTACCCATGGAGCCTAAAAACGTTGTCAATCGTTTTATTCTTCAACTAATGGCCCACTCTTTAAATGGTAATTTAGTGTTGACAACTGGGTTGAAAACTTAAATTAGCCACCGTAAAGAGTAAAAAAGCTGACGTTTCGAGCGTTAGCCCTTCGTCAATCGCTCTGACGAAGGGCTAACGCTCGAAACGTCAGCTTTTTTACTCTTTACGGTGGCTAATTTACGTTTTCAACCCAGTTGTTAACACTATACTCTCCCACCGAGGCAGTACCACAGTTTCTTTAGAAACTTACCCCTTTATTCACTCTTTAAATGCTCTAAAATACCCTTAAGTCGGTCCTGTTTTTATTCATCAGAAAAGGCAACTTAATCTGGCGACGCAAAGCAATGAAATGATCATAAAATACGATCTCAGGGAAATCATGATTCTTTTAAGCCATCATGTAAATAAAGTTTCCTCGATATGTTTTTACTTTATGATCATTTCCGGTGAAGTTTGAATATATATTGATAACGAAGCAACAAAGTGCATGTTGCTGCCACCGTTTTGTTTCAATATAGCACTTTGCATAAACTGTTGAGCAAAAAGTCTAAGCCAATTGATTTACGAGAGTACATGTCTGTTGAACTAACCATACATTTTGTGGCGACGATACTTTCTTAGGTGTTCAAATAAAAAATTGCATTTTTTTTTCAGTTTATACAGTTTCTCCTCTCGATTAACTTAATTTCAAAGATAAAGCGTATTCGGAATGAGAAATAAAAGAAACGCATAAAAATATAATATCATAGCATCAATTTTTCTAAACATGATACACAACGTGTCAAAATATCTGAATATTCGCCAAAGTCACGATGCCTTATCCTTTATTGTATAACAGTGGATTGAATTAATTAGTGTTTCTGCAAGCCGGAGGCATTCCACATTTTGACGCTTAAACAAGTTTAGGCTTTCTCTTAAGTGAAATGTTATTCTTTGCTAGTTCTGTAACATGTTCGATAAACAACCTTCGCAAATGTAAGTTTACTTATTTGGATATCTTTTTTGAAACTTTTACCGGAAATATTTTTATGAGTAACTCTGCAATGTTTATATTTAAAAACAGTATAGTGTTTAATTGAAAATGCTAATAAACAGATATGAAACGACTGACTTTTTTTGCAAATAAAATACATAATCGAGGCTCGCACGTTTCCGATCTTCACATGTCAGACAGACATGACATAGATGAATCTAAGAGGAAAACAACATTAGCTTCTTGTAGTTGGTACCAAGTTATAGTGTCAATTTTGTTATCCTGCTGCGAGCCAAAATAGAACCTCTTACAGAAATATGAATAGTTAATAGTATTTAAACCTATTTGTATAGAAGGCATCAATAGACATCGTTTCCTCAGTTAAAAAAAAAACAGTTTGAAAACAATTCTTTTAAAAAAAAACTAAAAAAAGTATCAGGTTTGTCAAGAAGGAGAGGTTTATTCAGGAAAACTTTTTAAAATTTACTGTTCCACTTCTACTTCCCCTTTAGTAGGAGTTTATCCCACTCATGGCACCTGCTTCATAGATGTGGCTATTAATTCTTAATTACTGACAAGCAATAATAAAGGACCTATTTTTTAATTTGAATGTAAAGTCTGCGGTATCATACAGCAACTCATTCCCGTGGTGAGAGTTCATCGGCCACCATCATGCTGCTTCTGCCACTCCTGTTGTTTTTTCCTTCTTTGTTAGGATTGTTGTTTGCCACACAAAACAGCGCTCTCTATCGATATCCAACAAGCGATCTTTTTTTCGGTTACATAAAGCGCGATGTCTTCCATTACTTATGGGCAGAGAAACTTTCATCATCCACGGTGAAAGATCAGTTGGACTGCGGTTTTCTTTGTCTTCGAGAGCCAAAGTGTCATTCGTTCAACATGGCAGCGTATCCCGACTCCAAAGGAGTTTATCTGTGTGAGTTATTGGCCACAGACAAGTACAGAGAAACTGAAAAGTTCCATGCAAATGTTTCCTTCCATCACTACAGTCCGTTGGTAAGATCTCTCCATATGTCTGGTGATAAAACACTCTTTGTAGTTTTTTAATACAAACTGAATGATTCAAGAAATGTTTACTTTATTTCTAGCCTCCATGTGAAAGCGCTCCTTGTAAGAACGGTGGTGTCTGTGTTCCTGAATATAAATGGAGCTCCTTTCATTGTGACTGTAGACCAGGATTCTGCGGAACTCACTGCGAAAGGGGAGGTATTGAATCTGTCCTACTTTCTGTTGCATGAAGAAAAATTGAAAAAAAAAAACTCATACTGTTATTTTCAATCATCTGTTATAAATTGATGGTTTACCTATGTTCAACCTTGTGCTATAAAATTAAATGCATTCGAATCAGTCTTTTGTCTTGCCTTCCCGATAAACATACCTTAATTGGTTTTTCCTTTAAAGTGCCTATGACAAGAATTTTTTTTTGCATAAGTATTTAGCTTATCATATGTTCAAACCAATTCCGATAAAAAACAAAATTTCAAATAACTTAAAACTCGGTTTTTCGGGCCTTAAAGTGCTCTTATTTTGTGTTAAAAGTGTACCGTGGACTGGTAACGAATTAGCGGGTTATGACGTAGAAAACTGTGAAAGCTCTCAGTGGTAACTTGCAAATCTCTCAGTTTTCTTGTAATTTTGTATCAGTCGACGTTGAAAAACTGTCCAATAGCGATGTATACCTACCTTCACCAAGCTCTACCAAGAGTTGATACATCGTACCCAATTAGTAAAGAAGGAGGTTGCGAGTAGGGTTCAGCCCTACGAAAGAGAACCATGTGCATCAAACGAAGATTTAGACGAAGATTGACAAAATGGTTTCTCGCCTGCGGTGTTTAGGTCAAGACGGGAACAAAAAAAAACTCCCGATACTAAATGTTTAGTTGTTGCGTTTGGCGCTTTGTTTTCTACGGCGAAATCCATTTTAAAAATGGGTAGCTGTGTCCGTTTCGGTCGTCTTAAAATTTTATTCCTTTGCACTAAGTGGGGCGAAGGTTCTCCTTGCTCAGTGCTCTAGTGTTTCGTTGCTGTAGAGTAATTCCCTTAGCAAACCAAAAGCTAACTTTTGACGAAAGAATCAGCTGTACCATGGGGCACGATGACTTTTCGCCGAGAAGTCATCGGGCAGTTTCACTGCAAGTTGCTTCTTTCCTTAGAGATTGCTGAGGCAGAGGCTATCGTCAAAGGGAAAATAGTGAGTTTATATAGATTTAAGTCAATCTCAAATAGGGATTTCAATAGAGGAAAACTCATTTAGTTTAAGCCCAGCATTGCCATGTGATCCATTTCGCTCAATGGCAAATAACTGACATCAGTGTTGTAAGTTAATATTTCGTATGTATCGACTTTCGTACAGCATTTGGATTCGCTACCATCTAATTCAATAATATTTGTGTTTATTTATTTATCTCGTAGGAAACCTAGGTTAGGAGGATACACAGCCCTTTCGAGTTTGTGTTTATACCAGTATCCGCACCAGAGGTTTCTCATTGCTAAGGCAACAGGATATCGGTCAGCTCAGGAAAGGGCTTGAACTTGATTACAAATGATGTATTTCTGTTAATAGAACACGATGAAAACTGCAATTAGTAGGATTTTCATACGATTAGAAAAGCGTTAATGTACTCATGTGGAAAGACAAGGAGTATGAGTACATCTCAAACAGGTGAAATAAAGAAAACAATAAGGAGCTTACCATTCTTTGCTTGCAGCCGAAAAGAATGTTGAACAATCGTGTGCGGTGTCGGAACAGGCATTCTTTTTAGCTAAATTCATTGATTATCTTCCCCTGATTTAACAAGTGGTATGTGTTCGTAACAGCCGTTTTCGAAGTCGATACGGGGCATATGGCCGACGACATTGAAGAGTAAAATCTCCTCGATGTCGACGATCGAAACGCATCCATTTTGGTCATACAGCTACATCCTTTGGAAATTAGTGTATAGAAATACCCGGTATATGTGTATTATTCTTGTAGCTAACATCTTTTAACGCTTCGGCCATGCAATGCGTTCGTCCTTTCTTCCAGATTTCTCCTTTCTTTAACATAGTTGCCGTCGTGTCTTCACAGTTTTCTAGGTCACAGCTATGTAATGTGATCGTTTTGGCGGCGCGCTTAACGAGAACACTTTTTGGCCGACAAATCGTAATTTCAAAGCGCAGAAAAATGGTCAAGGAGAACTTGCTAGGCGCAAAGGTCGATTATTTCTACTTTTAAACACAGCTATCAGAAAATGCAAAAAATGTAATTTCGTGTACATGTCATAGGCACTTTATATTAAGATAAAAGAAATCTTTTACTTCTAAATTTCTAATATTCTTTGTTGCTTTGTTATTTGTTTTTTAGGAAATCGAACTTGCAGTGACACCAAGTACTGCATTCCTGAGGCTAAAAGTGGCTCTTATGTCATCGACCCTGATGGAGAGGGTGGAGAAAACTTTTAAAGTCTTCTGTGACATGGCTGACAAGGACGGTGTTGGAGTGACAGTTGTCAGTCACGACAGTGAAAACAGAACGCTGGTGGATGGATTTCAGGATCCCGGCAGTTATTCGTGCAATGTCACGTACCAGGGAACCAGTCTCCTTCAGCTGGCAAGTCTAACAGCTTCATCTGCTCACTGTGAGCAGTTTATAATGTACGAGTGCTATCACTCAAGGCTCTTTCGCGATGGTTACGGCTGGTGGGTATCACGTGATGGAGAAGAGATGAAGTACTGGGGAGAGTGGATTCTATCGATGACAAATGCGCATGCGGCATGAACCATACATGTGCAAACCCTCAGTACGGATGTAACTGCGACAAACTTGACCAACAATGGCGAGAGGACAGTGGTTTACTTACTAACAAGTCTAGGCTTCCGGTGAAGCAACTGAGGTTTGGAGATACCGGCCTTACAAGTAGTGATCAGGGGATACCACACACTTGGAAAGTTCAAGTGTTTTGGACTTATATAGATCGTAACTGTATACCTGCTATTTGTAGACTCGCCTGTTATAGCGCTGTAAAGTAACATGCTATCTGTTATGATAGTTCGCTGCCTTATGCAAAGGGATTCCAGAATGTATAAACATCAGTAGGAAGGTTAAAATGTTTGGCGCATGTGTTTTAGCATATTAAGCATAATTTTAGGCGCCAAAGAATACAATATTCGTTCTTGTTTATTTTGGCGATGTACTGGATCGATGATGTTTTTTATTTGTTTCAAAAAAAACATTCCATTCTGAAAACTCAACACCAAATTTTTAAAGCAGCTCATGATTTAATTTGAAAAACTTCACCTGGCTGCGAGGACCTATGGCAAGGAAGAAAAATCCTTGTCAGAAAAAAAAAGCTAATTAGTTATCATATAAAAGGACCTCTTATTGCAGCGTTTAGATCATCCCCGTTGAAGGCACTATATAGGCAGGAGTGTCGAAACGTTGGGTCTATGAATTGTAACTTCTTCGGTTACATTCATTCAATCTGTAAACCAGATTAGCATCAAACCATTTCTGATTGTCCACCTGGTTGCCGTGTGAACTTTAATATTTTTTACATTGTGGAAGGTCACATACTTGCCTACTTTTGATCACGTGATTTCTTATACATATCGAAAAGCTCATTCATCTGAACTTAACATCGTAAGCCTGAGTCGTCTCAGGGTAAACGCGAGCTATTTCTCAAAAATAGCCAGCTTTTCTCTTCTCTTCTTGTTCTCGGCATGATGTTACCCAAATACAGAGTAGTAAGTGAACTTTTTTAATGAATATTTTCTAGTGAATTTTAAACAAACCTTTACCGTTTCTGGTTAACTATTGTCTGCCACATTAGTTAAAATGTATGTATCTCACGCCCTGTGCAGATCACAGAGCTGCAATGCTCGAAGGGAATTTGTACATTCTACATTACGAATGTCATTTCTTGTTTTCGTAAGAGAAGGTTATAATGTTCTTTTCTATCGACATGTGCAATATCAAACCCGTCCATTCATTTTCGCGCAGCTCTGTTACCTACTTTATTTGACGTGGTACAAAATCAACGGACAATTATCAGCCAATAACCCCATGTTAACATTTGTCCGATTATTTCCGTCGAAAAGCGAGAAAGCCAACGTAAAAAGCCCAACAGTTTCACTTTCTCGACTTAATTACTTGAAAAGGGAGAAAAACGAACTTATTTTGTAGAGTCCACAGGTGTTGGGAATTAAAGGCTGATCTCAAATGCTGCTCTAGAAAGTACAAAAAAGATAACGAAACTTTATTTTATACGCACGATACAAAAATTAATGAGAGGGTTACAAATAATAAATAAAATAAATATCCCCCTCCTAGCTTGCTGGCATGTCGCCTGATAATGCCCTTGGCTGAGAGATTGTCCTCAAAATTTCAAATTTACCCTCAAAGCCTTGCTTCTTGGCCAAAGATTCATTTTTTGGGCAATTTCTCGGGTTTATTTACCAAATATACCCCGAGTGATGTTCTCCAAATTTCAAACCTCACATCCACAACGATAAAACTATTGGTTCAAAATTTAATTCAAGATGAGAGGGGGTTTTTCTTGTTAGAGAGGAATGAACATGTTTATTTTTTTTATAAAGTTGTACCAGAGGACAATGAAAAGTAACTATCCCACGCAGGAAACAATTAGCTGTTCGTAAATATTTTTCTTGGGCGTTGCTCCATTTGACGCAAAATTATGCTCTTCACAACAAGAAACAAACAACAAACAATCTGTTCCTCGTAGTTCACCATTTTCCTCGAGCTTTGCTATCGGTAAACTGTTCACATTTCGGGACAGATAATGTGTGCGGACAAATATCCGTGCATATTTTTGTGCCAAATGGAGGCTATTGTTTATTTACTCGTTACCACAAAATTGAAAGTTAAACTGAGTAGCTAATTTTATTCTCTTAATTACGGTATTGAGCTTAGACTTTCATTTTCTTCTTCAAGTTCCTGCCAAGTAAAAAGAAAGACAAAATAGACAAGTCAAATCAGAGGAAAGAAGTTCATACCAAGTCCTGAAAACTTTTAATTACTGACAGAAGTGGTTAAGGCTTGCCACAGGAATTTTCAGGTGCTTTAAATTTAAAGGAATGTTATAAAACTTTTCCATTGAATTAAGTGATAAAAAGTTCAAACTCCTTGTTGGAAACTTTTTTTCTGTTGTTGTGAAAAAAAGCTTCAGGAATGCTAGACTCTGGATTGACTCTGAAACTACTCGTCCTCAAAAAGACCCTTTGCTTAACAAATCAGACATATCATTATCTTTGTTTCGTAAATGGAGCAAATTCCAGTTCTTCAATTTGCCTTGGGGAAGTTCATCCTTATTCATTACCACCTAAAGGGGGGAAGGGGTGAAGGAGGTGGAGGGGGTGGAGGGGTGGAGGGGGTTGGAGGGGTTGGAAGATTTTTGGAATCACATGCTTCTGGGGGGGGGGGGGGGAGGGGGATCAGTTGTCACTGACAGAGAAAGTCCTCTAACAGTCATATTTTCTGATAGCTCAAGAATTTTTCTTGTTTTTACTCCAAGTGTTCATTAGCTTATTCTGATCATCTATGTCCATTTTATAATACTCAATCAAAATGCCCTCTATATATAGTCAGAGTAACTAACCTTCAGTTGTTTCCGCAACTTCAAAACTTCTATTTCTTGCTTGCAAGTGGCAATCTAATGGCACCAAACAAACAGAAGAAAAAATACAATTAACCATCTCTTGCAACAGAGAAAAAAATTAATATGGAATTTTAACAATTAAATGATAAATTACTTGAGCATGGAGACCACAAGTGTATCAAGGAGGGGGGGGGGGGGAAAGGGGACACAGAAAAATGACCATTCATACAAGCATAACTTACAGTACCAGTACCACTCAATACTAACTCAAGCTAATTGATTAAAATTAGGTACATCTTTTTACCTTGGATTTCACACCATCAACTTCTTTTTCAAGTTCCTTTTCCTTTAAAAAGTTACAAATATAAGGTCATGTAAATGTTTGTACTGAAGAGTTAAAACAACTAATCTATTTTAAAGCAAACTGCAACAGGGAGAAGACATGACTGAGAAAATCAATCAAACCATCTCAATGAAACCCACAATCTTTACAAATAATACAAATGACATAAAAAGATCTAACAACTAACTGTATATGCATTTTTTTTACCCTCAAAATTAGTCGTTCATCTTCTATCATGGTGGGAAGGAACCTCTGCAAAAATAACAAGATTTTATATTCACCTCAATGACCAGTTAATAGCCAATACGCAATTTAGGGAAATTATACGTTCTTTGTTTTTGCTTTACAACAGTCTTTGATTGGTCCAGGGAACTTGCACACCACAAACATCAAATTGGATCCAAAACTAAAAACAATCACAACTTGGTTACTCATGTTTTTCTGCCCTTCACACAGTTTGCTTTTTTTTCTTTATGCTCATGTTGGCTCCTATTGAAATTTCTTCCACTCAAATTTGTTGCTGTGATTTCTATGGTTTTGGTTTAATTTACATTGATGCTTATATTTTTTCCCTTCACGAATTACCAAATGTCCTCTTGCACATTAGCTTATTGTGTGTTTTGCTGTCACTTGCTGTTTTTTTTTGCCTCTAACCTTCTCAAAGTCTTTTAACCTTTCCTCCTTTTCTTTAATACTCCTTAGCAAGACCTGCTTCTCTTTAGGCCAATCCTCCATTTTGACTGACATCTTCTAGGAAATGGGTTGTGTGGTATCGCAACTCAGGATTACAGCTTCATACCTATGAAGCAAAGACTGAATAACCACCTAAACCATCACCAGCCTGCATGAATATTGCTACCAGCTAAAAGATTGGTACTAACAATGTGGTTGAAACAGGGCACAGGAGACCAGGTGATAGTCCAGGCTTCTCAACACCCAGCCAGGTCATTGTGTTGTGTTCTTATGCAAGTTAACAATCTAATTTGCGATCATGTTTAACAGTTATAAGCCATTGCATGGGGTTGGGTGCAACTCCCACAAAACGGGTCAAGTCATAGCTTCCTAGTACACTTCCAAGGGAAAAAAAAAAGCAAAGTTTAACAGTAATTAGCACAGTCATGTCTAAGGAGACGTCATAGAAATATGGCAACTTTTATACATGAGCAACATAAATCTGACTGCCCTTAAGAGACCTTAAGAGACAGTGATGTCCATGGATTTTGTCAACATTCCCAAGGATGTAAAAACCACGTAGATATGTGGCGCAGTCGTTGCAAAAATTCGAACGAAAATGCCAGTTTGCTTCGAAATATCGCTTCAGCATATAAATCATGAATCCTTGTGAAGTTTCTTTGTATTGACTCTACTCACTGCGTTAGTTTTAATTTGAGGAAATGCCTAGAAAAGTCAAGCCGTCTTTAAAAACGTACATGATTGAATTTCATTAGTTGATCCTCATAATCAAACTAATCCTTTCATGAGCGCTTATCAGCAACTGTAGTATACCTTACCTCACGAAATATTTTTGCAATTCCTGCCCTTTGAGTGGTCAGAGGTAATTCTTTATAATATCAGCGCTGGCGAGATTGTATTTATAACAACTGTCAAAAGATCCAAAGCCTTCGGATTAAGAAGATTTATGGCTCAATATATGACCATCAACTGGTTATAACTGCTTACCTCTGACTTGCCTTATTGTGGGCGCCCCATTTGCGGAACGGCAGTCTTGACAGTCCTGCTCCTTACTTGTATAATTGACATATTTGTTCTTGATCATTGACATTGTAATCATCATTATTATCAGTATCATTGGCTTGTTTGAAATTTTAAATGTATTTCATCAAAATACCAAAAAGCAAGGAAAAAAGGAGCTGAAAGAAATTACAAGCTCAGGGTCAATATCGAGCCCAGGGTTATTTCGGTTCAGCGGTATGGTCGCCAAATAATAAATGAACAAATGCAAAGCAAACCCTTCTATGGTGGGGAGAGGAGAGGATTAACAGTCCCCTCGCCCAGTTCCCTGGTGATAATTTATGATTACTACGATTTGACACATTTGCTAAACGCGGACTCTTGCTGTGTGTTTGTCTTTATGACATGAAGCGTAAAGACAGCTAATCAACACACAAGAATCCTTACAGTAGCTCTGCATTTGTTGGATATTTTTTTATATGTCCGAAATAATCGAAGATTTTACCACCAATTTACATCCGTTTGCTGGTGTGGTTTTTCTTCAGAGAACAATCATGGCGGATAGCGAAATTTCCAGCGCCTTTCAATTGGCGGATCCCACAGATAAGGAACGTTTCTTTACACGGCTAAGGAAATTAAATGTCAACGACACAAGAGAATTGGACTCTTTTCTCGAAGACTACAAATATCGCAAGCTTATTGTAAATGGTTTCAATCGAGATCTGGTGATCGTCGGCCGTGGCGAGTCGACCGTGTTCGAGGATTTCACTTTACAAGTGTGGAAAAAATACTATATCGAAGAGGAAGTTGCACAGATCGGTATGTTGCAAGGAAGCTTATCATTCCCGGTAGAGGTAAGGTAGTTAATTTGAGAAGTGCAAGGAAATATTCTGAACTTGTAGAGGATAAGTCCTTCACTAGCACTCATTGTCAAATATTTAAATAAATCAGCTATATTTATGTATTCGAGTTGATTTGTGCTATCAAGGAGCTATTCTTACACAGTTTGTTGATGTCGAACGTCAACTAAAGAGTTCTCGATCGATTAAATTATTTTTAAAGCAATAAACGGCGTTGAAGAGTTGACACGAGCGGTTTAAAATGGATACCGAAAGACTAAGCTTTTCAGATTTTATAGGCTTTAGTGTACAATTCAAACGTCGCGATTTCAAAAGTAACTTTTGCGAGATAGATTCATGGAATTGCTGTTTATATTCCTCTATGCGCGAGTGATCTTGTTCAGTTGTGCATTTAAAAAATGCCGTTCATATTTTTCGCACCCTCCTCACGCTTGTCATTGTTCAAGCTCCACATGTGTGAACAGTATGACTTTCATGATTACGAGGACCTGTATATTGTCAGTGAGAAAACAGTTTGAGTTTTATTTTCCATTGTTTCAAAGTGTGGTAAAATTGAATAAAAGACAAAGGAAAATAAAAAACAAATTGATTTGAAAAATTTGCAACTAGGAACAAAACAAGAACCACAACGACTACAATGTTTTTGTCTTCCTGGGGTTGATTTGCATATTGATGTGCTGGCAATCAGATTTTTAAGAGATGATGAAGTGAGAGATGCATTTGGTTTCTCTTTATTACCTGTGTATTTTTTACTGGAACATGCTTAATAGTGTAAATGGAAAAGATTATCCTCCAATTCTAATATTCTGAGTATCACAATTTTCATCCATTACTAATTGTCAAGTTAGTGAATTATTGAGACCCTTATTAATATATGACCTGTGATAAATCAATATAAATAAAAGTCTAAATTTGGGTTAATTTCAGCAACACAGGGTATATGATATAGAAGACAATTCACTTGTCAACAGTATTATCCAATTCTAAGTTTCCCTCTTTTTGCAAAGTGAAGTATTAAATATAATTAGTATATTTTGCCAGTTTTTTCATAAATTGCAATATTGAAGTCAGCTTTTTTTTGAAGTCACATTGTCAAGTTGCACACCTGTCTCATATTTAGAATTTTCAAACATGTTTGAAAGTTGTGAGCTGTCAACTAAACCTGAGTGCAGAATAAGTGATTTGGAGAGAAGCACTGTTGTTCCTAAAATAGTTGACGCAATCATCATTTTTCCAAATTGATAGGTTCACGGAATACATGTTAATGAAGTCAGGTCCACATGTAAAATGTAAGATGAGATTGTTGAGGGGATTTACAGCGTAAGCTGTATGCCCAGTGAATCTTTTATGGAACAAAAAAACCATGGTGCTGAATTTTATATTTTGATCCTTTAACTCCCTTGAGTGACCAAAACAGAATTTCTCCATACAATCTCAATACAGTATAAGCAGAAAAGTGAGGAGAATCAAGGAAAAGTTGAATCACATGTTGGAGAATTCTTTAAACCATTTACATCATAAAAATTGTGGGCAGGCAGTAAGGAGAATTACTAAAGAGATCTGTGAGTAAAAGGGTTAAGTTATTCTTTGTAGGATTCTTTTGAAATATTTTAGAATATTTGGTTTAATTTATTTTTATTATTATGTTAGCATATAGCACATTCCACTTATTTTTAGACAATTTTGCTGATAAGCAAACATCAATCTCTTTTGCTCAGGGTGTGTTTGTTGGGAAGTCTTCAGGTCGTGTCTATGTCTGTCAGGAGTGCGATGATTACCAAGAACAGTGCATTGTCTGCATTGCCTACAGCTTGGAGCATTTCCTTGTCCGTGGTCCCCAGAAGCTGCTGGAATACAATAAACCTCAGTGTTTGTTTGAGAACTGTTATGGATGCTTTGATCCTCTGATTAAAGACAGAGTTCTAAACTCAATTGGACTGTAGGTCATCAGACAATATTTAAAGAGGGAGGGTAAAGGCTACATCTTAAGTGGAAACCATGGAGACAAAAAAAAAACATCAACTATTACTTTCAAATTGGTTATTTTTGAAAGTATTTTAAAGTGGCTGAATTTTTGCAAGTGACTTTTGTTGTGGTTGCTGAATGTGGTTCTGTACTCATTTTTACTCTCAAATACTTCATTTTGAAGAAGTAAGGTGGGTTAAAAAAATATCCACTTTTTACTAACAACTCTCGGTGAAATGATTTTCAAACAATAACAGTTAATGTCCAAGGGCATAAATAAATTTTTGGGCCAGCTCAGAGCAACCTTAACCTGAGCCATTGTGCACATTTCTGCCCAAGAAAATAAATTGTATTACTATTATTATCACTTTGGATGGACTTGAGTATTCAAATTAAGAAAACTGAAAAAATTGACATCAAAACAGTAAAAAAAATTAGCTGAGCTCAGCTGAAGTATATTTCAGAATGCTGAAATGTAATTTTTTAGCCAGCACATTGCACCACAATGCTCAACAAAGTGATACTGTTATAATGGTAGTTGAAGAAACATTTTCTTCTTATCCAGTAATACTACAACCAACAAAGTGATAAATATTTGCTAGAAAAACACAATTTCTGTATTTCCTAAAATGACTTAAAAGGCAATCAGGCTTTTTTCCCTTATTTTCACTTAAATTTTTAAACAACTGGAGTTACTTTAATTTAGGTTCTTGTCTTCATAGATCAAGCCAGTTTAGTAATTGTTAGGTCTCTGGTATGTTTTTTATGCTAAAATTACAAGACAGTTGGAAAAAAGAACTTGTCTGTAAACGCTGCTTAGTTGAGTACAACAGAACTTAATTAGAACAGTTACAGCAACTTGCAACCAAAAAAACTGCTAAGATATTGCTACAATGATAAAGAATTTCTCGAACTTGATGTCACTGCTCTCATTTGGTCCGGTTCCCAGAACATTCAAGATTTGTGAACCTTTGGAACTGTATAATATTCATAAATTCCTTCTGTAAAGTGCTTTGATTCCTGCATGGCCCGTGCAATCTTGTGGCTTTCAAATAGCATTAACTTAATGTTTACAGTATGCAGTTCCTTTTTTATAGTAAATAAGCAGTCATCATGATCTTATTTCCACAGATGTGAAACTTTTTGGCGTAAATTATTTGTTTAAAACATTGTTTCTTTTGGCTGAATAGTTTTGTTAATTAGCTTTATAATTTTGGGTTGATGTTTTGAATACTTAACAGTTATTCACTAAAGTGGAGGTGAATGGAGGTGGATATTTACTTGGCCGCTTTGTGGCTTTGTAAATATCCACCACTTTAACTTACACTGAGGTGAAGATTTGTTTTGGTTTATACCACACAGATGCTAAAAAAGTAGTTAATATGTTTATTTCAAATGGGCAGAAATTGATTTCTTGATGTGCTCAGAAGTGAATAATACTTGCTATTTACTTTCAAACTAGCCAATCAGCATGCATGAAAAGCACTATTTGCCTGTGTGGTATATACTAATTATAGTTAGCCCTGAAATAGTCACTGTCAGATGTATTGATGTACTTGTAGGCAAGGTAAAGATCATATTTTTGTCCAGATCTTACCTGATAGTTCAATTTATGGTTTTATGATTAACCAGTAACTATTGAAGAAACTCAGGAAATTAACATCTATTGTAATAAGTAATACTAACAATTTGAGTTATCCAACATAGGATCTTGTCATTAAATATTGGTGATGATGCAAAAGCCAGCCCCTTTTTAGATACCAGAGTAAAGATAGTCGGAAAAATTAATCCTGCATTGGTGTTATTACTCAACCCTTTTACTACCTGTAGTGACCAAAGAAGAATTTGTCCTTACAACATTAACACAGAATTAAACTGACTAGTGATGAAAAGAAAAAGGGAAAAATTAATTAAGGTATAATTAGTTGATCCAGTAGCAAATTCTCCAAACTTTCATCTTACTGATTGTATGGAAGACAGTAGGAAGAGTTAGTTATGAAGTAATGGGAGTTTAAGGATTTATTACTTTGAAAATGATGTAATATTTTAAATTATAAATGAATAAATGTACTTGACCTAGAGATCTTTTAATTAGGTCTCATCAAGTTTTAAGAATTTAATTACCATGAAATAAGTCTTTGCAGCATAGTTTGTAAATTTATGCTGTCAGTTGCCAATCACCAAAATAAAAGTTATTATATGAAGCATCTAACCTTGTTATGTGCAGTCAGTGAGTTCACATTAGGTGGTATGTTTTACCACAAAGAGTTATGAGTTACAATTTATAGACCCAATTGAAAATTAATTGCCAATTTCAGCTCTTGTAAACATTCTGTATCCCTGAAACAATTACTTGTGATTTTATGCATTCTCTTAGATTTTGAAAATATTTCATTTCCATCACAGAAATAGTCTTCATAGAGAGTTAGTTTCTTTTTAGCTATTTGGTTTCACCTTTCCTTGTTGCCAGGAAATAGAATTTTATTTCCTAAGCAACCTGCATGAATGGTGGTCTGAATTTCTTGCCTACAGAACAAGGCAAGTCGGAGCAGAGTGCAAGAGGCAAGGCAGGAAAGCAGGAATCAACTTCCCCTTTCAAAGGTGACTAGCTGCTTGTATTTCCCTTCAACTTGAAGCTGGTGCATGCCTGAAAAATGCAATATTTGATACCAGTTTAGGGTGCGGGGCTAGTAATTCTCAGAATGCCAACTTTTCAACAAATCTGGCATTGGACTAGATACAATCTAGTTGGTCTTAAAGTGGCACAATTTTTTTTCTGGATCACTTCCTTTTATGCTGTTTGTGTTTAAGACCCACACAAAGGTATGAAAACATGAACAAACTTTCACTCAAGGTGATAAAGTCAGAAGGTTGATGTGACCCAAACAAGAGCAGGCCTTAAAATCAAAATTCTGTGTGGAGCTGAGTTGTAGATTTAAGGGCAAGCAAATTCCCAAAAGTCCAGCTAAAGTAAGTTGGTTATTAATAGTGGAACAATTGAAATGATGAGGGCAACAAACAAACCTGCCGTCTGTAAAATGTTGAACATAGGTTTTATTTAAAAAAAACAATCTGTATAAAGGCATTCACCTGGTAATTGTTATGCCATAAATTCATTAAAATTGACACAGTTTGAGCAAATATTTGGCTTTACAACACTGTGTGCATAAAATTATTGATTCTTATTTTTTTTTAAATGAACATATGTAATTCTAATTTTTCTATAATGGACCATCTACAAGCAATGCATGATTTCTTTCCTCAAAAACTGTTAAGCAAAACAAAAACCTCTTTCATCACGTTTCTTAAAAAATTTCAAAATAATCTATCTACGAGTATGGCTTGATTTGCCCAAGGACAAAAAAAAGCGTTGCCTATCTACAACAAAATTTAACATGCAAGGAAAGCTGTTGGAATCTTCCACTGGAAAATGAATACACATACCTTTGCTCAGAACTGTGGTAATTGTGCAAACGTAACATTTCATATCTGTATGAGACGTTCCAGCATATAAATCAAATGACTTCACATTTGAAATTAATAATTTGGAGTAGTACTCCCCAATAACGTTAGCAGATTGAGTAACAACTATACGTTACGGCAGAAAAAGCCACAATATTGTTCATTGAAGAACGTCAGGCAAAACGAACAGCTATTGCTTCAAACTAGTAACAAGCTAATTCGCATACTGACAAATGGCTGTCAACTGCCCACAGTTCACTAGCTCTGACTAAGGGATAAAGCTCGAGACTTTAGCTTTAGAGACTCTTTACAGTGATCAATTTATATTTATATTTACAAAATTAACCCCTTATTTATCAGCCCACAATGTAGCCTAGCTTGTGGAAAGCAATGCCATACAAACGGGTAACTGCAAGATAAGTCTTTGAACTTTCGCTCTCTGGGTTGAAAAAAAAAACCCGATATGAGTAGACTTCCAATTCATTGGCATTCACATTAGTTCATTTTGGCCGATGTCACTGGCTAGCAAGACTTCATTCACCGTCTTGAAATATCGCCCTTGAGCCTCACGACTCTGAGTATTTAGTAAATGCCTCAAACAGTGTTACTTAATGACGGATTGTTTCTAAGGAATTTTTCTCACTCCTAACGATTTCCTTCTCAACGAATCAGAAGCATAATTTATCCTTCAGCTGATGCAGCTTTTACCGCACCTGGTACCGGTTCTAATCCTCGTACAATTATGATCTCTAATGAACTAGTACGCGCGAAAAATGAATCAGTTCACACCAATAAATCAGAGCATTCAGTTCAATAAAATTTTCCAGCGATTCGCTCTTTTGAAGAAATATCAGAAACTTGCAATAAGCAAGTTCAATGATCCACTTGTGTTAAATAACTCGAAGGAACGTATCCTTTTTGTCCTTGCGCCTCAACAAGCCACCATTCGTCATTCCCTGTCAAATCTTGCTTTTGTAAAACGGCAACTAATTGCCCCTCGTTTACACTAAGCTCTGCTGTACTGCTGGCCTCAAACGCGAAATCAGCACAGTAGTATAATGAAGCTGAAGTTTCCACTGCGCTTGTATCTTGATCCTTCTTCTCTGTCGTCAAATTGCTAGGGGAAGAACTTTCATCATCCTCAGCATCGTCTTGACCATCCCCTCCGCTGACACCGTCATCCACCGGAGATAAATAGCTCTCCGGTACAAAACCCGTAGAACCAGCATTTGAGCGAATCAGCCACCATTCTGGGTTACCACTACTGTCCGAGTGTCGAAGGACGGACACGATATCTCCCTCGGATACCGACAACTCCCCTGCACTTTGGGCTACGAAGTTGTATTCGACAACGTAGAGCTTGCTATTTACGGGAAGTTTTCCTTCAAAAAGTGAGCTGTCATTTTCGTTGGGCCCCTAGGAATAGGAGAAAAAAGATTTCCATTCTTTCGCTCTGGCTCAGTATTTACGCCCGTCTCTAAAGTGAGTCTCGTAATCACTTTCACGTACACATGAGGCGCTAGGTTTCTTCAAATTTGTGCGTCTTTCAAATAAATTATAAAAAAATAAAAATATTTTTAATAGCCATTTAGATCATCACAGCTTTCGCTATTATTTTGACACCTAAAAGATACGAGGTAAACTACGTACTATATGGTTGTCACGCCTGCAAATTCACTCCACTGAGAGTCGATGAAAGATTCAAATGCTGCATGTGAAGATGATCGATGATAATGAACAATTAAACAGCTGATCACAAAAATTCATGTAGCTTTCAACAGCGTAAACAGCCCAACTTATCTCCTGATGAAGAAATGATCAATGGAGGTTTCGCCACACTGCAAGTTTTCCCCTACCACCCTTGTGAGTTCGCCCCTGAAGTAAAGTGAGTTCGCCCCCAGTTCTTTCAACTCATTTTCTTTTGATTTTAACAGAATAAGTTCTTTGATTTCAACAGAATACCTTTTTCTGTTAAGAAACGATTTGAATGATTTTGTGAGCAAACTTGCAAAAAGCAATAGGAGTCGAACTTGCAATGGGGCGAAACCTCCAGATACCTAAAAAAATCATGAAATCGTCAAACAAACTACGGTAACGCACTTAACTGTTATTTTCCAATTCAACAAAGTAGTCGGTTTATTCTACAACTAAAATGTGCTTATTTAGTGACTTACAGGTTGTGTTATGCTACTACGTTTTCGAGGTGCTGGTCGTGGTTGATGAATCCTGGGAGAAGGGGATGTTGGATCCTCTCTCTTGGCCACCCCAGCCTCTTCACCCTCTTCATTGGGCGTGGAATCTAATAAACTGGTCTTGTTTCCGTTATCATCTTCTACCGTATCCTAGATAGATAGAATACAAAGAAATAAGTCAAAACGCTTAGTAATTTCGATAACCTGCGTTCATTGTGACCTTCAAATTCTCTAGTAGTGGAATAATAACATTTTAATTTCAAAATAATTACTGAACAAGAGAATATAAATCTGAACAGTATAAAAATGAAACATTCACACAAATCAGAATCAAGATAAAGATAAAAATATCAAACCTACTGGTTTTGAGGTTACGCTGTACATATACAAGTAACACTGTCGTACATGAGAGAACCTTTAAAAATCTCCGTCGGAACTACACACAAATCGAGATCAGTTTATCAGCACTTAGGGAGCAGTCATCAATCATATCAGGGGTGGGGGGAAGGGGGCTTGGAGGATTTTAGAGGATCACCAAGTTTTCAGGGGGGACAGAGGGGAATCAGTCGTCGCCAACAGAGTATAAAGAGGGGACTATTGAAAATTGTCAGCCAGTCAACTTCCAATGAGGGGTGAAGGGTGGGAGAGGTAATGAAAACATTATAGAGCCTAATGGTTGGGATCAGGTAAACTTTATCGTGACACAACTAAAATCCTTCAAACTTTCCCCCCGCCCCCCCCTTGTCAGGCAGTAATACAATGACCGATCCCTTAAAATGCGTGGAATGGTGTGACGACAAGGCTCAAAGCTACACCATGGGTTTTACACAACAAACTTACAAGATGGTTGGATAGTAAATTTGGGCTTTTTATCACAGATCTCCTCTTCTTCCGAGAACTGTCTTTTGCCACAAAACTACAAGGTATAAAGCTGAGCTCTGAGAACTGTTCCATAACTTGCATCGATCTCTTGCTGTGATGCTCGATAATGTCTTCGTCGATTTCCTGCACAACTGGAAGCTGTAAAAGCAAAACGTTCATCAACAAAATGTCAGACCTAAACGTTCACAGTTAACTTAACACTTTGAAACTGTCTTAGAATCGACCAACGTTGCTTAATTCGCCATCAAAAATGAAAGCTGACTTTGAATTAAGTTTTGTAACCTCCGGCCACAGATGTACATTTTTTTCTGTTTATCAAACGCGTTTCTATTCCATGTGTTTCCGTCATAAACGATATTTTTTGGAAGACAACACAGTCAACACTAAATCAAGAATTTTTTAACCGTCTACAAACTGACATCAGTGTACATATTCTCCAAACTGTTCTCTATACATTTCTTAAAGTGCTGACAAAGAGAATTTGTTAAACAATCAAGACCTTCTTTAGTTGGTGATCATTTCCTTTATTCTTGTGTGATGTGTGATTAAGGGGTGATGTTGTTAGGAGAAATTGGATGTTAGTCACTCTCAGGAGTCAAAGGGTTAAGGGAAATGGTTTTTGGGTGGAAAAGACCCTTCGACCCTGATCAAATGCTCTAAACTACTTCTGAGAAACACCCAGAGTAGGCCGCAAAAAACTGCCATATACGGCTGCAAAATCTTCGCCTGGCTCATTTACGATGTTTGCATGCATGTGGAAATCACAGTACCTGTAAAAGTTGGTCGTAGTCTTCGTGAACTTCATTGTACAGTTTCTTTTGTGCTATAGCAAAGTTTTCCAGACAGTCAAGAACTAAAGCCATACACTTCTCAGTAAACCCAGGGATCTCTTCCAGCAGTTGAGTGTTCAAAGCCTCGTAGTTTTTCTTCGCAAGTTCCAGCTCTTCTTTAGCCTGGAAAAGATTTCAGTCCGGCGGAAATCACACAGCATCCTTTACTGAAACATAAAACTTAACCATCCTGATCCAAAGATTCTGAGTCATAATTGTTCTCAGAGAATTATTCCCTTCTCAAAAGGAGCCGGTATCCCGCGGCCAAAACCGCCGGCTAGTCTACCATTTTTTCCCACCTGTTTTCACCTTATTTTACAACTCACCGCTTTCAACTTTTCTCGGTCTTTAATCTTGTCAATCTTGTTTGACCTGTGGTCGTAGTCCAAGCATTTATCGTTTCGTTTTTGGATTAAACGCTGGGGGCCTTGAAACAAGTTGAGTAAGGAGTTGAGCGGGGATAAAACCTGCGTTTGAACACTGTCCATCTGTCGAGGGATAAATTTCATAAAGACCAAACGTTTGAAAGACTTCTTTCACGATAAAGTTACCGCAAACGTCCTTAAAAATAAGGAATTTTATAAACAAATACAGTCCAAGTGTTAGCGAGACATCTTTCCTGATACGGCTGTTGCAAACGTCCTCGAAAAGATATGAAACAAACGCCTTCAAATCCTCGTTCTAAAATTCAGACAGTCAATAAATACTCATTGCGCTAAAAAGGTCAGTCCGCATGTCTTATTTATGCGAACAAGAATTTCGAGGTAAAATGTCTTAAGCATGAGTTTTACCGATTAAGAAAGGTTGATAAATTTTCAAAAGCAGAATATATGTGATTGAAGAAGACCATTTCGACAAGTGTGCTAATCGTGCAACTTCCTCTTGAGGGGCAATGTTATTTTGTTTTATCAAGTTTCATGGCAGAGGAGGACTGTCATTTTAATTTTTGTTTACCAGCTAATAATATAACTATTTCGGAGCAAACGGTTAAACTTTGTCCCATGATCTCGATCGCGAATCCGAACCAACAAAAATACACTTACGAATCTGGTTAGAACAGTTTCACCAATCTTCATTTGTATTCTCTGAAAAGTGGAAACTTCAGAGCACGTTGAAGCTTCTTGATAAAAGTCGCTGACATTCTGCCCTGACCACTTGTGGCATTCCATAGCTTCCTAAACATGGATGAAGCATTTCAATGTGAGGTTCAACCTTGCTGAAAATTGTTTACATCAGTCAACGCAAACTGTAGGTAGAAACAAACGACAGCGGAAATTTTGGCGGGAAATTTGGGCCGTGACACCAGTTTGGCAGGAAAAAAGAGCGTGCACTGCACTTAGCCTCTTTGAGCGTCGACTTTCCTAAGATTTACATTGTATCTTTGAGTTTTAAAGTTATAAAGATATCAAATCCGCTAAGCATTAGTTCCGAATGACCTTCCCTAACCAAACAACCGCTCTTCTCACGGCTGAAAGTTTTTAACCACTATAATAACAGCTTGTAGCATTAGATGACCTTAAAGTCCTCCAGATAAGCAGAAATGTTCTTCAACATCGTTTTTACTGTTTTCTCTATTGTGCGGAATCTTTTCTCTTCTTCAATGAACTTTTCGTCGACAGTCTTCAAAGGAAACAATAAAAAAAGAAGATAAGCAAAAGTCAGTCTATATGGATAAAAAAAGTGTGTATTGAGACCAACCGATGCGATTGAATGAAAAAAAGAGGTCGGTTTGAGGCAGTTCAGAAAGGTCATTTACAAAAACTCAGACCGTGTAGGTATAATTTGTCTAGTTGTTGTTTGGGTGAGGTTTGTTTTGCGGCAACAATAGAAATATCCATTATACAGAGAAAAACGTTACAAAAATTTTGCCTGAAAACCTTCATAAATCATCAACCAGCCTATCATCGACCAATCAGATTATCTCTTCTATCAAATACCTGTGACACGAGTCCTGTGAGCTGTGTCAGCCTCTGATTAAATCTGGATCCTTTCTTCACAACTGAATGCCAATTTAGTTTTTGTATCATGTTTGTTAAACCACTGTCTTCTACTTTCTTGTACTTGACAACTATTCAAAAATGGAAAGAAAAATCTTAAGTGCTTTTGCTACTGAACCAAAATGAAGAATTTCACAAACAGAAATTCAAACAAATGAAAAAAAAGTTACACTGCGCAAACTTACCAAGATCTTTTCTCCTTTTAAATTCATTGATGGCGTTTGCCACATCAGCCATGACTGATATAGCCTTTATCAAGTTGTACTTATCTCGGTGGATTTCAGCCGTGTACTGTTGGAAAAAAGAAATAAATATAACAGAATTCGGCAGCGCAGTTGCACTACATTGAAGAAACATCATACCCATCGTTCCTTCATAAACTTACTTTAGTGCAGTACTTCTTTAGATACAGTAAATTATTGTAGGTGGCAAGGTATTTTGCAACTAGGGAAGGGGATGGGGACTCATTACACACACACCAGGCGCATATACCCTCTGAAAGTCGGCAGAATGTCCCCTCTGCAGATCGTTGGATTCCTCTTTACATTCTTAACAATATCTATTACCGGAGAGCTTGAAATTCAGCAATTTAGAGAAGGGCAGTTACAGTACCTTGAGCAGCTCATTCAATAAGAGCGGATACTTGAGAACTCGCTGGACCGGCTTGATAAGAAACGATGACAAGTCCCAACATCTCGTGTGTTCCCTGACAACAACGAGAATACAAAAGATTTGACGAGGATAACAACGCAGCCGACATGAAGTAAAACGATCTATGATCATTTTAAGGTGCAATTAAACTAACGCCGGTTGAGATGTCCTTGTCGCCATCATCGAGAAGCGTTATTTATCAAATGAGCTCAGTTGTCGGGCCTGCGTTCAATTCGCTGCCGACCCAAACCAGCCACTAAGTAAGAGTTGGTAACCAACGGTTTTTGTGTTCTTCAAATACCCTTTTAATTACCTAATTTTGTCCAGGCATTTTGTAAAGGCATCTTGTATATCTGGTATTTCTTCATACTGAAAATGCAATTATAAACAGTATCAGTCTCTCATATAATAATAAGCTATCATCCTTTACGCCAGGGACTCCCACAGTATGCTGTCAAGTTTTCACTGAATTATATACATCGGGTCATACAAGGACTCGGAAGAAATTAAACCTGTTCTAATTCGTCTGACCTAGATTCTCTTAAGTTTGTGGCTTGGCTTTTGTCTCTGATTTTGCATTTTCACTAGGTCGGAAGCGCTTTTACAACTAAGACTAAAAGTCCTTTGCAGGTGAATACCTGCTTTATGTGGAGAGGACATACAGTTGATGTACAGTTTTACCTTTTCCATGAGCGAGATAGCATCATCGTGATTTCTACAATACACAGCGTAAACTTCCTTCATTTCATCGGCTATGTCCACAAAGCACTTTCCTGTAGAGATGGAGAAGTAACTCTTAGCTAAATAAACGCCCAAACCAAGACCTCCCTCCCTTTTTCACTCCACCGATACTATGGCGCCGTTTGCAATTTCGCTCTGTTTTGCTAACTAAACACGTGTAACAGGCTGAACCACAGCAAAATTTTGCATCCACCAACACGCAATAAGCAAATTACCAAGTTCTTGATCATTTCCTTTCGTATCATCGACAGCATTTTCTAAGCTAGTTAGAAGTTTCTGTGAGGTTTTCAGGACACTCTCGATATTACCAAACAATCCTTCACAGTCGAGGTCCTTCACCTGTGGAAAAAAAAATCACAGCATACCAAATTAATTCGAAATTTACTAGAAACCATTTTCCTTCGCTACTTTCGGATGATCGGGTGGGAAAGTATGAGGCCTGGAGCGACGCAAGTCTGCGAGAGGTCTAGGGGTCTAACGCAGATAATGATCGCCGGTCAACCTCTCCCCACTCCCCGACTCGTCTCAAATCGTCCCGCGGGCGGAGAAACGTACGCCTTGCTGCGCTTATAAATAAGGCCATGCACGCAAGTTATCTTTGAGGAATAAGACATCTCACTTGTATGTGCACCCGAAACTAACCTGAGAATTTTGTAGCTCACGAAGAAAATAATTCACACAAAGCTCAAGATCATTGCAGTAATCCTTCTCTGTATTGATAAGTTCAGTTACTACTCGTTGTCTCTGTTCTGCCATATGCTTTTGGCTTGATGCAGCTGGCTTTTCTGTTAGACTGTGCAAGGAAGCTGTTGAGGAACAACAAACTTCTTTATTTCCCCCTTTCAAAAAACGCCACTTTGTTTCTTTGAATAAGTATTCGAGTCAAGTACCAAATAGTTTTCTCGAATTAGCATCGTTCCCAGTAATTCGCTCAAAGTTTTCGTCACTGACCCAACAGAGACTTCTAAAATTCATTTAAAGTCAGCCAGAGTAAAAGTTCTCCAAGATTTTTCCAGTTTTCATCTGTAATGCCAAAAAGGAATATGCAACGAATTTATATTGCATGCATTCTAGCATAATGCGAGTTTTTTTCCATCACAAATCAACCTGTTTGCTTGGCATTGTATTCAGATTGCTGAGGAAAGTTGCATCTAACTTACTAAATTACGCACCTTTTCTTAAGGTCATTGTGAATCAGCAGAAATTGGGAACGTTACAGCAGTAATCCAAATGAAAGCCTCGCTCAGCTTCGCTAGTTTTATGGTTTGAAGAATTAACCCAAACAATACCTTCTAATTCAGTGATTTTTGTTCTAATCTTATCCACAAGCTCAGCACAAACTTCAAGATTTTCCATAACCTCCTTCTTTCTGTTCTCCTCTACCACACCCAGTAACATTTCAAGACTTCTCTGACTCCTGACTTGTTTCTGAAAATTTCAGAATATGAATTATATAAAAAAAAATGGCAAAGTAAAAAGAAAGGCGTTGATAATTTGTCACCGCGCGCTGACGTCAATTTTATTCGCTGATTTTTTTTTTTTTAATATGAGCGACGGTCGAAAAGCAGGGACTACTCACAGTAGTCTAGTTGACTCACTGCTATCAACGCACAACTGATATAAAACCAACTCTTTCACTTTCCCAGAGACGCAACACAACAGTCTTTTTTCAATAATATTAATCTCACTCAGTTACTACATGCAAGTTTGTATGTGACAAGCCTGCTTCATACAGCTATGATCAATTAAGTGTCCCGTTGAGAGTAAAGAAATAAAAAATCGCAAGTTTGAGCTTGGTCATCGAATGTAGACAGATGGAAGATGGAACATCTTTTTGTAAAGACAGTCTGTGCATAGAGAACCAAAAATTGAAACACCGATCCAGCTTTTCATATAAAGGGCAAAAGCCTGATGTTACTCGATTACAATTCCAAAATACTACGCACATCTAGGTCTGCTTCCAAGTCTCCTATTTTAACCTTCAGCATTTTCTTCCGGTGTGACTCTATCAAAAACACTTGCTCATCTGAAAGAGAGCATCACACGAATGAAGACCTTGTAAACTGGTACACGAGCTAACAGTTACTTGACATTAATTTTCATATACGTCTTTCAAAGATGCATATAATGTGAATCTTGTTGACTAATTCAATTTCACAGTTCTCAAAATCGTGCCATTTAATCATCTCATCTTTTTATTCTTACACTCCCCATATTCCCATAAAGGTGACACTTGTGCTTACCGAGTACGAAAAATACACAAAATTCAGAAAAATTAGTCTTCTTGCTGTATTCTATGAAATCTAAAAAGGCTATTTCCAAAAATGTTCAAACCTTTGAGATTTTTTAATTCTTCCTCCCATTCTGTTATCTTTTGTTGGCTCTGTGAAATCTTTGCCTCCATTTCCCTCTGCTTTACAGGGTCAGTCATGACAAGCTACAGACACAATGCAAACATGTAACATTACACATGTTCATACAGGTATCCATACAATACAGGGCTTAATATATCATTAATACAGGCTCACTGGCCAACAAACTAAACCAGGTAGAGTTTTACAGGCCATAATTGCAAATGTCACCTCATAAAGTTCCTGTCCAGTCAGGAAAGAATATCTCTGAAACTAGATCATGAGCTTAAAAAGATTGAAACCCATGACACATGGTACTTACATGCCTGCTTTCAGACTTAGGCATTGCCACTGATTATGTCATACTTAAATAAAGTAGACATTTAGTGTCCTCACAAAACCAAGGACTGTTTCAGGAATCAAGTTAATTTACTATGGGTGGGACAAGAACTGTTGGAAAAAGAAAACGCTTGCTTTTCTTCAAGCTAATCTGTGACTCTTAGCAGTGCTTCATGTAATTAACTGAATGCTTGGAACAGGTTATCAAAATCAAAGCATGCAAAAAGAAAGGATCTGTACCTGAGAAATGGTTTTAAAACCAGAGTAAACTTTCATTTCTTTCTGTTGACAAACAAAAAAAAAATTCAATTCAACAAAAGGATTTAATTCACCAAAGGAATTAAATTTAACAAGTGCTTATGCGACCAACTGAATTAACATTAGTTTAGAGCTCATTTGACATGTTTCCAAAAACAACAACTAAACCATAGCTGTAACACCTAAATGAGCACTTATAGTCATTATGTACTCTTCAAATCTATGGTTTCTTCCTTACATGAGAAATTTCTAAACCTGCCATTGCAAATAGAAGTCTAATGTTGTTGTTGCTGTCAGTTTATCCAATTAATAAGCTTTATCAGTGCCTTTTTAGATAACTCAATTCGAATCATTCTAATGTCTCTATTTCACCTTCAGATTCTCTTCTGCCTCTGCAATTCTTTCCTGCAGTGTTGTTAGGCCTGGAACATCCATTTCATCTGTTGGACTGCCACCTAGAATAATGCACCATTGCAATGTACTACGTTATTATACATTGCAACCTATCAGCTGACATAAGAATACTAGTTAAAATACATTCCCTGTGATACTTTTTGACCAGCTCTACAAACAAATCTGCACAGCTATCTGAAAATAATTTAATATACTACTTACCTTTGTTCAAAGACTGTTGATCACTTTGTGCAACACTACTGAATTTCTTCTGCTTTGACTGCTCTAGACTGTTTGAATGCCTTGGCTTCTGCTGACTCTGAAAATAATATGATTCACTGATTGTTCATTTTTTTTTTCCTCTTTTGGAAACAAAGAGAAAAAAATGGGCCTACACATTAAGGCCCATTACATGTTAAATCAGAGGTCAGAGTTCAAGCTCTTACTGGGGTCAATTTGTTGTTAGTTTGGGCAAAAACACCTGGCTCTCACATAACAGTCATTATGCTTCTTGCTAATTAGGAGTATAGATGGGTACTGGCATATTGTCAATAAATTCTGAGAAAATGTTGTGGGAGTAGCTACCAGACAGTAGCATACCACAGAGGGAAAAACAATACCACTAGGTAATGCAGAGTAATCTTGCATTAGTTCTGGCAGAGTGGGCTGCTTAATTCCTGTGCAAGAATTACCCAATAGCGAATGCAGGTGTGGGTGTTTCATACTTGTCAAAGGAGGAGACTTGTGACTTTGTACAGTATATGAAATAATCAGCCCACATAGATGCACCACACTGTTGGGAGTCTGCTATAACATACAGTTCTACCAAACTCAAGCTGAAATATCTAGCTTAGTAACTGAACAAATATAAAACATGTATGTATAACAAGTATAATGATACACTTTAATTACCTTATCTTTTACATCACCACTGTCCACCATGTCTTTCCAATACACAGAATGTGGCCTAGCCAGGGGTTTAAGTTTATCTTCCAACCTTGACTGGGAAGATTCTCTAAGGTTCAAACCACTGTGACTTGCACTTTCCAATAAAGAAATATTATGTGGCTTTCCATTCTGTTTGATGTATTTTAAATCCAATTGCTGTTGATCCTTTCCTTTTAACATTGAACCCTCCCCATTTAAGTGACCTTGTGCAAGTCCCTTCAAACTGTTAGCAGGTAGTGTGCTGCTACGCATGTGAATTCCATGACTGCTGTTTCTTTTAGGTGGAGGGGGTGCTGGTCGTCTGGGTGTGATTGGAGAATCCTCTGACGCACTTGATTCACTGTTTTCATCCTCCAATCCTCTTTGAGGTAAGGGTAAAAGTGGTGAAGGAAGAGAAGTGCAGTTTCCTGACAGCAAATCAAATTCATCATCAAAACTCCCACTTGTATTTTCAATTGACATATGTCCACTCTTACCAATTCGTTTACCAGGCCAAGTTCCAGAAGAATTCTGATAACTTGAAAGATGAAACTGAGAACGATTTTGTAAAGTTGCAGTCTCTGAGGAAAAATAATCAGTCCTCTCTTTTGCATTTGACATTGAAACTCTTCCATGTGATGGCAAAGTAATGACAGAACTAACTACCGTTTGGTGACTTCTGGTTGTAGTGGGTTCTTGTCGGGTCTCACCACCTAAGTATTTCACTGAATAACTGTGGTTTGGCTTAGTTCCGATTGCTGGCCTTGGTTTTAAAACAGGTTTATTAAATTGTACAGTTTCAGAAGTATATCTCGAAGTAGGTAAGTTAGAAGGTAGAAGTGCAGGAGTTGGATCCAAAGTGAAAGATGAGTCCAAAAGAGAATTGTAAGAATTCCTTTCCTTCCTTAGGGAGGATTCAACAACACTATTATCTTTCTGACCCTTGTGCAATGCACTCAAATAACCTGAATCAGACACTTTGTTGTCAAATATAGTGGAAAAACTGTCATCAGATGTGAATCTTTGTGTCCTCCTTGGAGGCTTCCTATCTGAAAGCTCTGTGTTTATGTCATAAACAGGTTCTAGATATGCAGCAGGGCATGAACCACAAATTCCACTATCCAGCTGGCCCTCTATCCAGTTATCATTGTCAGTGTTAAGAACGGTCACAACATCTCCCTTATTCAACTCAAGATCTCCTGAATACAATGCAGTAAAATGAAACATTGCCTTTCCTTTCATTCCTGGCTTCCATTTAACATTAGAAATGATTGCATTGCTGTGGTCTCTGGGTTTAGAAGATGAGTCCACAAAAGAAAAGAATTCATTTTCAAACCTATTTTCCTCTGGTGGTAAGTCAACCTCAACAGCCACAAAGCTTGAAGGAAAAAGTCCCACATTTCCATTGATTTCTCCTTCCATCCACTGTGAATTCAAACGTTTATGAAGAAAGATACAGTCACCTTCACGAAATGTCAATTCCCCTTCACTTTCCCCAACAAATGGGTACACAGCATGGGCACATGGCCTCTCAGAGGATTTAATGTAACTCTTGGGGAAGAGACCAATCCTTCCATTGAACAAGCCTTCCATCCAGTCTTCATCAACATCTTTTGTGACCTCTATCAGAGCACCACTTGGAAAGGTAAGCTCACTGTCATTACGAGCACAAAATGCAAAAGCAGTCTCCACTATAGAACCATCAGGATTTCCTGGCTTTGCTAAAATATCATTGAATTTATTGCCATTATGCTCCCTTGATGATGCATGTTGGTGTTGTGCTCCAGCACTTGATGGTACAGCTCTCTCTTGGTGTGACTCATTTTCTAATCTTTCTGCATAAGTAACAGGAAACCAGCCAATTTCTCCGTCATAACTGGCTTCCAACCAGTGCTTATTAATGTATTGTGTAATTCTTATGATACCTCCCTGAGGAACAGAGAGTTCACCAAGGCTTTCTGCCTGGAAAGAGTATAAAGCCCTTGCAAAAGTGCCTTCCATGGATAGGGACACATAACCACGCTCTGTGAAGAAAGCACAGACATAAATAGGATTTTATGATCAATCATGTCAACTTATGGAAAATATAACCCTGAGATAAACATGTATTGTTACAAACAAAAAGGAGAATAGCTTTTATTAGTGTGACAATACAGAAGATTAATAATGAAAAAATCCTTTAATTCCCAAAATTAAATAATATGAATGATGAAAAAAAGAATTCTATAACTTAACATCTTCCAAGGCTAAATATTATTCTCAAATGGTGTTCAACCCGACATCTTACTTGCTCACTGTTCTCACATGTGAGCTGTTGAATTGAAGAAGAGAAATTCCATATCTATGCACGCCCATGCATGTGTAGATATGGAATTCATTTTAGGACAAAATTTAACTTGAATGATTCACTTGTACTGTTGATTTTACATTTTCTCTCTAAACTCAAATTTTCTGTTAAACAGTATTTAATAGACTTTTCCTTCTGAAACCAAGTCAAACATGATCCTCCATGTTTAAGGGAAAAATAGCTTCATTTGCTGCATAGCCAGTTTGTTGTATGCCTCATAATTTGCCTCTTTAGTATAATTTCCATTTTTTCTGTTGTTGCTCCATTCCAGAATCCCTAGTGCCCTGAATGATGAAGTTGTGAGCTCAAACAGACCTAGAAAATATTTCAGCTTTTATCTATTTGGCTCTAATCACAACACTATTTGTTGTAGCATCATCACGTAATTTGCAAATTAATTATCATTTGTTTAATTTGAACACCTGTTAAGTGTGTGATACATCCAACAACAACTTGGAATTTGAAAATTGCAAATCTCACTTCAATAAAACCAAAGTATGTGTAAATCATGTATATGACATAAGTATGTCTTAACAAACCACTAGATCAATATCGCATGACGATATTGTTATTAAAAACACCTACTCAATGGCTACCTAATACATGTATAATGCATCAATTTGAAGAAAACTGTATAACATTCACAGTACCAAAAAATTGTTTTGATTTCGTTAACCCTAAAAAAGCACTCCTAGCATAATTCCTCTTCTGCCAATTATACATCTCAAACGCTTAGTCAAACGAATACCGGTCTCCTGTTCAACTACGTAAGCCTACAAATTTCGGTATCGAAGAACTCTTGAGGTAGGAATGAATTTTAATTATTTCTTGGCTATGGCAAACACGTAGATCATTCAATTTCACTTAAGTCGAAAGCGAGAGTTCACCTCAAACTACTGGGTATTAGACACTACTGTAAAAAAAAATTGCCGCTCATAACTTTTACCAATAGATCATCCATTGATTTTAATCTTCTATTTGCCAGGTGAACCTATGCCCTTGTCAGTGCGAGAACACATGTAACAGACGAAATTGTGAGGAATTTCTAAGTTCAACTTGTAAAAAGAGTAAACTGTCCATGTCACGTGACCAGATAGCGTATTTCACCCTTTTTGAAACGAATACGCCATGAGGAGCCCAATCTAACGAAACCCAATTAGTTCGAGTAATCCATTTTTCACGTCCGTCGTACCTTGTAAATCTGCTAAAGAGAAGACTTCTCCGTCACTGTATGAGTAGAAGCTTGTGCAGAGCCATACCTAAGAATTCTATGAGGCCAGAATACGGTTAAAATTAGCCAAAGAGACCAAAGTTTCATTTTAAATGCATACCTTCGGCTCTCCAGTGTCATGTTTTGGCAATTTCTTGTCAGTTTACAAATGTCTCGTACCCAGGTTTCTCGCAATGCCAATTTTGCCCAGTCTCCCCCCTGCCGATGTGTTGTACCTCGCCACATTTCTAGCAGTTAGAGGAAGATCCAGAGGAAAGACTTACGAATTTATGCTGATTTCTGATTATTTAGATCGCCTGTAATTCTAGTCTGAAATTTAAATGACTCTTTTCTGTACAAATTCCACCCTTCTTCGAGGATTCTTTGTATCTTGAAATAAGCCTTGCGGTTTCCAAAAGCATGTCACTGGGACACTGGTAGCCTCCGTCACGTTGGTCTAGATCATTGTGAATTCAGGTGAATTCTTCTTTGCAGGTCGTCGCTGGGGATGTGTTTCCACTGGTTTGGATCTGTTTTACTCTGATAAGGACACGAGTGTTTTAAAGTTGCGGAACGGGTTGTGGATCCTGGCCGAGGCAATGAGGCTATGAGTGCAAAAACATGTGAGTAAACTATAGCTTGGATTTATCCTGCATGGATTTGGCTGAGTAGCTTTCAAGAACAGCTGCTTGTAGTTCTAAGCACGGTATAGTAAGCTGCTTTAGGAGAGCTACTCAAGTCTTTGCTGCGACGAACTAAACTGTTCAAGAGCAGACGCCCTTTTTTAGTCGCATGAAGGCGCAGCTCCACATGCTTCTTGCTATGCGTTAATGAGAACGTATAACACTGGGGGTTCGACAGCACTGACTACCGTGAAACATCTTTCGAAGGATACCCTGTCTAGCTCTTAAATATCCTGAAAAAGTTAAATCCAGGTTTCCAGAACTGCAAGTGGTACTGAGTAATCCCAGTTTAGCCCCAACTGCCACGGTTTTTGCAGTTCCTCTTTACTCTGATTATAACCGCCGCTGAAAATCCAATTGGATCGTAAATGCCGGCCACTTAACTCAGGACCATCCTTTCTAAGTTAGCGCGCCGCGCGGAATTCTGGGAGTGAAGCACCTCGGGAGTTTCGCAAGGCGCAGTATCATCATTTTCTATTTTATTATTTTTTTTTACGATTTTGTTTTGACTCGTGCGAAGGACTTCGCCGTAAAAGGAAGAGTAGAGGTCTAACAGCTCGCAGTCTCGGCTCGTAGTCTGACGCAGAAAGGGTTCTTCGAATGCACTAGTAGTGCCCGATCTCGGAGTGAGCCTTTTAAAAACTATTATACAATATCCGATTATCTAAAGCAATCAATGGAGGTGGAGTAAGGTTTTATTTAACGAATCACCCTTAAGAAAGTTCGACACTTAATGAAAGTACAAAATCTGAAAATAGTTAGAAACTTTTCTCCAGCTTTCATAAAGAATCAACATATGCTGATATACCTAATTCTTGCCACCTGAAAATTAGTAACAAGGTAATCTTTATTAATGCTTAATACTGTTTCTTCGTAATCCAGATTTTCTTATAAACAACTGACTATCAAATTTGTAAGAATGTATTCATTGATAGAAGATGATATAATTTTCAATCTATGAAAATATGCATGCATATTAAAAGCTCATTTTCATATGAAAGCGTAATTTTGACTTCATTAAATACTTCATAGCCTGTTCCAGCCGTTTAGTTAGTAACACAAAGCCTGATGATAACCGGCACGATAGTAGCGGGGGAGTAAAGGAACGAGGGAAGTTTGGATCGGGTCGCGAACCGACCTAGGCCTCCCTCCATTTCGCTCTTCCGGATATGTCGCGTCTTTAACGACTTCGCTCCGTTTAACCAACTGAAGCCTGGAAAAGGTCGAATACTTCACAGAGGGGAATTATCATTGCGACCTTAGAAACGTGTATTCTATTTACAAACAACTAATAATAGTCTCAAATATATTCCTTCATGTCAGGAACACAGCTTCTGAGTCATTGCTTTCTGCAAACAAAAAATAAATGAACAAAAAATAAGTGAAGAGAATTGAAGGTAATGCAAGAGTCAAGCGTCTTACTCATGAAACACTGTTCAACAATTGCACTCCATCCATTGCTACACTCAAATAATTCAATGTAATTCACCCTTTACACCCCCAACATCAGTATGCATATTCTCCCTACAGTTCGCTCAACATTTCCTAGGGTGCCAACATGGAGAATTTGTGTAACAATCAAGAGCTTCATTTGCTGTATTCTTGTGGCTTTAATAAATGTTTGATATAATAAGGAGAAATTAGATGCAAATCACTCAACAAGTTCAATGAGAGTCATCCCCACTCCCCTGAGGTGCTAGTTGGCTGTGTCACAAACAGTCACAGTCCACTTACCAAAGGCTCCAACTCTTTTCTGTCCACAAGGTTAAGCTCAGTAACAAAATAATAGAAATGCTTGTAACACTGGTTTACGTGAGCTTCCTGAAAGAAAACTTTGATAGTCAAGCCCTTTTCAGCATTCTGATGAAGGTACTTAATGGAGCAACTGGGGTACTGTACATGCAATCTGGAGATTCTGGTTCCAGCAATCTACCTTACTACATGTACTAGGCTGTGCTTTTTAAATTGGTAACTGGTAAACTCCCTTTTCCTCGGGATTTTAACCACTAATAACTATTTAGAGTGTTTGATTCATTGGTTAATTATAATAGATGTTGTTGCAGTTATTAACACCATTATATGTTATATTATTATTATTATTCAGGGATGTAGCTAACAGGCAGGAATCTTGCAATGATAGGTAGGTATTTGGGCCGAGGGCCCACTCTAGCGTGCCTTTGGCATGCTGTACTTAGATTTGAAAGTGTAAACAAATGAAATAAATAGATAACAATCTTTTGACAATATTTAAAAACATTTTGGAGAAAAAAGTAGTGCTTCACAGCCGGAAAAATCGCGTTCACAGCCAGGTAATTTTCCTAGCTTCCAGCTATTATCTACATCCCTGTTATTATTATTAATGAATTACAACTGAGTGCAGGATGACTATGAAGTACAGTCTGATGCACATTTAAAGTTAAGAAGAGAAATCAGAAGAGGAGGGGAATGAAATATGAGAAATGAACAAAACATGAAAGTAGATCAGAGGCAAAAATAAAACAGATGAGGTTATGAAATAGAGAAAACAAAAACAAAAAACAAGAGGGAGGATAAAGACAGGAAAACAGGAGAAGCATGCAAAACCAATATTTGGGTTACATGTTTCATGGTAGGTACTGATACCCTCAATGCAGTTGGCCTTTAAATATTTATTGTGCAATGTGATAACTGGATGTACTTACAGCTCCTAAGGATTGTACTTTGTCAAAGTGATGGATGTAAACATGAACAAACACCCTAAAGAGTCTTGTAAGGATCTTCTTGGAAGTTGGAAGAAATGTTTTTGGAAATGGAACATCTGAAATTACCACAGCATTGGAAATTAGATGTATTTTTGTCCATTGTCTGCAAATTGCAATGTTCATTCCCCTGTGCAACAAGTTGAATATTTTTTTTAAAGCTGTACAGGATATCAAATTGACAAAAATGTCTGGAATCTTGTATAAAACCTCCAGGGACCTGAGGAGAACTAAGTGTTACCCTCCTGCTTATTTCTTTTGGGCAAATTCAGGCGTAGATATATTTATAACATCAAGCTACAGTAGTTAAGTTTCAGTTATAACCAATTATCAATGTTCTTAATCTAAAGGGTTTGAAGGAGGGAGGACATTTTTCCAACATTAGGAAACATGTAAATTGCTTGCAGAAATCTATTTACAAAGTGACATTATAACATAGCTAGTAAATTTGTCTAATCAAATTCAATTGCACAAGTGTGCTTCATATTCCTATTGTGCACGCTCATGACATCAGCAAACAAATCCCTCGAGAAAAAACATTTTCCATCAGGTTCAAAATGTTATAAAACAATTAGTTAATACGTCAGCTGTGTGTTCATCAAGATATGAAGCACTTGGGAAGTTTGGAGAGCACTTAAGAAGCTAGAGTTGCTATCAGCTATGCCTCGAGCAACTCTTACGCATCCTTCTTGTTCTCTAAACTTCCCATGTGCTTCATATCTTGATGAATGCATGCCGATGTATGAACCAATTGTTAATTACACACTGTTGTCAAAAGGTGTCAGAGATGAAATAAAGATGTAAAGCCAGTCAAAATGAAAAATACTATAATTGCAGTGTGTTAATTTGGCAATTTGGTATTAACAACTGAGTTGATGATGTAAATTAGCCATTGTAAGGAGTTTCAAAGCTAATGTTTCGAGCATTTTTCCTTTGTCAGAGCGGATGAGCGAATGCTAATTTGGTAGCCAAGATTGGAGGATTGTTTATCCACTGCCCATGATCACATCTTTATTATTATTTCTGCAGGACAAACATTGCAACAAGCAAATGGTCTATTGCTGTACCTTTATCAATTGGGAATATATCCTCATTGTTAATTTGGCTCTCCACCCAATCCATCAGCAAGGAGATATACTGAACAAAAAACAAACAAAAATGTATAACACAATTAATCAACATGTATAGAAACTTCTCATCAATGCTGGGTTTGAGAAGGGGCTAGGATTTCAAAAAAAAATTTAACCATTCACAACCTTATATCAGTGTGCAAGTTCTCAATTTTAGGATATCTGGGGTTAAACATGGTAGCTCACCAACACTGTAGTTGTGGTACTATCACTGGTCATTATGTGCAGGGAGATTTCAATGTTTCAGACCAAAACTTTCCACTGATGGTCAATTTGTACTGTTGGAATATATTATTTTAGTTCTACTCTCTGATTGGTTTTCATTGTCCAAGCACCTCAAGTTTAAGTAAATACAATGCAATTGGTAACACAAATACATGTACCTCCTGAGCTGGAACTGAAGTTGGTTTTTTATATTTGTCTCCATCACACCAATGGTACTCATACCTGGAGGAAAAGAACATATTCACCCTTCAACTTCCAGATGAGATTAACATGTAACTTCTCCCTATAATATCCATGCAGTGTCCAGCAAAAAAGGTGATGAGAATACTTACATTTATCATGTAAAAGTTGTTATTTTGATCTAACATCAATTTTTTGTGCCTGATTTACAAGAAAATGTGAATCAGGTCTTGAAAGTCGTAGGGTAATTGCTAAGGAAGACCTAAGCAGACCACAGTATTTTTTATATACAGTACACTATGCACCTTTTTCCTCCAGACATAGTTGGACAACTCTCATCAGTACAGACTTCAGCAATTGCTCCATAAATCAAGTTAATGCGATTAAAGAAATCCACAACTGTGTAAAAAAAGAAAAGTAGATTATGCCATAATTACACAATTATGGTAATAATAGTTTTTCACTCCGAATTAAAATTCACCATATTCTAACATCATTAGAATATCGTGAATTTTAATTTGGAGCAGCAAACTATCATTACCACGTAATTATGGCATAATTTTCTTTTTTTGAAATATCATGTTTTTTTGAAATATCATGTTTTGCAATAGACGCAGCACAGTTGCAGATTATGATGATATAGTTTGCTGAAATAATGAAATGCACTAAACAAATGCAGCTAAATGGTGCTTAGCCTTCTCCCAAATTTATTTATGAAGCTTGCTATTTGAATATCTTGCTCTCCTAAATTTTTCCTTACTGTGCCACCATTACTCAGTAAAAAATAATGGTCTTCTTCAATAAAACATTTGGCTACCATCTCTTGCTTACAGAAGCCATGTTTTCAGTTTTTTCCCCATATCTATTATCTTTATTCCTCATTTTCTACTTCAAAATGATACAATTATTACCACAATTTTGGCTGTCTATTTTTTCCCATGACAGTTGCTGACAAAAAAACTACACTGCACTGTATCTGAGCTTGGATCAAACTGAAAAACCATCACCAACTAACATGCCCAATTTTGAGTAGATTCAGATTGTGAGGTGATTTGTGATTTTTGATGATACTGCATGGCAGATGTTTTTCAAACATGCATAATTGTTGAAAGTACGACCAGCTCTCCTCAACCATCATAACCTTGATTCGGCCTCTTAACAGTTTTGCACTTGTGCTGTGTCCAATCAAAGCATTGAAGAAAGAACCTACTACCATGTTACATTCGTCAAGAAGTACAGTAATCATAGATAAAATAAGGGAAGTTAAGAAAAGAGGAGGAAAACATTTTTTTTTAAAAAGTGAAAAAATAATCACAGCAACTGTATCCTAATGTGCTTATTAGAAAGAGTCGGTTCCACTGAATTAACTTCAACCACAGCACACGTACATCCGCAATCAGATTAAGTTTGGTATCTGAAGATGAAGTTTATCAAGCATTATCTTAAATGAAGAGCATAATCTCAGGAGGATTGTTTAAACAAGATGTGAAAGTTTGATAAAACCGGTAACGCGATAATTATAAACTTACTGTGAACAGCAACCCAGTCGTTCAAATCTTCATCATCTGGGAGTTTCACGCATTCTTTCAAATTGATGCCGGAGTGCAATGAAGCCTTTCAAAGACAAACATGTTTAGTTATACTTAACGCAACAGCTTCAGCATTTTCGAAGGTTCACTAAAATAAACATGACGGCAGAGTCAAACTACATGGTATGTTCAGTTTCAATATCAACGAACCTTGGATTGTTTGTGAAGTTCATAACGTAATGTTCCTTCTTCAAGTTTTCTTTTGGGACGGAACGTCTAAAAGATGAAAAATGATTGATTAAACAAGATGTAAGCACGAGAACAAAATGGGTCCGATCTACACGATACCCTCTCTCGCTATTACTGCAAAATCGTCCCACAGAAGCAAAACAAACACTTGTAATATCAAGGAGGCGGAAACTTAACGAACTTTCAACTCAATTTGAAATGACATGAGATGGTGCAAATAACAAAAAATTACCTTATCCTTCTGGAAAAAGTGGGAAAGACCCTTGGCGGCCATTGAGGGGGGATGGAATCCTTTTACTTTCCTCATTCAGCGGAAGTCTCTTCACTATTCAATATTTTACTTTTACCATATAAAGGCAAATTGAAATCATTAATCGATCGAATTTCAGAAAGTCGTCATAAATCAAATAAAATACGAGCCAGCGTTCAAGAAAATGACAGTCATGCGCGAACCTTCTCAATTCTGCTACAACTTGTGCTAGAGGGAAGCAAGGGAATTGCTCTCTGAAATACGTGTATGCTTGATTTTCTTGCCTAGATTTGGACAAGATTGGTCTACAGGATGGCAGAGTATTGGTTGATTTCTGCTCCGGGTGATAAAACCCCACAGCAGACTTACACAAACCTGAAAAGCAGAATGACCGGACTTACGCCAGTGTTTTCTCTTCAGCTTCCAGAGCTCAAGGTATGATCGTGATGATCTGATCTCGCTGATTGCATTGAAAAATTCGTCGAAAAGAAGCCACAATTGCAGCGAGTATGCTTATATATTGTAAATCTTCAGTTTTTCTGACTGGTAATGAAGGCTTTCTAGTCTTTAGTCGCATATTTATTAAGGATTCTTTTATTAGCGATCGCGATTCTTTTTCTACATGTAAAGTTTTGCTATGTAAGTTCCTCCCTTCAAATAAATTTTAATTGATCAGGCGTCTTCTCTGTCTAATAGCAATGTCTGTTTTATAATAAACTTGGTTTTTTGTAGTCATGTATTCATCTTGAAACTCAATAACTCGTACTTGTTTTATCTTCTATTACTGGATGACAACTTACTGAACTGTAGGACTTTCTTGGTTCGATCCTCTAGACAACAGCAGTCGCAAACTGAAAAAAAGGGTGACAGAATAATATGCATAAAGTAATTTAGGAGTGAAACAGAAATCTTACTTCAATTGGTTCAGAGGTTTAATTATAATGCCTCGACACAAAAAAACCAATATTTTCATAATTATTACATCACACTTAAATTTGGAAACTCTTGTAATGGTAATACCTGTGGAGTTGTCCAGGTTCTCACCCTCTACTCTGTCACTAAATTGGTTGGTTTCTATGGAGAAACAAGTTATAACAGTAGTCCTTAAGGTAATCAATAGTTTTGTCATGGTTTTCTTTATCCTTAACTGTTTGCTTCTACTCCACTGTACCATGTGCATAGCAAAGTGGTTTGCATTTTACCTTTGGAATTTTAACAAAATCTGGTCAAAATTTTCAAAATGTCATTTTCTTGCTCTTTAATTAGAGTGAACATCAAAGTTTAATTTGTTGCAAGAAAAATAGATTTTCTCAGGAATCAGTAGGAACAGAGAAAAGGCCTGAGTGCTAGAGTCTAGTTTGTTTGGATGTCTGTGGTAACGCAGAGGCTGGCAATTCAGTGAAGCAAACACAGTCAGTTTTGTCCTTAAAGGCTTGTGCATACTTTCCAAGACAAAAACTGTCAAAACTTTTGTTATTTTCCCAATGTATACTTTATAAGCTTTACATTGATGTATAGTTTTCCATGGTTTCTTTTAATTAGCTCATATACACGTAGGATTTTTGACAGTAACCCTAAGTCTATAATTTATAATCTGTTCATACCTTGCTTATTGATATCATTATAATTTTTAGCACTCATTGAGCATAATTTGCTTAATGTATCAGTCAGAGCTACCAGTGAAAATTGTAAGCTGGCCAGAATTACTGGCTAGTCTGCCTTTCTTTAGCTGGCAACATTAGCTTAATTTTATCAATTTGCTGACAAACATTATCAAGGAAATTTAATTTAAAAGTTAAACAGCCATTTCCCAGTTTTAAGTGGAGTTAGATCCATAACATACCAATGTCGTACCCAGCTCGCATCAAGACATTATCAAAGTTATTATAACTATTTTGTTATGGTGAATTTTTTTGTTTGAGGAGGGACATCAATTCCTATCCCTCTTTTGCCAGGTTGGGACTTTGGATACACTTGTGGGGTTATCAGATGATTTAGGAAAACTGGATGGTTTTGTTGAAAGGTAAGAGTTTGATTTTATGATTTCTCTACAGACACGTCAGCCCTCTACGTCAGCTCAACTATTTCAAAGTCACTATTTGGCATCTGAAATCAGGCAATGGCCACAAGAAACAATTTGGTAGCCAAAAAGATTAACATTTCAGGAAACTAAGGAGAAAGAGGCAAAGTGTTTGATTCTGTAGAAGAAAGTGACAAAACATGAGATACAAATCTATTCAGAAAATGTGATTTGATATCATGCCGTCCAGTGTCCAGTGTCACTGAATTATTTTGTTATTTGCAGTGTGACACGCAAGTTAGCACACTATATGGGTGATGTACTTGAAGAACATCAGGTACATATAAGATGTATACTTTAACTTTTATCTTCACCACTTTCCCAAACAACAAGCTTTATTCATGATGACAAATAGCCACATTATGACTTCTGAAAGTTAGTACATGTAATTAGTTAATACACCATTGTTCTTCCCATATAGATAGAGTAAACCCTTACAATTTTGGCTGCCAGTAATATTTTTTTTTTCTTCTTTGCTTTGTTTTTTATGAAAAATTATTTCAATGCTTAACTAGCTACTGTTATTAAAATCACATGGTGCTAGTCAGGTGATACCACTTTCCATTGAAAAATTCCAGGGTCTTTAATACTAAAATTACTATAACTTCAAAGGACAAGAAGTTCAAAAATATTATTAACAAAATGTTCTGGTCAGTTTAACAAATGAACTCAACAATATTATGGAATGGTATCTTGCTATTAACCCTTTAACTCCCAGAAGTGATTAACATGTAAATTCTCCCATATATTATTGATACATTTCACAGCAAACAGGTCATGAGAACACTCAAACTCATCAGATAGAATTTATTACTTTGATTGAACACCTAATTCTTGTAATCAAGCCACAAGGAAATGTGTAATAGCTAGAGGGGAGAATTGACAATCAGATCTTGGGAGTTAAAGGGTTAATTACCTCTCTTGTATTGTTAAGATAAAAAAAAATAACATCAAATGGAAATGATTTGATGTTTTCTAAAGCATGATTTTTTTCTTTTCTCAGGACCGAGTAAGGGAAAACCTGCTTGCAAATGGGCGTGAGTATGAAAGTTATACTTGTATAGATAGTTGCTGTGTGGATATAGATTTAGTTGTTGTGTCCTTTTTGATTTGGTTCTGTGACTGGTTTGTCTGTTTCTTTTATACTTCAATTAACAGATGTTGAATGATTTAAATTCATTATCTTGATTGAAAGGTCAAAGTAACAAACAAATCCTCACTTGATATTTTTATCATCCCTGGTCAAAATATGACGCACATGTATTTCATATAATTTTGTGATGGTGTGGTTGCATGAGATACAGGCAAAATATCTGTGCGTAGGATACTCAACTGTACATCAAACCATCAAATAGAGTGTATGAATTATACAACCTCATAACCTTGACATGGTCTGGTTCAAGCTTGTCTCTTTCCATTTCTTCTTTATCATCAACAAGTTTTTTCAAGTATAGTTTAATTGCATTTTACTTGTTCACAATCTTGTGTGAAAGCACCTTAACAATGAAATCAAGATTATTGTTAATATTGATTTTTCATTATCACATTTTAGACTGCACTGCTATATTTTAGACTGACTCAATAAGTTGTTTTCATTTTGGCAGAGGACCTGTCTAACTTTGTTACAAAGTTCCAGTGGGATACTGCAAAATACCCCACCAAACAATCACTGAGGAACTTAACAGAGATTATAAGCAAGGTTTGTCAACCCTTAACACCCTAACATCAGTAAGCATATTCTCCATACTGTTCTGTATACATTTCTTAAGGTGATGATAAGGAGAATTTGTGTTTTCTCCTTCTCTCATTTCCTTTATTCTTGTGACTTTATGTTTGATTCAGCGATGAAATTGTACAAAGTAAGAGAAATAAGAGCTAGTGTCTCTTTGAGATCAGAGGGTTCAACAGTTTTTGGGTCAAATACCAATTGTTTTAGAGTCATCAGTGGTAAAAGACCAAGGAAAAAACCTTTAATATAAGTAAAAATTGTATTTTCACCAGCCTTTCTCTCCACTTTGCGAGCTTCCCTGCTCCTAAGCTTGTCAACTGAAAGATACAAAGACAGTTAGCTTCTTGGTGAGCTCATCTTGATTTTGCTGACAAATAATTATTTTGCTTTTGAATTAATTGTTTATAATGTTATTTAACAAACTACAGCAAATAACACAGATTGAACATGACCTGAAGAGCAAAGCATCTGCTTACAATGCCATCCGTGGAACCTTGGCTTCACTGGAAAGAAAAGCTACGTAAGTGTGGAAGAGTTAAGAATTAAGCTTATCCTCCTGTTACAATTGTAGGTATTACATGTTCTGTTCATCAGGACAGGTACAGTTTGGGGGTTCAGGGAAATTTGAACCATAACTGTCAAGTAGGTCCAGCAGAATAAACATGGAGGTGTTTAGGGATGAAAAGTTCACTTTGAAAGCAAATGGCTCAGAAGAAAAGGTCTATTGGAAAGTCATGGTTATCGTAGCTGATGTTGTCTTTTACAAAAAATTGACAATCAAATCTGGCACTTGGGTAGTGCAGTTTTGGCCTCGGTGTGCAGGAATATGGACAAACCAATCTCCAAAAGTTCAAATGCTTGGGGTGGGATTGTGGAAGCTTTGAATAAATCAACCCATAACTGATAGTTTTCTTCATGACATGATCTTAATGGCTTCTGTTTGGAATGGGGCCAGCATGGAGTGATGAAGATCTTAGGCATAGTATGCTTATAAGAGTGAATTTGCTCTTCATGTAAATTTCTAATCATAAAGTTGCCTTAGTTTGTGGACTATTGTATGCATACAAATACATGTATCTTCCAGCAAAACATTTCCTTGTCTCCCCCCCCCCACCCCAAACACACACACGCCCTCTTCTTTAGGTGGAGCTGTTCAAAATTATACAGCATAGTGAATATTATTCTTGAATGGAATTTAAATCCCCTTATTAGTATGATAAAAGCACAGTAAGAAACATTAGCCTTGGGAGGTAAATAATCATAAATGTTTTTGCTGAATTAACAAAAGATATTTTTATCTCTTGATAGGGGAAGCTTGTTAACAAGAAATTTAGGTGACTTGGTGAAGAAGGAAGATTTTGTTTTGGACTCAGAATATCTTACCACACAGTTAGTGGTTGTTCCCAAGTATGTTATATTGTCTTGGTTTTTAAGAAATAATTATTTTACATTGTATGTGAATGGAAGTACATGCACATCACATAAATTTACAGTCACAGTCTTGAATTACTGTAGGCTAAATAATTATTATGGTTTGATTTTTATCCAAGGGCCCTTACCTCTGAATGGGAGAGAGTTTATTGGAAAATTACAGATATGGTTGTTCCAGAATCCTCAAAGTGAGTCTGATAACTGTCACCAATTATAAAGTATGGTGTTCAGATGAACTACTGTCTGTTTCTGCAAAGATGTACATATATGGTATCAAACTCAACAATCTCAAATTCAGCTGTGATTAAGGATGTCTTGATTCAAGAAGGTTCACTCCTAGTCACTTTGTGATGAGAAATTTTGCATATGTTTGGGAATGATAAGCAATTATTGGTTGAGGTTGAGCATGCTGTCATGAATTATCAATACCTAGGTCTGAGTTATCTGCCAAAGCCAAAGTCCAATGCAGGTAACATAGACACAGTGTTCGATAATCCATGTTATTATGCAAAAAAAAATTCAATAACCTTTTTTAGTTTAAAAGCATTCAGCCATTTTGAGTTTCTCTCCGAGTTTGCAAAAGTTTGAGAACACTACACGGACAAGGGGCTGGGAAACTAGGCACACTTTCAACATTTCTAATAGTACCAAAAATACTCAGGTTTTTTTTAATTGACCTTGGTTTAGTTTTGTTTTTTTCTTCATTGGTTTTTAGGCAGGTTTATGAAGACAATGATCATGGGCTGTACACTGTCACTCTGTTCAAGAAAGTTGTAGATGAATTTAAACTTCATGCAAGAGACAAAAAGTACAATTCATTGGTTGATGATTAAATTGTTCTATTTCAAAATTATCGTACTTAAAAATAAATTATACAGTGAAAGTAAAGGTTTATTGTTGCAAGGTTCTATTGAACATTCAGTTAAGGTGATTGGCATTTTACTTCTCTTTTCAGTATCACTGCTGAATTAAACACCAAAGTCATGAGAATATAGGAAGAGATCACCAACTAAAGGAGCTCTTAATTGTTAAAAAAATTATCCTTGTCAGTGCCACAGTAAATGTATAGAGAACAGTATGGGAAATATTTACTCTGATGCTAGGGTGTGAAGGGTTAAAGCCTTGATGAGGACATTGGGTTGAACTCCTCAAAAGAGAATGTCTATAGTACTGACTGTAAGATTTGATAATGAAAATAATGACAGTAAGGAAAATAATAAGTTTTGAGAGCATTATGCTTTTCATTGATGAATAAATGATTGAAAATTAAAAGAAGAGGTAGAAGAGTTATATTGTGATTACCGCTGAGAAACAATTCCATTTTCGTTGAGTTAAGGGGGTCTCAAACTTAACATTTCAAGTTACGTTTAACTTCTTTGTTTGTTTGTTAATTTATTTTGACATAAATTTTTGTTCCTTTAGATTTTTAGTTCGAGAATTTGTGTATGATGAACAAGCTCTTGAAGCAGGAAAAAACGAAATCACAAAACTGGAATCAGACAAGAAGAAGCAGTTTGTAAGTTACGTGGCGTAAAGACACCACTAATTGCTTACTCATTAACCAATCAGAATCCGAAAAGAAGACGTGCGGCGGGCGGCACCAAGCGTGGGAAAACAAGCGCATGTAGAAACAATTGGGTCTGTCCTCGCACGTGATTAGTTTAAGGAGTTCTTTTTTTACTCTGATTCGTTAGGGAGAGATTGTGAGTGAATCAGGCGACCAACGATTGTTCTTGAACAGACAGTACTTTTTTGCGTAGTGGTAAATGTATCATTTATTATATTGTACTGAGTGTGTGATTATTTTATTCGCATTCCCAGGGTCCGCTTGTGAGGTGGCTCAGAGTTAACTTCAGTGACTCTTTCATTGCGTGGATTCACGTTAAGGTATGGGCTTTGCTACGAATTTTCATTACGGTGAAGTAACTCGTAAAGTTAGACAGCAATGGTTAGAGCCCAGATCAATTGATTGTCGCAAAACGAAAACTAATACAATCATACATGCTTGTCTTTATCGCAGGCCCTTCGTGTGTTTGTGGAGTCAGTTTTAAGGTGAGCTAAAAATGATATATAGTACAGTCTGCCTTGCAGGTTGTACCTATCGCCATGAAATTCTTGATTCGTCACTGAGACCCAACCGGGATACAGAACTCTTCAAGAGCCGAACCAAGTACTGAATCACTTAACAAAGGATAATTCAATTTGAGACTTCTTGGCTGATTTTCCCGCCTAGCTTGGCTGTGAATGCCTATCACTTACAATATTTCAGTATTAATTCTCTCCACTTACTGCCATAAATCTCTTACAATATTGGTTGTGAGAATCTGGTGTTTAATCAGACAACATCCTTTTGTTATAATTTCATTCAATACCTGTCGCATGTCTGCCTGATAGACCTTAACCATTGTGAGGAGAAATTACTCTTTGGTCAGTTCAGATGCCAGTTGAGAGAGTGCACCAGAGGCCCCTGTAACACAAGTTAGAGAACCGATGTTGGTAAATTGTCAACTGCAGTTTGAACAGTAACCCTAATTTAATCCATTTTCTTCCACTGGTTTTCAGATATGGTTTGCCCGTGAACTTCCAGGCTATGTTACTACAGGTAAAGTTTGTTCGAATCAAGCGTATTATTCCGAAATGCGCAAGCTTTTTGTTTTTAGCGAAAGAGGGGTCTTCCACGGCGATTTGCAATGTTTTGATGTTTTGTAGACCAACATTTCTTCCTTCTTCTGTAATGCCAACCGTGGCCCATAACACTTTCAACACTGACCTATTCACCAAGCTACAATAAGACTCGCTTATTACCTACGATCAGACTCAGATTTGTGTTTTCTTGGAGCCCGCTCGTGAAACTTTTCCCTTCATTCAATAGTCTTGATTCCAGTTTGCCTTTTATTTCTTTTGTTGTTGTTGTTGTTCTAACAGCCATCAAAGAAGACATACAAGAAGATAAAGGATATGTTGGACACATGTTATCAACATCTTGATAACCAAGGATTCAGTTCCAGCATGTATGACGCCAATGTATGTACGATCACGTGTTTGTCTTATCATACCTTATCGTTGCACTCTCAATTGGACCCAATCTTAACCTCACCCAGGTTGAGGCAACTTGTTGTGCAATTGCTTCTCCTCTCGGATAGGATCCCAGTCCATTGCAGGTTATCCCACAGTAGTCCGTTATGTTTTCCTGAGAGCTTACTGATGCCATTTGCACTCCTGGGTAGATGGTGGCTCTATAAGAGTAAAATGTCCAGCGCAACAATCTTTTCAGTACTCCCACTCGAACCTTTTGCTTCAGAGGTCAGCGCGGTAGCACTTAGACACCATGTCTTATACCCACTCATAACCTGGGAACAGGCTCTCGTCAGCGCTGCGACACGAGCGTTTCTTAGCCTGAAAGAAAGTCTTATTCCTTGAAGAAAGCGAGCCGGCGAGAGCATTGCTTGGTGTCAGACCTCAGCAAACCTCTCCCCGGCTCGTCTCAAATCTTCCCGCGGGTGAAGAAATGCGCTAATAAAGAGAGCCAGTTGGCAAGCTAACCCCACTCATAAACGAATGAAGAGGGTAGTTTCTAAAAAAACTGCGCTGCTGCGTTGGCAGGAGAGTATAACAAGGTACTTTAGTATGATTAACTGAGTTGATAACGTAAATTAGCCACCGTTTCAAAGTTTTAAAGCTGACGTTTCGAGCGTCAGCCCTTGGTCCGAGCGAAGACGAAGACGAAGGGCTAACGCTCGAAACGTCAGCTTTGAAACTCTAACGTTAGCGAATTTACGTGATCAACTCAGTTGATAACCCTACTCATAAAACATTTGTGTCTTGTTTTACAGAGTCTTGAGATCCCTGGTCTCAGCCTTGCGCATCAGGAGTATTATCCATACGTGTTTTATCAAATTAAATTAGATCTTATTGAACGGTAAAGATCGTCAGCCACTAAGAATTGTTTCATTTTATCGATCTTCAAGAATATTGTAATTTTTAACCGAATGAAAGCGACATGGCAAATGATCATCGGGAATAGTCGGAGAAGTGTCTTTCGATAATATTACTTCCAAATTTGCCTTTAAAAATTATGAAAAAAAAATTGAGATGTAAATACAATATTAGTGTAAGTAGGAGGGTCGCTCTCTACAAGCGAGATTATTTACGATTAAAATGATTTCCCATGTGTACAGTAAAGCTCAAAACAGAATGGCAGATCAACAACCCATACCTAAACAAGCTTTGAGTTTGTTAGTTCTCTTAGTTTTCCTTTCTCCAACTTTTTTTTCCTTTTAGAGATCTATATGAACGTTTCAATTGTCTTTCACTTACCTTGCAAGAAAGTGGTTGTGTGGGATGCTTTCCTTTCAAATTTTGCGCGGACGGAAATTGGTGCGCGAGCGGCCAAAATTGAACCCCCGCGCATGTCCTACGTTCCACCACGCTTGATGGCTGTGTTGTTTCGAAATTGCTCACTAGTTATACCCGAAGTTTTGAGAAAGACTGAAACATGGCCAAAGTTTAACATAACGAAAAGCTCGAGTCATATTGATAAAACACGTTAGTTTATTCATCGTTAAAATTTGTGGTTATTTTTAAACTCAGATTTAAGTTAATTTGATTGTTTTTACCAAATAGGTGTTATAGTCTGTGAAAACAAATTTAAATCCTCGAACTGATCAGCTCTTTAATCTATCGCAGTGGAAAGCTACCTATATTCATTTGAGTGACGTTACAATAAAAGGAAATAAATTAACACCTGATTTAATGTCAGTTTTTTTTTTTAATTATAATTTATTTACTTGTTTATCCTACTGATTCGGTTTAGTGCCCTGGTACCAATAAGCGCCCCTCTCTAATAAGTACCCCCCTCGAATTTGTTTTTTGGTTAATAAGTGCCCCTGTTCCAATAAGTGTCCCTATTCTGTTTCAGTGATGTTAATGTTATAGTACTGGAACAATGGGATCAACCGTCGTTCATCTTCTTTTCATTGCTCGTCTAAGGCCTCATTATAAAACCGTGTTGTACGTCGCAAAACTACGATGTCCATGTAAATAAACAGTCAATCCCTTCAGACGAATGATGTTGTCTTAAAATTTTTCGACGATTGCCTGGCTGGTTGCTCTAGTCATGAAGGATCCAATGACAACAAGTTTGTTTCCAGTCTTCTTGGTCCTTTTCAAATAAAACATCGAAGCTTTTTTTGGCACATTCTGCTGTTTCTCAAAAAATAGGTAAGCGCTCTGTCCTTAGTATAAAGCGCCTGTTTCAAATTACTGCCCTCCCTCGAGGTGCAAAAAGTAGATAAGCTCCTTTAGTATATGTAATCACATGAGGCCAAGTACTATTAAGGATTAATTGCACGAGAGTTTTCAAAATTTTTTTGGAAAATTTTGAAAACTCAAGTGCAATTAATCCTTAATAGTACGAGGTCTCATGGGATTACTTGTTTATCAATAAAGGGCAAAATTTATACGAAGGAAAATCACGCGCGCAGTCTATTTTTATCTGGGAAGCCTGTTTAGCGCTACGGCAAATCATCAATCAAATTGAACTGACCAATCGATTCAATTAAATTTTATTCTCCAAAACTGTGTCGTGATACACTGCCAAAAGTCTAGAAAACAAAGCTCATTTCAACAGAGCGTTTCTGCCAACAGAAAAACAACAAAGTGCTTTTAACTGAACAAGGTAATCATGCCCTCTCTTGATTACTAAAAATGCCCTCGATTAAGAAAAAAATGCCCTCTCTCTCAACCAATCAGCGCTCAGTAATTTTGCCCTTTATTGATAAGGCACTAAATCGATTATATTCATTAAGGTACTCGTTTAACCCTTTACACTCTAACATCAGTTTTCATTTTCTCCACACTCTTCTCTATATGTTTCTTTTGGTTCTGACAAGGAGAATTCATATGGAGATCAAAGCTTCTTAGGTTGTCAGGCATTTCCTTTATTCTCATGATCTCAGTCAGTGATTCAGCAGTATTATTGTAAAGAGAAATTAAGTGCTGGTTACTCTTGGGTTTAAAGGGTTCATGAAAGTGATTGGGATAAAATAAGGAAAATAGGTCTATTAATCTTCACTCTTGCTTTGTTAACTGATTCGCACATATCACACCCATTGAGGTTTCAATAAATCAACAATGAAAAAAGCCTTTTCTTTCACTAATTCGTGATTATAAATAGTCATGGCAATGTTTCTTGGTGGCACGCAGTGACCACAGTTCTCTACTGCTTGAATTAATTCTTCTTCATTTGATTTGCAAAGATCTGACTGATTTTCTGCATAGAGTTATTAAATCTGCTCGAGGGGAAGTCGATCTTCTTGTCTTCCTTCGGTAGCTTCAGGACAAGAATCATATGAGAGCCAGCAGGAATGTCGTAGTTTGTTGTTGATTTACCAGGATCCAAGGCTCGAGTCCCATCCTTATCAGTAATCATCACTGAATACTGGGTGTCGTTTTCGAAGGTGCACCATTTCGGTTCTTCTTCTCCGATTCTGAATGCCTCGAGAATGCTGCAAGCAGCGCCAGCTACCTGCTGAGAAGCAAAATAAACTGTTAAGATCTCTACATAGACTAAAAGTGCCGGTTTGCTACAGGAATGGTACGTTCCGCATACAGCCACAAGCCCCTTATACCAGTAATTAATCAGCGGACAAAAGCTACATTGAACACAGGCAGGCCAAGCTCCCAGCTGTGAGACGATCGTCTTGCGAAATAAGAGTCATGGCAAAAATGTAAGAGTTTGTATAGGAATATTTACGACCGCTTTGACGAAGTAAAAATACAGTCAAATTCCCAATAACTACCTCAATAAATACCTCACCTTCTTTTTGTCCATAATCTATGAAAAAAAACAAAATGAACTGTTGAGATCTTTACTTGGACTTCAACTTTTCTACTACGCTCTTTTGCCATAGTTTTATCAGAAGTTGATCAGATAATGCTGATACGAGGGAAGATTAAGTTTTTACTGCGACTGTAATTTTCGCCAATCGCGCCGGATTTGATCACCGTGATCGGCGAATATAATCTCCAGGTGTGTCGCCGGCCTTAGTCTCGGTCAGGGTAGTCTGAGTAAGTCCTTATCATATTCTTTACATCTAGAACAACTTCTGCGTCATCGTTCTTGAAACACGATGTTCTCATAAAAAAAGAGAGGAGGGTGGTGTGGAGCACAGACAACATACACGCAAAATAAAATTTGTCAAATATCTTACCAATCTTTGGTCTCCTCAGTGGACGTCTACTGACAACAACTTTGCTGATTGTAGGACGAGCGCAGGTTTTTATAATCTTTCGTTAAGGAAAATTCCTAACTCTGTTGAACACCGGAACTCAAACTTGACCAACCAGCCGTGAAAGAAACGTCTACCTATCGAACAAAAGGGGTTTATTATCATAGTACCCAAGCTATCGTTCAACCGTTATGTTATTACCGGTTTTCGATTCGTTCTTATTACAATTAAACTCTTAGAAGGCAGAAGCAACGATATTAGAATACTTTCTTATTCATCGTGAATCGCGTGATTTCGCGCGATAGGATTCAATCTTTTCGTAGCGGTTATAATAACTGCTAGAATGTTAACAAATGAGGACTGGGGTAAATAGATGAAGAAAGGCCTTGAGCTGGATGGTGGCAGGAAGTTATCGCGTGATATTCCATATTAACTTCCTTTACTTTTGTAATTTAACATAATTTACCGGAAATGCGTCACACAATGATCGGCTGCCCCTTTCTTGCTGCAGTTTCATTTCTCTATTTAAAATTCGTTTATTCAATAATTTATTTATTTTGAGGGGGACTAACTCACACTACTTTTAACTACTACGCATAGGTTCTTAGACCATTTAAATGGTAATGTTTCAGGTGAAGAATACTAGGTAAGTGAATTATCATTTTGAAGAGGAGCGGATGTTTTTTTCACGCTTTATAGGTTAAGTTCGGCACACGAGGAATGAGGAATCTGCATGAAAAATGACAGGACGGAAATTCTTTACTTTCTTGGAACAAGTCACACACAGGTAATCGAAATAACATCCGCTCCGGCATGAAACTACACCAAGTATAACTTGACATTAATTGCGGCTTCAATATTTTATCGGCTTTTAAGAGTTATTGCCTGCGTCCGCTTGACGCAATCTACCAAGCTCTAGAGTCTGATTAAGTTCTGAGACAGTTTTTTGTGGCAGTATCTAGATAGGCGTAACACAATTTTGAAGAGGAGCGGATGTTTTTTTCGATGGTCGATTGGTTATGTGCGGGTTCTGCACTCGAGGAATGATGAGAGGAAAGAGAACCAAATCGATGCAGATCCAGCTAAGAATGGTTTAATTTTTTTAAGTAATTGATTACGATGATGTCACTATGTTTCTGAATCAATAATAGACGGCAACGAACGAACCAAATCAGTGGAAGCCAGGTAACTTGCGAGTTGCTTTAGTTGTGTTTCTGGTTAGCCATGACGTTGTGGCTATGTTTCTAGGCTCGTTACTAAAAGATGTAGATGAAAACGATTGCAGTCTCACATTACTTGGGACTCTGAGTTCTCTCTTTCCAATGATACTCTGAAACGTTTGTCAAAGATTAAGTTCTGAGACAGTTTTTGTGGCAGTATCTAGTAAGTAGGTGTAGCATAATTTTGAAGAGGAGGGGATGTTTTTTTCGATGGTCGATTGGTTATGTGCGGGTTCTGCACTTGAGGAATGGAGAGGGGAAAGAGAACCAAATCGATGCAGATCAAGTAAGGAATTTTTTTAAGTAATTGATTAAGATGATGTCACTATGTTTGTAGATCAATCATAGACGGCAACGAACGAACCGAATCAGTGGAAGCCAGGTAACTCGCGAGTTGTTTAAGTTGTGTTTGTGATTGGCCATGACGTTGTGGCTATGTTTTTAGGCTCGTTACTAAAAGATGTAGATGAAAACGATTGCAGTCTCACATTACTTGGGACCCTGAGGTCTCTCTTTCTAATGATACTCTGAAACATTTGTCAAAGATCGAAACAGTAGCGAGGTGACTGGGAACCAAAGAGCTGTTGACTGAACCGACAGTTCGTCGGTTCTACTTGAGGGTTTTAATAAATTAATATTTAAATACAATGAAGGCAGAGCGCGGAATATTCGTCATTTTTCTTATCTTCCATTTTACTCGTTTTATAGAAATCTTGCTCTATGATAGAGTGGGTTAGGGGAGGAGTAGGTGGGCCGTTGCTCAGATACTGATATTGATCCCAAAAAGTAAATAAGCGCCCTGGGCACTAAATCGATTATATTCCTTAAGGTACTCGTTTAACCCTTTACACTCTAACATCAGTTTCCATATTCTCCACACTCTTCTCTACATGTTTCTTTTGGTTCTGACAAGGAGAATTCATATGGAGATCAAAGCTTCTTAGGTTGTCAAGCATTTCCTTTATTCTCGTGATCTCAGTCAGTGATTCAGCAGTATTATTGTAAGGAGAAATTAGGTGCTGATCACTCTTAGGGTTTAATTAATTTAAAAGGTTAATGAAAGTGATTGGGATGAAATAAGAAAAATAGGTTCATTAATCTTCACTCTTGCTTTTTTAACTAATTCGCACATATCACACCCATTGAGGTTTCAATAAATCAACAATGAAAAAAGCCTTTTCTTTCACAAATTCGTGATTATAAATAGTCAAAGTAATGTTTCTTGGTGACATGCACTGACCACAGTTCACCAATGCTTGAATTAATTCTTCTTCATTTGATTTGCAAAGATCTGACTGATTTTCTGCGTGGAGTTATTATATCTGCTCGAGGGGAAGTGGATCGTCTTGTCTGTTTTCGGTAGCTTTAGGACAAGAATCACATGGGAGCCAGCAGGAATGTCGTAGTTTGTTGTTGATTTACCAGGATCCAAGGCTCGAGTCCCATCCTTATCAGTAATCATCACTGAATACTGGGTGTCGTTTTCGAAGGTGCACCATTTCGGTTCTTCTTCTCCGATTCTGAATGCCCCGTAAATGCTGCAAGCAGTGCCAGCTACCTGCTGAGAAGCAAAATAAACTGTTAAGATCTCTCGTAGACTAAAAGTGCCGGTTTGCTACAGGAATGGTACGTTCCGTATACAGCCACAAGCCCCTTATACAAGTAATTAATCAGGGGACAAGAAGCGAATGACTGTAAGCACTAGGAGAGAAAACGAGCAGTGGAAATCCGACCTACGAACCATTTTTGCCAGTTCGCTCTTTACAAAGTTAAGAAGAATGAAATGGTACCCCACACACACACACGCACACACACACCACACACACACACACACACTTTTGTATACCGAAGCTGATAGTTGACCCAGTCCGAAGAGTTCCTTGTATCTGTCCATAATCTATAAAAACAAACAAACAAACAAACAAAATGAACTGTTGAGATCTTTACTTGAACCATAATGGCCCGTCTTAGTGCTGGAGCGGTTAGCTCTTTAGGCAGCTACAAACCCCAACTAACTAGTATATTAGCCTTTCCCTGGGCTCCCGCTCACAAGAAAGGTGAGTCACAAAGCGGTAGAACAACACTTGGAATTTTGTACAGATTCAATGATCACATGATTTCGAATGCAGTGAAAGAGTCGCTAGTAACCGGATCCTGATGTTTGCGTAAAGATTTCTGGGATTGCCGCTGAGCAAACATTGCAACTCGCTCGTAAGAAATATATGGCGAAAGGTTGTTTCGACGTCCAAAAACAACGATTCTGCAGAGAGATCGCCGCAGTTTTATCAGAAGTTGATCAAGATGATGTTGATACGAGGGAAGAGTAAGTTTTTTGCGGATGCAATTTTCGCCGATCGCGGCCGATTTGACCACCGTGATCTTCAGGTGTGTCGCCGGCCTTAGTCGAGCACAGTCAACATACACGCAGAATAAAATTTCTCAAGTATCTTACCAATCCTTGGTCTCCTCAGTGTACATCTACTGATAACAACTTTGCTGATTGAAGGACAAGCGTAGGTTTTTATAATCTTTCGTTAGAGAAAATTCCTCTTTCTGTTGAATACCGGATCTCAAACTTGACCAACCAGCCGTGAAAGAGACATCTACCTATCGAACAAAAGGGGTTTTATTGTATACTCAAGCTATCGGTCAACCCTTATATTACTACCAGTTTATGATTGGTTCTCATCACAATTAAATTCTTGGAATGCAGAAGCAACGATATTGGAATACTCTCTTATTCATCGTGGATCGTGTGATTTCGCGCGATATGATTCAAACTTCTTGCAGCGTAAGAAATGCTAGAATTTTAACAGATGAAGAAAGGAAGGCCTTAAGCTGGATTGGGGTAGGAAGTTATCGCGTGATATTCCATAATAACATCCTGTACTTTTGTGATTTATCATAATTTACCGGAAATGCGTCACACAATGAACGGCTGCCCCTTTCTTGCTACAGTTTCATATCTTTATTTAAAATTCGTTCATTCAATAATTTATTTATTTTGAGGGGGACTAGCTCACACTACTTTTACACTACTTTTACACATAAGTTCTTAGACCATTTAAATGTTAATTTTGCAGCAAGAAAAGTATTTAGATGAGTGGATTATCATTTTGAAGAAGAGCGGATGTTTTTTTCACGCTCTATTTGTTAAGTTCCGTACTCGAGGAATGAGGAATCTGCATATGAAAAGTGACAGGACAGAAATTCTTTATTTTCTTGTTACAAGTCACGCACAGGTAATCGAAATAACATCCGCTCCGGCATGAATCTACACTAAGTATAAAGACAACGGCAAACTTGACATAGCAGCTACAATTTTTCTCTCCGCTTGATGTAATCTACCGAGCTCCAAAGTCTGATTAAGTTCTTTTGTGGCAGTATTTAGGTAGGTGTAGCATAATTTTGAAGAGGAGCGGATGTTTTTTCCATGGTCGATTGGTTATGTGCGGGTTCTGCACTCGAGGAATGGAAAGAGGAAGGAGAACCAAATCGATGCAGATCAAGTCAAGAATGGTTTAATTTTTTTAAGTAATTGATTACGATGATGTCACTATGTTTTTAGATCAATCATAGACGGCAACGAACGAACCAAATCAGTGGAAGCCAGGTAACTCGCAAGTTGTTTTAGTTGTGTTTCTGGTTGGCCATGACGTTGTGGCTATGGTTTTAGGCTCGTTACTAAAAGATGTAGATGAAAACGATTGCAGTCTCACAATACTTGGGACTCTGAGTTCTCTCTTTCCAATGATAATCTGAAACCTTTGTCAAAGACCGAAACAGTAGTGAGGTGACTGGGAACCAAAGAGCTGTAGACTGAACCGACAGTTCGTCGGTTCTACTTAAGGGCTTCAATAAAATTTAATTATTGTATGAGCAGAGCGCGGAATATTTGTCATTTTTCTTATCTTCCATTTCATTCGTATTACAGAAATCTTGCTCTAAAGCCGGTTTTTGAGAGAAATTTAGAGGAGAATTCTTAACCTTACAGCTAAAGAACCACATTCACATTATTTCTAGAGTGGAAAACGTGCAGTTCTATCTCTTTCGGGCTATTTGGCGGTTTAACGAAAGTGCAGCGCTAGCTGAACAAATATTACTGAAACTGTTTGTCCCTTGATGCGTAGATAAGTGGATTTATAGATGAATTCAGCACAGAGCAGTGTGTTTTCGATGTCAGTCGGAAATTAAGTTTATCTTTAAATAATTACCAAAATTGAGGGATAATAGCAAAGGAACACTGTTAGGATAATTATGGTGGTTGTTTCCAACGCTTTCTTTTCTTTCGAACGTTTTTGTCTCGCTTCCATTGAGACTTGACGGAAAATGATTTGTTTCTCATGTCGACACAATATTATGTAAACGAGGACATTGATGGTAACGATTTCGGGGATACTGACTCAAAATAACTAAAAATCGTCCACTTCCAAGGCAATAATCTGTAGGTAGATATCAATAGATCTCAGTACCGTAGAAGTTAGAATTATCACCCAAGCAATACCTGAGGTAATCACGATATCAGCACCACTGATGTGGTTGTCGTAAAAGAACGCGTGTTTTATGGCAAAATAACGTTCCAAGCTCACCAAATGAAACACACACTCGCCAATAACAACATCGAACATGTTTCCCACGATACCGTTGATGTTACATACATCGTTCACATTTTGTGCATTAATTCCATCAAGGAGATAGATCTCAAACATAACATTAACAGGTTGAAAGGTAACACTGACTGTCAAATCGGTGACTGCTAAGAAAGCTGGCAAGATGTTCGATTTCGTTTGAAGACGGCGAACGGTTTATGCTGCCATTATTCAGAAGGCATCGAATAAAATTGTAAAAGGCAATGAAATCAGTAAAACGGTTGTTGTAAAAATGAGTACAGCATAGAGTTCGGTGAGAAGGTTTCCGTCTGACGACCAGATTGGCCATGTTGCCCAAAAGGCTTTTAGATACTGGGACTACCATCGATATCAGAGGGCGATGTAGTATGATTTGTGAACCGACCTCGGAACAAGAGATATGTAACTGATATTGGCAGATTTCATTATGACACCTAGTTTTTCACTTATTGCACGAATTGCCAAGAGAAAGTAATGGGACAGAGAATCCGTTCCCCTGCTTTCCCTATGCAAAGCGCTGATCACTGCTGATGATTTGGGAAAAATACTCAGTTAAAAATATTTTTGTTAGTAAGTGAAACAAACTTAAACTTTCTCAGTTCCCTAGTGACGTCCTCAACAGAGTGTTTTGTAGTTAAGGTCATGTACAACAGGTGGAATTTTCTTTCGACTCAATTTATTTGTTATATATTACTTTTCTGCAGCTTTCATATATTTTCAAATCATACCTTCCTTCTCAAGGTTCTCATCTCACTATGTACAATAAAATTTTGTTATTCTATTTTGGTGTTTAGAGGGATATTCAGCCCTGAAATTTATATTCATAAAGCTCTTTCTTGACCCCCCTTAACACACTTTATATGTTGGTATTCATATTCTCCAAACTGTTCTCCCTACTTCCCTAAGGTACTTACAGAGAGAATTTGTTTGACAATCAGGAGCTTCTTGAATTGGTGATCATTTCAGACCTTTCTTATTGGTGATACTGTAAGAAGGAATTAAAAGCCAGTCCCTCTTAGGGAAGGTTTATATAAAGGGTTAAAAGGCCGCGGCCTAATTTCTATTTTTTATCTATTCATGTAAATTAGGCTTTCAGGCCTCCACAACTCTCACTCAGAATTTAAGCCAAGAGGGTTAATTCGCATGCTCATGATTTGCATGCTTTCGTTTATTTTGCGAGAAAGTGGTTGTGTCTTACGTTTTCCTTTTACATTTTGCGCGGGAACTGGCGCGCGTGCGGCCAAAATTGATCCCTCGCACATGCCATACGTTCCCCTACGCTTGACCGCTGTGTTGTTGTTACGAAATTGTTCTCTAATTACACCAGAACTTTTGACAAAAACTAAAACTTGGCTCGGTAAAGTTCAATATAACGAAAAGCTCGAGTCATATTGATGAAACACGTTAGTTTATTCATCGTTAAAATTTGTGGTTGTTTTTAAACTCAGATTTAAGTTAATTTGATTGTTTTTACCAAATAGGTATTAAAGTCTGCGAAAACAAATTTAAATCCTCGAACTGATCAGCACTTACAATAAAATGAAATAAATCAACACTTGATGTAGCGTTTTTTTTAAAATTTATTTTATCTACGTGTTTACCCTAATGATTCGGTTAAGCGCCCTCGTACCAATAAGCGCCCTCTCTAATGAGTACCCCCCTCGAATTTGTTTTTTTGTTAATAAGTGCCCCTGTTCCAATAAGTGTCCCTATTCTTTTTCAGTGATTTTAATGTTACAGTACATGACCATTGGGATCAACCGTGTTTATATTCTTTTCATTGTTCGTCTAAGGCCTCATTATTAAACAGGGTTGTATGTCGCAAAATTATGATGTCCATGTGAATTAACAGTTAATCCCTTCAGACGAATGA